CTGTGTGTGGCATTTCATCTGGCAGGGTCTAGTTCTCTATTTTCCTTTCCTCTGGCTCTTAGAATAATGCGTCGATCTGAGTGATGTGGATGAAATGCATGGTGGTGGTGTTTCGTAGTCGCATCGCCGTGGTGGTTGAACGGTTAGCCAGGATAGGAGGAAATAAGAAAACAAGGGTATTCAACAAGATGGTTTTAGAAGCAATTGATATCATTTTTAACCATACCTCTCCTCCCTTTTGTACTCTCCTCTCTTACTTCCTTCTCACCTCATTCTTGCAGTATCTTTGATAGCAGTAGTAGAACGAAGAAGTGCGGGTGTGGTAAGAGTTTGGGCCATCAATGTTTTTCTTATTTGCATATATTCCCATTTGTTTATCGGATTTGAGTGAGAGGCGGGAAGCGAGGGAGAGGGAAAGAGAGTGAGAGAGCACATACTTTACCTATGACGCGAATTGTGTGATTGTTTGAGCATCATCCTACCACTGACCAATCCGAGGAATGGAGCGGATGAAAGAGCCGTCTGTTTGGCAAGTGTGAGTGTTTGTGTGTTTGGGTGATAGCAAAGAGGCGGAAATGTAGCAAAAAATGACAAGCGGACGTTGCTTGCAATGGAAAGTGACTAAGAGTTCATTGTTGATTGTTGTTTGCGTTTCCATGCTGGACGCTACAACCCTACCTTTTTTAGCTCACCAAGGGGGACAAAAGACGAAGAGAAGGAGGGAGAAGGAATAAAACATCGACTCAAATGGTCGCCATGGTTACACGTCTTTTCCGAATGAAAGGGACTTTGGAGGTAAATCCTTTCTTGTCGAAACCCACGTTTTTTGAAAAAGATAGACGAGAGGACAGAGAAAGAGAGAGAGAGAGAGAGAGAGAGAGAGAGAGAGAGAGAGAGAGAGAGAGAGAGAGAGAGGAGGAGGAGTGTTAGTGGGTGAGTGGGCTATCCAGTCGAATGGGCTGCTGTCGAATGTTTTCTGTTGTTCCTGCCATGTTTTCTGCTGTTCCTGCCATGTTTTCATTGCTTTGCCATGCCTGGTTGCGCTGACGAAGGAGGGTTGCACTGACTGAATGAGGGTTGCATGTCGTCTGGGTGGGTTATGGGTTGAGTGGAGGGTTTATACCTGTTTGGTAATTCTTAGTGGGATATGATCATGTTTAGAATAGAATATGTATGACGATGATGAAGAGGAGGAGTCAGTCGGACTGAGCAAGAGCATCTCAAGTGTGTGTGTGTGTGGATATTAAGTACCCTTGTGTGAACACAAAGCCATAGGACTGTAGGTATTTCCCTGCAAGATGAAGGGACCGAGAGGAACTCATAGTTGACTGGCAGGGTGTATTCAATTAGGCACAAGCTATTGTAAACAGAGGAGAGAATTCATTTGTGATGGAAGATGATGGACAGTCAGTGCACCATTCTCTTTATCAAGTATTCAATTGAACATTCTTCGCCTTGCACATCATTCGCACACACAGAGAGGGGACAGAGACATGGTTCATCGTTGGCTCTCTACTTCTCTCTCTCTCTCCCTCTCCCTCTCCTGTGTCTCTTTCCCTTAGACTCTCTCTCTTCTCCACTCCCTCTCACTTTCATTCCGCCTCCTCAGAAAAAGAATAATAAAAAGAACCCTTCTCCCCCTCTCCTCTCTTATTTTTTCTACTTCTTCCTCTTCTTCGCTTCTTGCATCTTTGCCTTTCTTCCCTGCCTTCTTTCTCTCTCGCCTTTCTTCTTCTTCGTCCTCCTTCCCTCCTCCCATTCTTTCTTTTCTCCTCATCATTGCGACCCAGCATACACACATACAGCTCCTCTACATTCTCTCCTTCCCTTTTCAACAACGATCCTTTTTAGTCCAGCAATCCAGCATTATTTTTCCTTCCGTCAGCTCTCCTATTCCATACCCTCCTCATCCTTCTTTCACCTTCAACAACCATCGTATCCCATCCCTCTACTCAACAAACAAACAAACAAACAAACAAGACAGAAAAAGCCCTTGTGTACTTGTAAGACCACCTTCCTGCTTCCCTTTCTCCCTAGATATAGCATACACACATGCAACAAAATCCGTTCCTTGTTTGTCCCTCGCACCACACATCCTCATCACGATCCCGATTTACACCAGCATCCCTGTTGTTCCTCAATGTGATATGTAAGGTCGAGATGCAGATACACACTTGACTTGACAATGCCAATGGTCACCAAACACACGCAGAGACACAAGAGAGAGAAAAAAAAAGGAGCATCGATGACGATCCCTCCTATGAGTGCCAACTCGTCGGGTTATGAAGCGTCATTCTTTCTGTTTATATACACGAGGAGGCACTATTATTTCGCGTTCTTTTTTCTCAGTTCCCTTTTTTCTGTTTCTCTCGTTCTTTTCTCTCTCTCTCTCCTGGATTTTTTTAAACCTCCTGCATTCTCACTCCTCTTCCTTCCCTTCCTTTTTCTTCTTCCCTCCTTTTTCCTTCTTCAACTGTCCACCCGTCCTCAACGACATTTGCACTTCACTTGCCATCAGGAAAAGAACAACGACAAAAAAAAAAACGTAAAGGACAACTTCCTCTTGTTTGAGTATTCAACCAGCGCACCCTTGATTTTTTTTATTTGCTGTATCATAACCCCGGAATTACGGAATATCATGATCCTCCGCAGGTGTCCCTTCTCATTGTACATTTTGTCCGCCTCCTCCTCTTCTCTCCCCGTCCACACTCAATTTAACTGGCACTCCTTTATGTCCGCTGGATTGATCGATATTCTTTTTGCTTGTTCCGCCCCCGAGCTGTTACTTCAGCATCGCGAAAGGGCCAACCAACAAACCGACCAACCAGTCAACTAGCCAACCAACCGGTTCTGTTCTCCCCTTCACACAGACACTCCCCTTTGCTTTCACGCTTTCTTATTCTCACACAGTCCGTAAACTCGTTTTTTTACCTTATCGAGTACTCGGTTCAATTCAATCGCCTTTGAACCTTTTTTAACCTCAATCCAGTTTTTGAGCAACCATGCCCTGAACAACATCTTTTTTTATTTTATTTCTTTACAAGTTAAGTTAACTTTTGGCAGTCATTTTTCATCCCATCCAAGCTCGACTTTTTTTTATATTACGATGGTGCGGACCTTTTTACAACATTCACCAGAGACCAACACAGTCCGACAGACAAGGATGTCTCTTGTAATTAAATGCAATGATGGGCAAGGATGTTGAAAAAAAAGAGGCAGTGCGAAAAAGTTGAAGAGAGGAAACAAACACGGGGTGATGATGGCAATCCTTCCTGCGACTGCTGTCGCCGGTGTTCTTTGCTTCAATCCCCACCTTCATTCTCATTCTTTTTCCTTTCTCATCGATGTCGATTTTGGTTGTTGTCGTCATTGACTACAAACCACACATACATACTCAAGAGCTCGTATTCAACGACGGCTTTGCCGCGTCCCGTTTGGTTTCCTCTTCTTTACCTTTACTCCGTTGGACCCAACTATCGTAAAAAGGGACAAAAGACGATAAGGAAGGGAGAGGGCCAAACCCTGTTTTTTTATACATATCGAGTGAGCTGATTTCGGTTGTGTGTGTGTGTGATGATACCCTTGTCTTTCTTTATTTTTTCCACTTCCGAGATCGACATTCTCTCTCTCTGTCCTCTTTTCTTTCATTCGTGTATGTTTTTAGGGTGCTCGCCATTTTTCTTTGTTCTTCTGCTTCTTGTGCTGTTGTGCAGCAATGGCATGAACGGCTCTGGTTCTCCCCCCACTTTCTTTGGTTTCTCCTCTCGCATATGTCAACGGAATATGCTTTGCTCTCTCTTTTCGTTTCCATCCTTCTCGGTCGGGCCTGATTCTGTCGGCCCATGTTGGTATCGATTGTCTATTGTCAATGTGTAAAAAAAACATGAATGGGGAAGAAAGGCAATTGGCTATCATCCATTTCCCAATGCAGGGGTGCTATGTCTGTATGCTGTGTGCTGTGTGGACATGGTATATGTGTTATCGATTCCTTTATATTTTTCCTTTTTTCCTCCACTGTTCCTCTCCTTGGGTCTCCTTTCTTGCTCTTCTCCAACAGCAATGTTCATTCTCCGCGTGTCTGTGTTGTACCTTTTTGTATTTTGCGTGTGAATGAGTATGTGTGTTCGATGTGTTTTTTTGTTTGCTTGCTTGCAAGGGGGGTGTGTGTGTTGAATGCATACTACTGGTTGGGCATAGGATGGTGTGTTTTGGATCTGCAAGTCATTCAGTACTACTCAGTCATTCAGTTTCTTCTCCACTTCCTGTCCATCATGTTCAAGGAATGATTATAAAAAAATCCTTCTTGACTAACCATTGTTCCTCTCTCTTCTTCTTCTTTTCTGTTTCTTTCTTCTTCCTCTTCCCTCTTCGCCCTCCCTTCTTACCTCCTTCCCGCTCCATCCTTCTTTGCTGTTGCAGTGGATTCCTCATACTTACCCCTTTCTTTAACGACCATTCTTCATCATCCCTTCCCTTCCTGCATCTTCTCTCTGCCTTCTCCTATCTCTCTCGCCTTTTCTCTCCTCCCCTGCCTTGACAGAAAGCAAAAAGGACCGTTTTGTTGCCGCCTTTCTCTCTCCTTCTCTTTCTCCCTTCAACGACATACAGACAACGACAAGGTTCTTTTTCTTTTTCCCTCCTTTCTTTTTGCCGTTTCTTTGCTTCTCCCTCTCCTTTTCTCGTGTTCTTTTTTTCTCTTCCCTCCCACCTATACCCAAAAAGGCACAGCAAACGCACAGCTCCCCTCAAACTAGGACCCTTCTTTTCTTCTTTTCTTCTTTTCCTTCCTTCTCTCTCTCGCATCCTTTGCTCCTGCTTCCTGCTCCTTCGACTATAAAGCAAGCCTTCTCCAAATCATATAGAATACAGTCATGTCCACAGCATCAACACTGCCTGCCCTCTCCTCCCCTTCACCCGCGCACAACTTCCACAGCCACGTCCATCGTCCAGCCCTTGTCAGCTCCCAACCTCAGTCTCCAGTGGAACCTTCCTTCTCCACCATGGACAGAATGGATGTCGACATGGCCATGCACCAGCAGTCAAAACGAATGGCCGGCCTCTCCATCACCAACGCAACGGGAACCAAAGTCAGCATTCTGAACGATAACTCTGCTGAGCTTGAACCATCGTCAGGCCGCTCCTCTGTCCCACAGTCGCCCCTCTTCTCAAATAGCCCTCGGGACACCTCCTTCCCACTCAACAATGACGACGAGCACAGCTATTCAGCGTCCGCCCACGACCACTACCTCCAACACAATCACAACCAACAACAACAGCCACCACGCAAACGGCGTTCCCAAGACGCCCCCTACGAAACCGCTCGTTCTTCTTCCCTCACCAACGCATCAACTCCCATCTACTCAGCCGAGGAACTCGCTGCCTCGCAATCCTCCCTGGCCTCCTCCTCCTCTGATTCCAAGTCTCTGACTCCTGGCTCACAACGCAGCCGGAGTCTCAGTGGGAGTTCGAAACAATCCCCCACCATTTCATCGTCAGCTGGACCCACGACACCAACATACCCATTCTTCACGCGATCGTACTCGGAAGACGGTACGTCTGAGGACCCGTCATCAGGTCGACGAATGTCAGACCCAGCCAGCGACACAGGTCTAGCAGGAGTCGTCAAGCGCAAGTACTCCTGCATATTCCCCGGCTGCAACAAGTGCTTCACCACAAGGTAAACATCCTACAAACCTGTTTAGACTTCTGTTATGGGATCCTCCAAGGGCGCTGAGCTTCATACTAAGGCGTTTATATGTCTAACCAATAGTCTTCTTTCATTCCCCTTTCATATAGTGGTCATCTTGCGCGCCATAACCGCATCCATACTGGCGAGCGCAACTTTTCTTGCCTCTTGCAAGGCTGCCCAAGCAAGTTCTCAAGACAGGACAACATGATGCAGCATTACCGGACGCATATCTCTGCGAAGTCTCGCCGCGGCATGGCCAAGAAGCCCGATTACTACGCACAAGGCCTTGCCGCCAACCACTCGCAAGAAGTTTTGAGCAGTCGGGAACATAGCCCGGCAATGCACCTTGCCAAGATGAATACTTCTCGCCAAGGGTCCCGCCAAAACACTCCACCCCGCTTCAGTCCCTTTAACCGTAGCAACAGCGTCGACTACCCAAGCAACCGCAACTCGGCCGAGCTTCACAACGCCGGCGGCATCCTTCGTCACAAGAACTCTGGTATCCTCCAGACGCATCAGCATCATACCCCACTCCCCCACTTCAATGTCCATGCGATGTCGATGGCCCAACAACATGGCCAGTCTGGACAAGGCTCCCCGGCTCAGGGATCTATGCCATCACCCTTGACGCCTAATGCAGGTCATCCTTCGGGCTACCACCACCAGCCTGCATATGTCTCTCATTCTCACCTCTCGTCGTCCAAGTATGCAGTTGACACCTCAAGACATCCTTATGCACATCGATCGGATGCTGCTCTTGCCTCTCCTACCTCGCCCATGACGCAGGACGTCGAGCGGATGGAGGGAGTGGCACCTTCTCTTGACCAGGACCGTCCCTACCACCACCGCCATCACGGACAGTATGCCGGGGCTCAACAGCAGCCTTCGTCTGGCCACTACCAACAGCAATACCCTTCTCAGAAGCAATATCATCGTCGATCCTCTTCCCCTCAACCGCATGCTGGTCATGCTCATGGTCACAATGGCAATGGCTACCAGCTCCCTCCGCTCTCTCTCCACAACCAGGAAAGACTTGCGTCTGAGAGGGGCTCGGGCCATCCCCACCCCCACGTACCCATGCCACCTTCCCCTCAATCGACGCCTCAGACGCCCACGACCAAGTACCGCTTCGATCCTATCCAGGACTGCTTGCAGCAGGAAAAGTACCAGCAGCGTGAGCATGGCGAGCAGCGTGAACAGCAGTACGATCACCACGGCCGGCACCATCCCTACGGCATGAACGAATCCCAGGAGGATGAAGATGGATCATCGACCACTGCCCGGTCGTCTGCATCGTCGCTGTCGCTCTCTGGCTCGAACCGGTCCTCATTCCATGGGTCGCACTCGTATGGCCAACAGCACAAGCTGCAACAACATCACCCTCTGCAGCAGGAGCAGCACCAGCAGCAGTCGTTGAACTCGAGGCAGGAAACCGAGCTCTCTGGATTGGATCATCTTGCCCAGATTGTTACCACCTATGGTTAAAATAATCCCAAGGTCATCGTCGTTTTGTAATAGCTTTTTTTCTTTTATTTTTCTTTGTTTGAGGGTCTTGTACAGTTTAGTTTCCTTTCTTCCTCCTACCCTCCCATTGTCATTGTTATTTTCGTTGTTTGCTGCCAGTTTTAAAAATAAAAATCCGTAATAGTTCCCATGTACTTACATTTTCAAAATCTTGAAGAGGCTTGTTCATGCTGACCATCTGGACGCCACTGAGCGCCACCAAAAAAAAATGACTAAGCTACCTCTTAATTAAAATGGATCATTGACCCCCTGTCTGACTCTAACAGCTTAACTACACCCCCCAAGTTGGATGCCGGGGCTTGAAAAAATAATGAAAAGTGATGTTGGACAGGCGCGAAGTTTTTCTGTGTTCAGATCCCGCTTGTTTGTTTTCCCCTTGAGTCTGTCTTTTTTTATATTCTTCTTTCTTGTTTTCTCTTTTTTCTTTCTTCCACACCGCTCCTCCATCTCCCCTCATTCCTGTTCCTTACTTCAACAACCCACATACCCCATCCTAAGCAGTGACACCGTTTCCCTTCCTCCCTTTTTAATACTTAAGGGTGAACTAGCCATTCATAAAAAAAAAGAAAAAGCGGCGGCATTACAAAAACCATGACTGCATTTACCTCCTCATCAAGCACCATTCACACCCAGGCTGCTCAGCCCTCCTCCCAAGAGGAAGAGACGAGGCGCAACAGCAGTAACAGTCTCAGTGACACCAAGGCTGAGATCCTGACCACCAGTCTGCATACCGACCCCACTGCGACTCTTGCGGCTGACTCTACCGTCGATGCTATCATCCACGATAAGGAGAAAGAGGAGCTCGAGATGAAGGGGTTGGGCAGCAACATCGAAAACAAGTCCGTCACTTCTGGCTCCCCACCAATCACTTCCACTCCAAGACCCAAGCCAGGGTTCTGGAAGCAGCACCTGTCGATCCGTCCCGAGTTCCAAGGTGACCCTCGAGTGGAGCTATCGAGATTCAGAAAGGCTGTTATCTTGTGTATCGTCTCGCAGGCTGGATCTCTTGGAGGCTTCTCCAGTACCATCTATGTAAGATTGTTTGCTTCGCAAAGAGGAAAAAAAAAAATGAGCGCCCATGTTTATTGTGAATAAGGGAGTTGGAGTTTGGAAAATGATCAGATAACCTCATCTGTGTCTGGTGTCTACGGAAGATTTGTGTGTCTCGTTATTACCCGGCAGGGCGTTTGCTTGGGTGGGATGTGCAGAGCTGAGCTACAAAAAGAATGAGGAAGCAGAAAAGGATCAAATGCTTTTTTTTCTCTATCAGTGTTCGTTACCCCTTTTGTGCTGCATTTCTAAAAGAAGATGACAAAACGATAAACATACAGGCTGCAGCCCACAGAAAACAAATACGAGAGCGAAGAGTGCATGCATCCAACGTGATTCTAACCACATCCACTCCTCCTATAGTTCCCCTCACTAGTCCAAATCACTGCGGACCTGAATGCATCCCAGACAGCCATCAATGCCTCGGTATCGCTCTTCATCCTCTTCATGGGCATCAGTCCCCTCGTCAGTTCTACGCTCTCAGATACCTTCCAGGTCCGTCGTGTCCTCTACATTGGTTTCACCCTCATCTTTGCCATCGCCTCCTTGGGTGGCGGATACGCTAACTCGGCCGGGTCACTTATCGCTGCTCGTGTCTTCCAGGCTGTTGGATCGGGTGGTGCCTCTATCCTTGGTGCTGGCACCGTTGCTGATATCTATGTAAGTAATTCTCTTCGTAATGTGCTTGACATTCTGTATTTCTGTGTTTCAGGCGGACATTATAGTTATGAAGCGGAGTGATTTTTGGAGATTTGGACATAAAAAAGATGCATGTTCTCATCACACCAATCCTTTTTACATTTTTAATACGCCAAATGGATATATACTCTTATTTTAGCCTCCTGAGGAACAAGGTACATCCATGGGTCTGATGTTCTTGGGCCAGTTCCTCGGTCCAGTCTTGGGACCCCCATTGGGTGGTGTCCTCGCCAAGGCCTTTGGTTGGGAGTCCACCTTCTACTTTATGGCTATCATTGCCGTTATTGTCATTGTTGAGCTGTTCTTCCTTCTGCCAGAGACCTACCGTGCCCCCGACAGAGACGTTCTCAAGGAGATGGAGGAGGTCAAGGGGTATGCTGCGGAGGGCAAGGATGAAAAGAACGCGTCGGCCACTCGTCGTATTGGTGGAGCGTTCAATCCCTTCCAGGCCGTCATGTTACTCAAGCATCCTGTCGTCCTCTTGTCCTCCATCGAGCTTGGTTTCATCTTTGCTCTCATGTTCTCCAGTAAGTTCCTTCCCCTCATCACTATCCTATAGCCAGTCATTCACTTCGACCACTTTACTTGGACCATTTCAAGCTAAAGCTAACCTATCATTGTCTATTCAAACCCGTGTTATAGTCGAAACGCTTGCGCCAGTATTGTTCACAAACAATTACGGTCTGGCCGAGGACCAGGTCGGTCTAACCTACCTAGGCGCCGGTGCTGGAAGTATCTTGGGCGCCATCTTGGGTGGCAAGCTCTCCGATATCGCCTTGATGCGCGCGAAAGCCAAGAACGGTGGTGAAATCGTCCTCGAAGACCGCCTCTCGATCAGCATGTGGGTCGCCGGCTTCCTCATCGTCCCCTTTGGATCCCTCCTCTTCGGTTTCGGTGCCGAAAAGCACCTCTCGATTGCTGCACCCATTGTCGGTTTTGGAATCTACAACTTTGGAATGGCCCAGGTCATTGCTGCTGGTTCCGCTTATCTGGTTAACGCGATCCCAGGCCAGGGCTCTTCTGCGACTGCAGCGGCCAACTTTTTGAGGATGGTGTTGGCCTGTATCTTTTCATTGATTGCGCAGATTATTGTTGACCATGTTGGGTATGGCAACTATGGTATCATCCAGGCGGCTCTCAACATCATTTGTATGGGCCTGTTCTATATTGTCAAGCTGCGTGGCGCTGGTATGAGAGAGACTGCTACCAGAAAGGAGGAGGCCTCTCGCAAGTAATAGATATACAGATAGATAGACATGTAGATATCCTTCCTGCACACATTCACACATACGCTAAGCATCCTAATATACCTTTTTACTAATCATGTCCTTGGTTCCTGAATTTTGGTATTGATAAAGTCACGTGGAATAAGTGACGGCTTTAGAGCTTGTTTGTCAGTGCAGGCATGGCTATACGTCTTTTCTTCAAAGCACACCCTTGCTTGTTCACTGTTTCTCCGCACAACACTCACACACTTACACACATCACACATACGTCCTTAATCATCACCGTTCTGAACGGGCTGGTCACAACATGGCCCCACCTCACCATAAACATGGCGGAAGGCCTACCACAACCTTCCCCTACGAGGTAATGATAAATCCCTCATCGAAGAGACACCACAGCACAATGGACGTTCGACTTGTCAAGAGCAAGCAAGGAGAGCGAGAGACGCTTCCTGGAGCGAATGAGCGTATGGATGGTTGTATTCGGACTCATCTCGTGACGACACATAACTCGCAATATCCAGGAAACCTTCTCTCCGCGCGTCTCGTTGCCCTTTTCTTCCCTTTTTCAAGATGGCGACGCGCTTCCAAACTGTGACACCGAAACCCGAGCCTAACACCTCACATACTTATATGATAATAGCCGTCAAGACTACATTGGGCGCCGGACCACAAGAGCAATGCTGAAGGCGTCTACTGTTATTGCGGCAAGGATAAAGAATTGTAAGCTTTTGAGCACCAAGGTGGAGAAGTTGAATGAACTTCCAATGCCTTGAAAAATCGATAATTAATTACTCTGTTTCCAACTTACCCGCGTTCTAGTGACGAGCCGATGTTACCCTGTCAAAAGTGTGGACAACTCTTTCATTCAGGTGAGTCCCAGGGAAAATATGACATGCAACAGGAGATATTGAAGGCATACTGGTCTGGATACGGCTTCTAACAGAGTGACATTTGTTTTTTTTATTGAAAAAACAACTAGATTGCGTCTCATGCCTAACCAAGCCCCTGCTGAAGGGAGACGAGTTCTTCAAGTACGAATGCTCCGTTTGCACTCAGGGCCCAGAGTTCTTTGAGCGTGCCGCACTCAGTTGGTATGTTGCAAAAGCAATACAGATCTGTCACCGTGCTTGTTACGTACCGCGACAAAAGCAAAACGTACTAATTTATATTTTGTTTTGTACTTTGCTATTGTTAATTCATGTAGGGTAATACTGGTGCACTTAGTGCTGTACAATCTAATGGACGCTCATCCGGAACAACAATACTTTCGATGGAAGGAGGAGATTTGCAAGTTCATCTTCGAATATTGGTCATACCTACTCCCCGACAAAGAACGTAAGGAGGATTTGTAATACTGGAAATCATGACGCTTGGACTTTGGACAAACAACCATGAGAGTGAGGCATTTGCTGACAGTATGTTTGTCTTCTCTTTTTATTATAGAATCTCCAACATGGAATAATACCGTGGCGAGTGTACTATCTGTCCAAAATCATATATTTTTGTCAGGAGTCGAGACGAAAGGAGCATCAGGTACACATTTGGAAAGGATCGTATATTTTTTCTCATGAGTGATTCAAATCGATCCTGTGCTAACTGTTTCTTACTTACCTTTCCATAGGATGGTGGACATTGATCGAAAAGGCGCCGCCAGACAGGAATCGAAGTAAGCAAACGCGGTGATGTTTACACAGGAAATACGGTACTGATAGGAGTCGTTTTTTCTTCCAAGGACTCAAGTCTCTAACAACGCTACTCCCTCTAAACTGGTCACTTTGAATAGAACTCAAGCCAAAGAACAAGGTCGTTCAAAAATCAGGAGTCGCGCGCCATCCGACAGCAAAAGCAAAGGAAAAGCGAGCAAGAGCAAAGGGATCTCCATCAAAGAAGAAGACGCGGTTTGACGAGACTTCGTCAGATGAAGAGTTCCGGTCATTCGCAAAAGTCAGGAACACTGCCAGTGTACCCACCACCAGAATCAAGGTAGCTGCTATTTTATGCTCTGGGCACTATAGCGTATAGCAACAGAGAAGGGTTAAACTTGATGCTAACTCGTTGATACAAAATGCTACGCCTGTAGAGCCGCCAGTTTTCTCTCTCATCAGGATCATCACTCTCATCAGCAGGCGACTCTGACGACTCCTTGGACGAAGAAGAGGCATTCTGGAAATCAGACGAGGAGAGGGAGATCCGACCAATGGTGTACTTGCACGGTATCCCCGCCTGCATTCAACACCACTTTAATCCCTCGGGACTGGATTTCTCTGCAGGCCCGATTCACCTAGAAGAGGTTTTTCGACTGACCGACTTGATTGACGAAAACTCTCCTGGAAGGCTTGTTCACAGGATTAACAACCTGGCCATGTCCATTGGTGGCAAAAAGAAGCGGAGAAAGGTAATATTTGCTTGCGTCTAGGGTATTTCTGGCGTTTTCATTCTTCCAAAGGAGCTTAAAACACTAATGACTAACGATGCTTACTTGAAATCTTTTTGCACACTCTTTTTGTGCAGTCTTCGGCAGCAGAGATCAAGCACGAAGTGATACACCACGTCATGAACGAACACCACTATCCTCAAGACATGTCTGATATGTCTGACAATGACCAGGACGAGGAGGTTGATGGCTCCACGGATGCAAGCGACATGGATTCAGACCAGGGATCTGAGGACTCTAACGACGAGCTAGAGGTCGACAGTATACGGGATATTCACAGCCGAGCAATGGCGTCAAAGAGAACTTCCGGGAAACGATTCGACCCAGAGGCAGGATCTTCACGCAAGAGTACCTCATCTGCCTCCAGGGTTTCTCTGGTTCCACCTACACATGGAGGAAAATATGGTCGCAGGAAGAGTTCGCTCAAGGATCCCATGACAGTTTACGAGAGCTCCCACAAGTCCAAAAAGAACGTCTCCATGGCCGACGAGGTTAATGCGTCACACTCTTCGTCTTCTTTCTCAGCGCTGACGGCACGTGTTGGTGGCGGCAAGAAGTTCTCACAAGCTCACATCGATGCCATGAAGGCTCAGGCGGACTTTGCCAAGCCAGCACCCAAGCCCAGGGCCAGGTCGAAACCAAAGTCCAAAGCTCATTCCCAGAATTTCACATATGCCCACACAGGATCAAACTCGGAGACACATCTCGGATCGGAGCCGTCTTTGAGCAGTCTATCGTTAACCGACAACGTCGTCCCTGCATCGCCACCAGTTTTGACTCTCCAACAGATTCAGCGACAACAGGAGTGGCACATCTTGCAGATCTTGGAGGACGCCTCAAAGACCAAAGCCCTACCAACGGTCGCGGCTCGGTTCAAGCGGAAACTCCATCTCAAGAGGCTTAAGGCGTTCTTGCAGCTCCCTCTCTTTGATCTGGAAAACTACATGCGGCAACATCTTGCCTCACCCTCGGATTTGGCACCACTCTCGAAACATATCCCTCCTGACCCATACGAGCTCCGGCGACTTCGCGAGGAAGAGTTCCAGGCCAAGATTCAAAAGATCCACCACACACCCTATGGGCAGTCATTCGCCTCGCGGCTGCTGGGTCAACCTGTGGAATGCACTACTCGGAAGCCATGGGAGCAGCTGTGGAAGAGCCCGTTCTCTGGCAAGGAGCTGAAGGACTATATCTGGCGAGACTATGAGTCGAGGTCGGTGACGATGGATGTCTTGGACGAGATCCGGTCACGCTGTGGCCGTCCAGCCAAGTTACCCTGGTCGAATCTCGGATTGGAGAGTCTCTATGGCAAGGCTGGCAAGAAGCGGAAACGAGAAGAGTCGGTTGGTTTTGGTTCTGTTGGCGATATGGACGGAGTAGATCAAGAGCAGTCGGACCAGGGTAACAACAGGACTTTTGAAGGGCAGAGCCGGTTCCCAATCGACTATTGCTACTTCCGGAGAGAGCATCTTGCTCAAGTCAACGAGACTCTCTCTCGTCGTTTCTGGCCTGGTATCGACAGTAAGTCTGATATGTTGTTGCTTTGTTATATTTATTGTGTTGGCACGAACATAAGCTAATGTCCTGTTTTTTGCTCTCTTGTTGTAGTGACGGAAGCGTTGCAGTATCCCGAGTACTCTGTAGTTGTTCTCTACAAACGACTGGTGGTTGGATGTGCGTTCATGACCCCTGAAGGCTACATCACCTATGTCGCAGTCTCGGCCGGGTGGGAGAAAGCCGGCATTGGCCAGTAAGTCCCCTGTCTTGAGATTCGAGTTTAATGTCAATTGCGTAGAACTGATTTTGTTGTCCATATACTCAGCTGTTTCCTTTTTTGCACTGTCGTCATATAGGTTCATGTTGTACCATTTGATGCAGGCGTCAAACGGCAAGGATATTACTCTTCATGTGAGCGCGAACAATCCCGCGATGGTAAGTTGTGTTTTTGTGCATCCAGCTGTGCTGCGCCGAACCTGTTTGTTGTTATTTTGTATTTTCCCCCTTCTCCGCCCTCTCTTCCTCTAAACTTGTTTCGCTCTCTCATTACAAAGAAGAGACTGACTGATATGGTTGTTGTGTATTTTTTTCTACGTGATAATAGATCATGTACCAAAAGTTTGGCTTCAAACCGGAGCAATTCTTGATCAACTTTTACAAAGAGTACCTGCCGCAGGACAGCACAATGTGCCACAACGCGTTCTTTGTGCGTTTGCGACGTTGAGCGCAACCTTCTTGTTTTTGTAATCTTGGAGAGACGAGGGTGAAAATGGGGATGTATTATGCACTTGTTACATGTTCTTAAGAAGACGACTAATTACTACGAACAGCGAAAGGAATAAAAATGGCGAAAGAAGACATGACATAAAAAAACGTTATTACAAGTCGCTTGAAGAAAGAACCCAATTGTACGTTTACACTTCATTTGTCAGTTGCGAAGGAGCGATTTGTCATTTCAAGACGCAACATCGCCACTCGAAAAGAGCGAGATGAAGGGACAAATAAGCCACATGAAAACGAAAGATTTTCGATCTGCTCACTTCCGTATCGTATGGCTTTGCTTTCACAGCGGGCCATCTGTGTCAGGCCAGGCACAAAAAAACCTAATTTATAAAGCGAGTGCCAGCCCACTTTTTTTTCTACTTTTTCTTCTTCCTTCCATCTTTCTTTCAGCCAACCAACCAACTCACCACCAAACCACGAACCGACACCACCAACCACCCACAAACAACAATCAAAGCAATCAAGCAAGCCGGTCTATCCGTTGAACCATACCTTCTGTCTAACAACAACCACAACTACAACACACACAGCTTTCAATCATGGTCCAGGAAATGTCCCACATCAGATTCGATAGAGTCGAGGATGCCATTCAAGATATCGGTATGCCTCCTCCTCTTCCCTTCTCTTTCATTTCTCAAACTGTTTTCCTTTGTCACTTTCTTCCTTCTCTTTGTATCTCTCGCCGATCCACCGATCCCTGAACTCTACTCCTCGTCTTTGTATGGTCCAACGGACCGTTCCGGATTTTAATCTCTAATACGTTTTTTATTTTCTTCTTGTTTCCCGTTTCTCTCGAGATAGCTGACGGCAAGTTCATTATTGCGGTCGACAATGAAGATCGCGAGAACGAGGGAGATCTGATTATTGCCGCCGAGAAGGTGACGACCGAGCAGATGGCCTTCTTGATCCGTCACTCCAGGTAAATACCAACGGCAACAAATGCGCAAGCAATTGGTTTTTTTTGCAAAGTGTTTACGGAGAAGCAGGAGGAGAATCTCGTTCAACCGATCGGAAAAGAGTGTGCAGGAGAGATGAAGTCGAAAGCAAAGTGTAAGATCGAAGGATAAGGGGGAAAGGGTGAGGGGAATTAGGGCAAAAGGAGAGGGTGTATGTGTTTATTTGTCCGCATCCTCCTGAGTCAGCGACAAATGGGAGGGAGGGAGTGAATCGGAAGGTCAGTCATTGACGCTCACTTGTGCGATTTATAAGAGGAGACAACAATTATGGATCATGTTTTCAATTGACACCCCCACTCAACAGAAACACACATCCGAACCAACCGATCGACCGATCGACCGACCGACCGACCGAACCCAACGAACAAAGAGACAAATATCTTTTCAGAAACGAACACTCCAGGGACGCCTCTTTTTCCGAATCGGGACAAAGCGAACAGCTTTCACACATTACATTGTACAGGACCAAATTGTACGGAAGGGGGGCACGAAGAGGGCGGAAGTTCTTTCTTTTTGCCTTCTTTTTACAAATTACTCGACCTGTCCCACTCCACCCGCCTCTTTTCGTTTTGGTTGACAAGTGGGTCGAAATAAGGTTTATGTTTTTTGGTTTTCCTTTTGTCTTTCGTACTCCTTCTTTCCCTCCACCAGGACTCTTGGGCGAACACATGAAAGACACAGGAAAATTCAATTGAAGTACAAAGTACAGGAAAAACAACAGCAGCAGCAGGAGCCATAACATGAACAAGGAATACAGGATACAAGGAATCAAAACACACTGGATAATGGACCGGTTGAAGCATGGGCAATTGCATTATCCTGGAACTGGCTGGTCAAGTCTGACGACGCATTTTATATTTTTTTTTTCCGAAACGTTGGGCGTTGCATGTTGAGTCAAAAGGAGAGGACAGGACAAGAGGGTTTCTGTGTGTGTTGCGCTAGTTTCGGAGCAAGTGCTCACAGTGCACCCGTGGGTAAACAAAAAACAAATTGGCAGAAGGTTGGAGTACATGGGAAGAACTAAGCGAGGTTCATATGTGGGCGTGAAAGACCGCCGAATCACACTTCTCTCCTTGACAGAAGCGCATAAATAATTGCCGACCGATCACCCAAAGCAAAGCACTCACTCGCTCCTCCTCTCTTTCACCTCTTCCTATATTTTCCCATAATAGTGGATATGTCTGCGTACCAACCGCCCCCGCAAGGTTAAAGGAACTCGAGTTGCCCCTGATGGTGCCCAACAACGAAGACGTCTGGAAGACCGCCTACACAATCTCGGTCGACTACGCCCACGGTACCACCACCGGCATCTCGGCCCACGACCGCGCCCTCACCGCCCGGTCTCTGGCCGATCCCACAAAGACCGCGAAGGACTTCAACCGCCCCGGTCATATCCTCCCCTTGCGCTACGCCGAAGGCGGCTCGATCCGTCGCTTTGGACATACCGAGGCCTCGGTCGATCTGTGCAAACTGGCCAAGCTCCAGCCTGTGGCTGTGATCTGTGAGTTGGTTAATGATAGAGATGGCTCGATGGCTCGTCGGGATGATTGCTATGCCTTTGCCAAAAAGCATGGCATTCGGTTGGTTACTATTGCCGACATCATCAAGTACCGTCAGGAACATGGCCTCGTCGAGAACTTTTAAGTATAGTCTCATTTTCTTTCTCTTTGTTTAGAGCCAAACTGAACCTACACCTCATATCCCCCCTTACCCACTCACCCTCTTTCCCAATTGTCAATGCAAAGTACCCTTTCCCTTTCTTTCTTTCTTTTCTCACCCATTTTTGTTCTCCTTGTAGCATTACTTTCGTTCCCTCTTTAATACATGCAATTGTCTTTTTACAACTCATAAAACAACAACAGTCTGATTGTAGAGTTGTCGTTTGGGTCTGCACTTCATGCATGTACATTTTTGTTTGCATTTCACAGTGGAATTGCCTTTGAAAGTGACAGGTTTTACTTTGTGTTCCAGACACCACGCCACAAACAAAACGTGCCTTTTTGTGAGTATACAAATATCCACGAAACACTGTTTAGCAGCGCCGATAACGAAGAAATCCACCCAAGCAAACATAAGTGTATTCATTTGAATGAAGTTTTTATTTGATACAGATTGAATGATTGATGAGAAATGGTACTGATAGAATGAATATACAAAGAGAAAAAGAGAAGAGTAGATCTAGTACATCTTCTCGCGAACGGTAGCGAGCATGCGCTCCAATTCTTGAATGCGGGCCTGTTGCATCTGATCCTTGTCCGCCAACAAAGATCGCTCCAACTCGACCTCGTTCAACTTGGTCTCGAACATCGAGTTCTCAACCTCCAACTCGGCGACACGCTGCTCCAACCCTTCCATCTTGACCAACTTCTTGTGGCGCGAACGGCGGGCGGCATCGGTGTTCTTGGCACGCTTCAAGGCAGTCTCGTCCATCTCGGAGACATCCCTGCCATCCAAGACCGATGGTGGCTCGGAAGACTCGCGCTCGCGCTTCAAGCTGCTGCGGGTGAGCGAGGCTGACCGGTAGGCGCTCTTGTAGGTCGTAGAAGTGACAGATTTGCCGGGAACGGGAGTCTGTGTGCTGCTCAAGATCGAGAGCGAAGGTCTGGGGGTAGCGGGGGCCAACGCAGGGGCGGCGCGCTGCTCAGCAATGGGAGCAGGCGACAAGGGTGCGGCGGGCGAGATGGCACGCTCGGTCTGCTTGGGCAACAAGACGGGAGGCGACTGGGGAGCGGGGCTCAAGGGCGCAGCGGATGGCTTGATGGCAGCAGCAGCAGCGGGCAACTGGAGGGCCATAGGGATCGAGGCCAACAACGACTGAGCCAAGACGGCGGTCTCCAAAGACTTGCTCCAGGGAATGTTCAAGGCAGCGGCGGCTTGTTGAACAGCCTCGGGAGTCAAGGGCATCATGACCGTCGCAGGGGCGGCAGGGACGGCGGCAGTGAGGCCAAAGAGAGAGCTGAGCGAGGCAGCAGCAGTGGGGGCGGACTGGACCTCGGGGAAGAGAGCCATCGAGGCATCCAAACCGGACGACTGGATGAAATCGGCATCCGAGGCGATGGAGTCGAAGCCAACAACAGGTGAGTCGCTCTCGTTGGAGGAGAGGAGAGGGCTGTTGTTGGAGTCCGAGTCGGAGGAGAGCGCGGGATCCTCATTGCCCAGGTATCCAACCTGCTGGAGATCGTTGGCGAGCCAGTCATCGAAGAGCGAGGCCGAGAGATCGTTGGAGGTGCTGAAGATACTATCGAGGCTGCTGTAGTCGATCAACTCCTGGCGGGCTGTGGTGGCCTTCTTGTTGTTGCCTGTTTGTAAAGAAATAGAAAGAGGTATTATTAGGTTAGAGATCACGTGGCAATTGTAGAAACTCCGGCGGGGAAGCACGGAAGAACGACTGACGAAAAGACAGTCCGATTACTCATAGCTGTCATTTCAGTCACATCGAATAAAAAACTTTAATCAATCAATGAGAGCAGAATACATACCTTGGAGGGCAAAGTCAAGCGAGTCGGCAGACATCATCAAGCGCTCGGCAGTGCCGGCGTTGAAGGCGGTGAAGGTGTTGTTTGTGGTCATTTTTTTGGGATGATCTTTTTCTGGGGCGAAGGGTTTTCTGTCGGGGTGGGTGTGGAATATGGATGTTCTCTTTTTTTTTTTGTTTCAAAAAAGGGCAAGTTCAAAAAAGGTTACTGGAATGGGTTGGTTTAAGATGGTTGTGGGAAAGGTCTATGTCTATCGAAGGATGATTTGGGTTCTGAAAATCTGTTGTTTGAAGCACTGGGGGAGGGGGGGCAAGAGGGGACCATTTTGATAATTGAGATAAGAGAGATAATTGACTGATGAGGATTGTAGTTGATGAGACTAAGATTGAGTAGTGACACTGATAAGATATTGTAAGTTGACACTGATGAGAGAAGACTGAGATAGATTTTTCACTGAGATATTGAGATTGAGACGAGAGGGAGTAAAACGTTTAAACGATAATGGACGACATCTTGGAGACGTTGGGGTGAAGTGAAAATGGGGAAAGGTTTAAAAAATAAAAATTAAAAAAAAAGGTAGAAGTAGTTGGATCAAAAAGAGATCAAAGAATAGGTGCTTGTAAAAGTAGTTTTGTTTTGTGAAAAAGGAGCGTGGTTGGTTTTTTGGTTGTTTGAAGGGCTTGTGGGTTGGGGGGGAGAGTGAAAAGTGAAGAAGAAGAAGAAAAAGAAAAAAGAAGAGAGAGGAAGCGAGAGGGCTTAAATAGTCCAGGGAGAGAGCGACTGGTGGTCCACTCGTAACAAATCGCTCTCTCCCGCCTGCGGCCCATCTTTTGAGAGGAGGGGGCAGATGGGCAGGGGAGGGAGACAGGCAAAGAGAGGCATAATGTGTTCTTGGCTTCTAATTGGTGCGTTTCAATCGCGCCATCACACACTCAATCTTTTTTCTTTTCAAGGGGTTGGGCAGAGAAGGCGCACACAGAGAATAGGAAAAGGTCGGGTTTGATTCAGAAGAAAGCAAACGTATCAAAGGAGATGTAAAGACTTGACTTTGGGGCTTACTGAATCCCGCTCTCTTCGAGAGTGCCCTTCTATCCTTCTTTTTCCTTTCATCAGTCTCTGACTGAAGGAAGGATGAACTCTCATCGGAGTAGATCTCCACTTTTCTTTTGAAACGTTTCTTGAGTCCACTTGCCTGGCTTGAACAAAAAGGGGCATGCACATCCAAAAGTAAGGAGCGAGTTCTGGCTTGTTTGTTAGCGTGGATCTCCCTCTCTTGGCTATACTACCGTTGTAGATGTTATCGCATCAGGTCGATGCTCTATGTGGTAGATGTTTTTGCTTGTTGGAGAAAACATTAAAATAGAAGATTATCAGGGTACGGAGCATTTTTTTTTCTCCATGCAAGATGTGCAGTAGGTTGCTTGTTTGTTTGTTTTGTTGTCACTTGTCTTGTCTGACCCTGTGGCTGCTGTGTTTTCACCCTCTCCTCCATCGAGTAAGATATTTGTTTATCTAAGCGCTCAAGGAGAAAAACTTATCTCCACTTTCCAAGACCCCACCCCCTTTCTCTTCAAAAAAAGAGATACTGGTGCCTAAGGGCTTGCTCGATAGACTGAAAAGATAGATAGCGAGAGATAGATAGATAGCACAGTTGGTTCCTGGAGGAGAGAGAGAGGGCATTAAAAAGAGAATGGGTGGCGGGTCCCAATTGGATACCGTTAAGGTTGCGTGGAGCATGACCCTTGCTTTCTATTCTTTCCTATTCTTTTTTGTGTCAATCTCTTGTGTCGGTTTCCTTTGTCCGTTCCTTTTCTCCTTTCCTTCGCAGAAACCCTGGGCTGCAGGGCGGGGCAAGAGTGGGCAAGACAAGGCAAGGCAAGGCAAGGCACCGTGACGCCGATCCGCCTAGAACAAAGAAAACCTCTGTCGCTGAGTTACATCCCGCTCCGTTCATTTTGTACTTTGTCGTTCGTTTACTCGTTTGCTCGGTTGAAAAAAAAAAGATCGGCTTGAACGGGGAACCTTGTCTTTCTGTGTTCTTGCTCCCTCTCGTCGTCCGACACGGAGAAAAGAAAGTGGTGAGTGTCCACCGCCCGCCAAAAAGTGTACCATACGCCCTCTACAAACAAATGTATACTGGCTGGGCTCGATTTTTTTTTGTTTTTGTTTGGCCGTTCTTGCTGTACTCTGCGAGTATGTTGTTTTAGGAGATGTTGGGTCAGCCAACACTTCTCTAGATCGATCTGGAGACGCCGTTTTTTCATATGAAAGTAATTAGGAAGCTACTTTTTATTATCATTTCACTCCTATGGTTCTAGCTAGAAACGCGCCGTGTAGAATGGCTAAAGTACGTACATGTATCGTAGAGAAAGCCAGGGAAGTGCTCCTGCTCCCTTTGTTCTTATTCTTTCCCTCGAGATCCTGTCGATCTTTAGCTGTTTCATCTCCTGTTGAAGGTTGCTGTCCCCTGGATTTCCATCATCCGTTGAAACATACATCGACATCGACATCGACGGCGCGATTCACCGCCTTGACCTTGGAAGACGTGAAAAAGCAGTTGGAAAAACAAGGGGGGGAAAGGGGGACAACAGCAGGTGTTGTTGATCTTTTGCAAAATAATAACAGTCGCCCTTTACTTGAAGCCACTTTTCTCAATTGAAGTAGTTGACGTCAATTGCCGCTTTCCCGCCTTTGAACGCTCTCGACAGCGAGAATGAAGGCCTATTGGTGACACTTTTTTCCTTGAGGTTCAGAACAAGATAGAAAGGATGTGAAATTAGGAAGAACAAAATAATGGAGAGAGACTGAGGAAGGCGCGAGGTGGTGGAGCAACAAGGTCTCTGGAACTGGAGGTAATGGAGGTAGAGAGTAGTCCACCCGGAGGGGTGGAGGTGGGGGTGGCGACCAAGGTGGAATGAAGGGAATAATGGCTGGTCCGGGGAGGACGAACGTTTACCCATGTCATCATTATGAGGCTATAAGCGGCATTTGATATGCTATGCGGCGGTGGATGTGGGTGGGTGGACAATTGAGAGCGATTCGCGATGGGTGGTCCCTGTCCTACCTGCCTTGGGCTGAAAAGAGCACGAAGAACAAGGCAGCGCTAACAGAAATACATCACGACACAAAGACGTCTTCTTATCTTCGGACGTTCTTCCTTTCTGCTTTTTTCTTCTTCTTCATCTTCCCTTCCTTTTCTTCATTCGGCTTTTGCATTCATTCTTTACACCAGCATAACTAGCATACACACGACATGCTTAGACTCATTCGCACTCAGGGGCATCAACACCTCCGTCCGTCGCTCCAAAACGGTCAACACCAATACAGGATTCCAGCCTCCAGGAACTTTGCCTTGTCCACCAAAACAAACCAAGCTTCATCCGCTCCTCCACCTCCAACTCCAACTCCACCACCAAAGCCCACAAAGTCGCGCTTATTCCGTGTGGGCCGTGCAATCATCTTGACAGGAGTTGGAGTCCCAGTCGTGGGTGCATTAGCCTGGGTCACTTACGACACGCTCTTTGAGACCCATGGCGATATCATGCACCAGAAACGTCCTCGTCATGTTGTCGGCGGGCCCAAGAACCTGGTCATGACCCATGGATGCAAAGGAAGTGTTCTTAAGGCCGAGGAGATCCATCAGAACGACCCTCGACAGAGGCTTGTCATCCTCGGGAGCGGGTGGGGTGTAAGTTTTGATGGCAGAGGGAGGAGGCTTCGCGTTTTTGGGTTATCTGATTGCGGGTTGTTATCTTTCTGATGGTTTTTTTTTTCGGGACGCGAGGAAGAAAGAGAAGGATGGTTGATCGTTATCTATTCTTGATGGTGTACTTTGAAAGGAAGAGGCTGAGAGTGCGCAAGAATGCTCATCTGTTTGCATTTTTCTTTTATCTCTCTCTCTTTTGTGAACAAATAGGCCGTGTCTGTGATTAACCAGCTGGATCCTAAAAAGTTCCATGTCACCGTCATCTCCCCAACGTGAGTAAAGCCATTGGTTTGGAGTGAGCACGTTCAGAACATCTCTTCCCAGTCGTTCTTTTGTCTGTTGTGTAGAAATGTCACTTACGTACAATTCCATCTCTCTTTAGAAACTACTTTCTCTTTACGCCATTGCTTCCAAGCGCAACGTAAGTGTGTGATTCTTCTTCCTCCTCCGTGAAGGTGATGCGCTCGAACCGACGAGCCTAATGAATTTTTTTTTCCACAAGCTAACCACGCGCATGTTTATTCTGTACTTTTGTAATTGTGGACAGCGTGGGTACTCTCGAGCTGAGGTAAGAAAAAAAAAGATTTGCAGGAACGATATTATTCTCACACCGAGGGAAGAAAACCAGCAGGCTGAGTGGATATTTACTTTGCCATGGTCTCACTTTCCTCGCATACTGCAGATCGCTTATCGAACCCGTCAGGAGGCTGTTGTCGCGACTTGGCGGATACTACTTGGAGGGGCGCGCTGACGATATTGATTTTGAGAACCAGTTGGTTGAGGTCGTCGGAGTCAATGACAGCGATGGACGCAAGTTCTATGGTAAGCTGCGGTTCGTCATCGACCATGCCTTATTCTCTACAGGGACAAGGCGAAAAAGGAACCGAAACTGAAAGAACGAAAACAATCACTAACAGGCATATCTCTTTCTCTGGTAAATAGTTCCCTATGACAAGTTGGTGATTGCAGTCGGCTCAGAGTCAATGACCCATGGAGTTGAGGGACTGGAGCACTGCAACTTCCTCAAGTCGATCGGAGACGCCCGTGATATCAGGAGGAAAGTTATGGAGAACTTTGAAAAGGCCAGTTTGCCCACCACCACCGACGAGGAGCGTCGCCAACTTCTCAGTTTTGTCGTCTGCGGTGGAGGTAATGTCCCTTTGCGGCGTTCTTGCTTTCACTTTTGTTGATTGAGAAAAGAGAGATGGTGCCCGTGAACCGTCAAGCTAATGTACGCCTGCTTTCATTGACTGTAGGCCCCACTGGAGTCGAGTTTGCTGCCGAGTTATACGATTTCTTGAGCGAGGACCTTGTTGGATACGTAAGCCGATCTTTCTTTCTGTTTTGTGTTTATTGTCTCTGCGTCGAACAGCCGCATGCACAGGAGCAAAAAAGAGACCTAGACTTCTAACCAGCACCCTCTTGCCTTTGTTTATACGCGTATATTCCCGACTATATCCAGTTCCCTGCAATTCACCTCGACGACGTGCAGGTCAACATTATCCAGAGTGCAGAACACATCCTCAACACCTATGGTAAGCCTCCAGCAACCTGTTGTTTATTCATGGTATGACTAAACGCCAGTGTTGGGAGTATGAAAATTGCTTCTGACAATACACGCTTTGTGTTTCCTTGATTTTTTAGACCTGAAGATTAGTGAGATGACGGAGGCAAAGTTTAAGCGGGACAAAATCAACGTGGTGACCAACTCGCGCGTCGTCAAGGTGAACCCGACCTCGGTCGTCTACAAGGACAAGTCGACTGGAAAGCAGCAGGAAGTACCCTTTGGGGTCTGCCTGTGGTCGACTGGAGTTGGAATGACTCCTCTTGTCAAGTCTCTTGTGCAAAAGTTGCCCGAGGGTTCGCAGCAAAACAGGCATGCGATTGAGACGGATCGGTACATGCGTGTCATTGGAACTCCTGAAGGAACCGTCTATGCCATTGGCGACTGTGCCACCATCCGTATGCCCTCTTTCCCTGTTGTAGTTTCTATGCCTCTTGGTCCCTGTGTTCCCTCTATTGATACCTCTTGAACTAAAATTTTGTATTATCCTTTCTATTTGACAAAACATAGCTCAACCTCACTTTGTTGAAAAGGTGATGGACATCCTGAAGGAGAGCGACACCAACGGAGACAATGTCTTGAGCTACGAAGAATTCCAAGAACTGGCCAACAAGATCATTGCCAAACATAATGTCCTCAAGGTCTTCCTTGGCCGTCTGGACAAGGTCTTTGAGGAATACGACAAGGACAAGAACGGAACCTTGGACCTGGACGAGATCCGAGCCTTCCTTGTCGATGCCGAGAAGGGATGCACCGCCTTGCCCGCTGTAAGTCTTTGTCTTTTTTTATTTTTAATTCCTGTTTTCTTGTTGTTGTTTTTTTTTAATACCGTGTCCGTCTCGCACACCTCTGACACACTCGTTCTCGTGGACATATCTACAATAGACGGCACAAGTAGCAAACCAGCAGGGCAAATTCGTCGGAGAAAGGATCAACACCCTGCACGCGATCGAGAACGACCCCGTGGCCGTCGCAGCATTGCCCCAATTCAACTACAGACATCTCGGATCGCTGGCCTATATCGGTGGCGGCGGCGCAGCCTTGGATATGGGCCAGGGTTTGGTCTATGGAGGTATTGGCTCAGAATACTTGTGGCGATCGGTCTACTTTAGCGAGCAGGTTTCGATCCGGACACGTCTCCTCCTCCTCATGGATTGGTCCAAGCGCGCCCTCTTTGGTCGCGACATCAGCAAGTTCTAAGCCCAACCATACCATTCCGACGTGAATACATCGTGACAAAATAAAGAGTAACTAACCAACGATCATTGCTGTCTCCTGTCAGTCTCTATTATGGTACAATTGTGCTACGTTTTTATGTTACAAAACCAAGATGATTTATCCTCCAGTCCCTCCCTCTCTCTCCTCCAGCCTTAATCGTCTTCCTCCATCGCCTCGACTCTAGCATCCTCGTCCTCGTTGTCGTCGTCGTTTTCCTTCCTTCCCTTACCCTTCGCCATCGTATTAGATCCGCCACCATCTTCCTCCTCGTCAGAGCTATCCTCCTCTCCTCCTTCTTGTCCAGAGTCGCTATCATCATCTTCGATATCGTACTCATCCTCCTCTTCTTCCTCCTCCTCTTCATCCTCATCCGCCTCCATCTGATCATCCTCCTCATCGTCGACCTCATCCAACTTGACAGGCTTGGGCAGACCGCCAAATCCAACATAGTGGCCATACTCCCGCTCCATGAACCGCAACATGTACTCGTCAACATGGCCCATCTCAATCACCTCACCCTCTTCTTCGTCGACAGCGTTCGAATTCGACGAAGCCTCAAACTGGACGCGTGTCTCACCAGACTCGCCATGCTTTCCACCCTTGTCGCCCTTGCCAGCCTTGGAAGGTTCAGTCGAACCATTAGGACCAGCACCGGCAGCAGCAGCTACTCCCGCCTCCGAAAAGTCTCCAATATCGACGCCCTCCATCTCATGCTTGGCCTGCTGCATCGCCAGGACATCGTTCTCATCCTCAGCCGCCGCCAATGCCTGTTCCAAATCAGTGCCATGGACAGTCGAGATATCCTGAGGCTCGCCATTGGCTTGAGTAGGTCCCAGATCGCCAATTTTGGCCAGATCCTCCTCTGCCAACATATCTCGCCAGTCCATCTTTTGAAAGTAGTCCGTTGTGAACTCTCCCTCCTGGATGACGACATTGTCCAGCATGCGCTTCTGGTTGGCCTTCTTCAGCATGTTCTCCTCAATCGTAAACTCGCTGACGAAGCGGTAAATATGGACATCCCTTGTCTGGCCAATACGATGACATCTGGTAGAGCGATAAAACAAAGAGTTTGTAGTTAGAATCCTGTCCCAGTTGTAAAGTATTCGCTCATGTCATGAAATTTTTCGCAAACAATTGCAGTCAATTGAAGCATACCTGTCCTGGCACTGCCTGTCCATAGAGGGATTCCAGTCCGAATCGTAAAAGATGACAGTGTCGGCTCCGGTCAAATTAATACCAACACCACCCGAGCGAGTCGAAAGAATGAATGCCAGGATCTTGGGATCAGAGTTGAAACGATCTGTGAGATGCTGTCGGTTTTCCACCTTGGTTGCACCGTCCAGGCGCAAGTAGCGATGTCCGTGAATGTTCAAAAAGATCTCCAGGATGTCGAGAACCTTGGTCATCTGTGTAAAGATCAACGCACGGTGACCTCCCGATTTGAGCTCACGTAACAGACTGTCCAGCTTCTGCAGCTTGCCACAATCAAACTGAAGCAGCCGTTTGTCAGGGAACTGGACTTGAAGACAAGAGTCGACAGGATGAAGGAACTCTTCGGCTTGCTGGCAGGCAACCTCAAGTGGCGACGGTGACGGGTTAACATGAATCGGGCTCCATGTCAGATCCCGAACCAAGACAGCTGGGGTCACAAAGGCGAAGCGCTTGATGGTCTCCTGGCTTTGATAGAACCGGTCTGCACTCGAAACGACGGTTTGGGCGATCGCATTGGTATACTTGAGGTACTGCCGAGGGTCCGAAGCCTGGTCCAGGATATGCGCACAACCTTTCCTGACTCTGGGGGGTTCCTGGCATATGCGGAGAAGGCTCGATCCAAACATCAAGTTGCTGTGGCACCGGTTGCTGTTGACATATCCCAGTTGGTCCCAGCGTTGACGGCTCGTCTGCAAGTGGAGATGTCGCCTCATACTGGAGTACTGCCGAATATCCTGATAGTGATGTCCGTTCGACAGAGTCTTGGCCTGGGTGCTGGCAAACTCGGATGCCTTCTTCTGGAAACAGCGAGTCGCATCCAGCTCGGTCATAATATCCAGATCCATTGTTGACAAACGTTCTTCCGCGTCCGTAAAGACTAGCCCCAGAAACCCAAGGTTGACGGAGTCTCGGGTCTTGTCGATCTCGGCAAACATCTTTCGGCGGATTAAAAACTCGCTGATCTCAAAGGAGGTCACCGCCGAGGGCATGGCAAAGGAGGTGACAATCGGGCGGACCTCGAAGAGATCAGGGTGGTTGCAGACCTTACGGAGCTGCATCAGACAATTGATGATGCTCAAAAAGTTGCCTGACGCCAGTGTCTCCCGGGTCTTGGCGCGACTCATAAAGTCGTCGTACAAAAACCGTTGGCGTTTCGACAGTCGACAATAGACTATGTGCTCGTACTTGGCCGGCATCTGAGTTTCGACATCTGCCTTCAGACGACGAAGTAGGTAAGGTCGCAGAACCGTGTGCAATCGAGCAATAGCTGCCTTGGAGTCCTCGTCCTGCTGCTCGTTGCCCTCAATCATGCGGTCGACTGGGTGCGAGAACCATTCCTGAAACTCCTTCTGATTGGCGAAGCCGACCGGCATGGTCTCCGAAACGCCGTTGGGCATCAAAAAGTATAGAAGCGACCAGAGCTCCATGAGGTTGTTCTGCAGCGGGGTTCCTGTCAACAACAGACGCCGAGCGGAATTGAAGTTGAGGAGAGTCTGCCAGCGTTGGGACCGGAAGTTCTTGATGTTGTGCGCCTCGTCCAGAATCAAGTACTGCCAGGCTTTACGACGGAACACGGTTTGATCCTGAACAACCAGCTGGTAGGAGGTGATACAGACGTGAAAGGAGTGCTCGCGGGACCAGCCGACACGCTTCTCCTTGCGCTCCTTAGGACTGCCGTAGTAGGTCATGATCTTGAAGCCTGGACACCACTTCTTGAACTCCATCTCCCAGTTGAGCATCACACTCGTCGGCACGACAATCAAATGCGGACCCCAGATTCCGTGTTCGCACGCCAGGTGGGCCAAGAGAGCGATCGTCTGCATAGTCTTGCCAAGACCCATCTCGTCTGCCAGAATACCGTTGAGACCGTTGCTGTAGAGATTGGCGAGCCAGTCCATTCCGACGTGCTGATACTCTCGGAGCTGATGTTTGAGAAGGAAAGGAATCTTGGTCTTGACGTTGGCGCCAGTCTCGAATGTATCGATCTCGGGTGTCACAGATCGGGTCACTGGATCCAGCAGCGGAAGCATGTCGCCAAGAGAAAGCTCGTCGTCCGTGCCATAGATCGAGATCGTGCGGTTGTCGTCGTACTCTGTATCCGTGTCTGTGAACTCACTGCTAGGCCTCGTCGGGAACTTTCGGCTAGTGGCGACATCTTGAAGGGTGACGACGAATCGGGGGTCGGCGCGCTTGGCTCGTTGCTGTGCACTCATGATACTCATGCCCTCATACTCGGAATCAGAGTCGTAGTGCGAATCTGAGTACTCTGAACTCTCCGCCTCGTACGAGTAACGCTCAAGCAAGTTCTCAATCGGCAGGTCTTTCTCCTGGATAAGATCTGCCAGTTCCTCAGGGTCCGAGTCCACCTCCTCAAGCTCTTCCTTTTCCATCGTGCGCTCATCGTCCACCTCGCCGTATGGGTTCCATGGAAGTGGAGGCCCGCGGTAAAGATCGGTGAGTGACAGACGCCTCCGCTTGGTACGGTGTCCTCTTTCTGAAGTGGACAACGGGCTGGATTTGCTCGCGGCCTTAATCCCTTCTGGCAACGCCTTGGCAATCTCCTTCGAGGACAAGACTCTTTCCTCGGACTGGGCGGAACTTGAAGCGACACTTGCCATGTGTTCATTGTCGGGGGTATCTTTGCTGGTCTGTGCTCTTCCATCTCCCGTCTGAGCGTCTACCTGCATGTCCATGGATTCATCAGCTATAGCATCCTTGAGAGAGCTGACGGTCTGTTCCTCGGCATCCTCCTCGATTTTGAGGAAAACCTGGTCCTCCTGCGGTTCGTCCTTGGAAGATGGCTCAGACGACTTTTCCTTCTTGGCTGCGGTGCCGCTCGTTGGTTTGTCGTCCATCTCCTCGTCATCCTGCTCGTCATCGCCATCGCTCTCTTCGCCTCCGGAAAGCTGGTAGCCATATTGTCGCAGGAGCTCCTCAATTGGGATATCCATTTCGGCGGCCAGGCCATTGATTTCTGCTTCGTCATCCTCGCTTCCCGATTCCTCGTTGGCTAGCGTCGTTTCATCATCAGCATCAAGCTCCGCAGCGGTAAACTCGGCGTCTCCTGCATCCAGCTCGGCATCTGACGAAATAGCCGATAATGCCACAGAAGATCGACGGCTGCTCGGCTCAGTAGCTGAAGGCAAGGATGGGAGGTCGCTGAGTACTTCAGACAGGTCCGGGGCATCGGAGGCGGGTCCAGTTCCAGGGGTAACAGGTGTTCCAATCAGCGTACTCTGCTGCACCTCCAGAATTTGCGTCGAGTGTTCCAGAATGAGGTTCAGGTGTCGCTTGCCAGCCTCTTCCTGTTCCTCCTTCAACAATGCCTTGTGGCGAGCCTTGACGATCTGTAACGGAGAAATGAAGGTCATTCAACATTAGCAAGTGATAACTTACGACGAGTCTATCACCAAAACACTAAACACATATCCTCCAGAAACTTACTCCCTCGACGTAGCGCCATTTCTTTTTCACTTCGTTAGACGTCAGCTTGGCCACCTTCCGCATCCGCTTCTCCTCCAGCCGCTGTTCGCGCTCGCTCTTGCCGTGGAGCTGCTCAAAGTGGCGAGTAATCATCTTGCTGACTTTGCGAGCGCGGGAAATCTGCAGCTTTCCTTCCTCCTTGATAAGTCGTGACGATGTCATGATGTGCTCCATCAGCCAATTGTACTGCAGCTTTGGAACCTCAGGGTCGACAAAAGGCTTGCCTGGCTTGCCACCAAGTCTTCCCTCGCTCCTCAGTGTGTCGATTCGATCCAGAAGCTGAGCATGCGCCTCGGCACGACTATCAGCTTCCTCCGGCGTCACCTCCTCATCATCCACGTAGACAAACGAGTTGAGGTACTGGTCAAAGCTGGCGAATTGTGAAGGGTATCCTCGTAATGGTCCTTGACGGATTAGGTCAATCGAGCTGGACAAATCCGTGCGTCGTGGTAAAGCGCCCTCCACGTTCTTTTGAAGTATGTCCACCAGTTGCTCGCGATGTTCATTGGCGCTCCTCCTAGTCGATATCCTGTTGGTGCTCAATTGAACGCTCGACACTAGATCCGGCACCTGGGACCAGAGATCAAAGTTGCGAAGAAACTAATTGTAGTTGATACAAATGCCAAGCGTGGTGATCAGTTTTTGTTCATTTTAAAATTAGCAACAGACAAGCAAAAGACTTCTTATCATTCAACATACCCTGATCATTTTCTCGCTGTGGTCCGACTTAATTTTGACAGGGTCGTACGTCAGCATCGTCGTGTACGTCTCCAAATGATAAAGCTCGCGTGCCAGACTATCGTGACGATCGATGACTTCGTGAAGTTTCCCTTCCTGCTCGGCAACTTTGGCCTGACGCAGGCGATCCAGGGGTGTCAGAGGTTTTTGGGGTGCTGGAGGCTTGGGAGACTCAGGTGGTGGTGGAGGTTTGTTGCGTGCCGAGCTTTGACTGGAGGTGGACATGTTGGTGAGCGAAACGACACGTCGCTTACGAAGAGGGAATCCAGACTCCATGCCATCAGGTGATCCAGGGGTGTCCTCCTCCTCTACTTCGCTTTTGTTGTAGCGTTTCCGAGACCTTGATGAGGCTGGCGACGATTCAGGGATGACAATTTGTGTCTGGGTCGGATACTTCCAGTGCGACGACGTCGGGGATGATGAGGAGGGAGACGAGCTATCAGCGCTCCTGGGAGGCCTTCCAGGGCCGCGTCGTACCACTGTCACAGGCTCACTTGCCGTGGATGATGGAGATTTTGGAGTAGAAGCTGCATTGCTGGATCGCGAGCCGTTAATGGTGGTATGATTGGATGATCTGACCATGGTAGGCGAGGCAGACTTTGACTTTGTCCTTGACCCGGCAGTGACCATGTTGACCACATGAGGTGTCGCTTTGAATGAGAGTGGGTTACGGGGAGGTCTTCCTGGCCCACGCTTCAATGGAATCACCGGTGGAGGAGAGGGTGGAGCCGATTTGGCAACAGCCGCAGAACGATGGATATTGTTTGGGTTGGTGACTGGTCGCCCAGGTCCTCTTTTCCGGGGCGGTTCCTGTGCTGGCTGTTGGTTGAGTAATGGGCGTTGATTTGATGGCGTTGCCTTGACTGTGTTGGGCTTGGTGGACACTGGTGCTGGCGTGAAGTCTGTGAGAAACTTTCCAGGGGTTCGAATTTGTCGAGAGGAGGTCCGCTGTCCTGTCATTCTACTGGGGTTTGCAGTCTCCGGTGTGGAATCCTGCGGTCGTGTCGTGTGAGTGTTCTGTCCCAGAATTACTGGCGAACCCAAAATAGGCGAGACGGTGACGGCCCGAGGTGTTCTCCGCGGACGGGAAGTCGATTCGGAAGAGGTGTCGACAGCGGGAGCGGGTGTTGATGCCATCTGGGACCGTGGGGGTCTGCCCGGGCCCCTCTTGACGGGAACTGGCTCAGCGGGAGAATCAGTCGAAACGTGACCGTTGGGTATCACAGTCGTCGCTGTCGTAGTCGTAGTCGTAACTACTGGGTCCGTAGACTTTTGTTGTTGTTGTTGTTGTTGTTGTTGTTGTTCCTGTCTCTCTTCCAGGGTCCCCGTCTCTGTTTTGGTGTTGGTGATGTTGTTGAGTGAGGACGATTCTTCCTTGATAACCGTGCCAAGGCTGCCTGAATCCATGATCTGTGCTTGCTCGCTTGGTGGTGAATTCACCGCAGAAGAGGACTGAGATGTTGCCATGGACGAGTGTGATTCAAGATTCAGGGGACGGCTGATGTAAGGATCGAGAGCTTGTTTGGTGCCCTGGTCCAAGGGGTTTGAGTGTAGGGAAGAAGGGAAGGTTGCCCTGTGAGGGGATCTGGGCGAGGACACGGGTCTGTTTGTGGCATCAGTCTCGGACGCGGCGGCAGCAGCGGGCGCTTGAGCTTGAGCTTGGACTATGGGAGTGGGTGGGATGAGTGCTGTTGCTGTTGCTGCGTTGACGTTCGCTTCTGCTGGGGCCGAGGCAAGAAGGTTCGGGGAGGGTTCTGGGTTCTTGGACATGAATTCAAGGCAGGATCAGTGGCGTCAGTAGACGCATCAAAAGCCGCGTTTCTTTTTTTCTCGGTTGGTTGCGATCGACAGGCCTTGTAGAAAATGATGTTTGTGAGTGAGCGAGGGAGTGAAGGATGTAAGTTTATGAAAGAGGGGTCGAATGAAGGCGTGGGAGTGGGAGTGGAAAAGGGAGTGAAGTGAAAGTAAAAGTAAAGAAGAATCAAAAATTATGAAAGGGGGAAGAGGGAAGGGGATCAAAAAGTGGAGAAAGAAAACAAAATAAAAAAGTCAAAACGCAACACAACCAACAACGCAAAGAAAATAACAGCAACAACAACAACAACAACAACAACAACAATAACAACAACAAACATATCAGTCTTGTCAAAAGAGAGATACATACCCTTGAAGATCCTATCTCTACGATGAATATTGTGTCTGTGTATATGTATGTGTATGTGTATGTATGTGTGTGTGTGTATGACCAGGGGTCTACTTCCTCATCCTGTACTGCACTCCTATCGTTTTCCTCTGGTTTGTTGTCCATCTTTTTGACAGAGACGCGCGACCACTCCTTACTTTTTTGATTTTCTGTGGCTTGGATTCATCCTCTTGTTGGAGGCACAAGAGTTAAGAGCGAGCGTTCCTTCGTCTTTCAACAATAAAAGATCCTTTTCCTCCACACAACATAACGACCATGGCACAGCCAATAGAGCGCAACCAGGATGCAACAGTCTACGTCGGCAACCTCGACGACCGATGCTCAGACACACTTGTCTGGGAGCTGATGGCGCAAGCAGGACCCGTCGGTAAGCTATACTCGAATCCTTTCGTAGATGACATCGCGTTGTTTACTCTGGGACCAGGACAAGGTCAAGGTTCTTGTCATTGCTAACATGCATCACCAATACTCATCGTCTTTTCTATTAATATTTGCTACACCTAGTTAATGTACATTTGCCCAAGGACAGAGTGACACAGATGCATCAAAACTACGGATTCTGCGAATACGTATCAGAAGACGACGCGGACTATGCCTGCAAGATCCTCAATCAGGTCAAACTCTACGGAAAGCCCCTCAGGATCAACAAAGCAACATCGGACAAGAAGAACCTCGATGTGGGTGCCTCGCTCTTCATTGGAAACCTTTCGCCCGACGCAGACGAGACATTACTTCGCGACACATTCAGCGCTTTTGGAACAATCATGGGACACGCCAAAGTGGCACGCGATCTCGAGACGGGTCAATCGAAGGGATATGGTTTCGTCAGTTTTGACAACTTTGAGAGTTCAGATGCAGCTATCGATGCCATGAACGGACAGATCTTGGCCAACAAGCCCATCACAGTCGGATATGCCTACAAGAAGGACGGAAAGGGAGAGCGACACGGATCAGCCGCAGGTATGCAAATGCCCTTTGGCACGACTGCAACTTATTCGTGATTTATGCTTTGAAGATTTGCATTTTATTCCTCTTTACTGACCCACATTTCTCTATGATCTTATCTATAGAACGTTTGATCGCTGCTCAAGGAAAAAAGAACCAGCCTATGCCAAATCGTTTCTTCGCAGACATTCCAGGAGCGGGACCCGGAGCGGGATCTGGACCAGGTGGATTCATACCCACAGGAGCCAACGCTGCAGCACCCATGTCTCGCCCACCACCCTTTTCACAGCCCCATGGACAACCCCTCGGCATGCCACGGCCACCAGCACCGTATGGTCAGCCTCCACGGTTCGGCGGATATCCTAATCATATGCAACCCCCGCCACAGCCACAATACCACGGAAGCAATGCCATTCCTCTGGGTCAACCATCAAGGCCTCCTCCTTTTGGCGCCATTCCACCACCTGGCGCACCGCTTCCTCCTCCCCCTGGCATGTATGGGCACAACCCTAACCAGCCTCCAATGATGCAAGGAGGACCACCCCCTCCCCACGGGTATCCTCCAATGCAGCAGCCAGGATACCCAGGGGCACCCCCACCCCCAATGAGGCCCCCAGGAAACTATGCACCCTATGGCGCACCTCCACCACCCCCAGGCTACCAGGGCTATCCTGGCCAGTAATAGTGTCGTCCGTAAAGATGCATTGAGAGATGAAATAATAAAAATGCAGCGGCGTCAAAGCCACCCACCAATCAAAACATACTCGGACCCTTTCTTTGCAAAGGGTGTCTCTCTGTTTCCTCTCGCTCTCGCTCTCTCCCTCTCTCCTCTGTACCCCTGATCAGCTTCTGTCGAGCATCGCCATCACACAACCCAGCAAAGCAGGACCATTGTTCATTACAGGAGCACCCTTCACCGTATTTTTTAATTCGAAACTTCCCGCTCATGTTCAAGGTTTCAAGGAAACTGGTGCTTGTCAGTCACACCACCACTCTATCCAGGAACGCCTTCTCGACCCTCACCAAGACCCCCTTCCGAACCCTGCAACGCAACACCCGGACTGTAGTATGGAACACTCGTTCGTCACTTTCGGGGCAGGTGCGGTCAGTAACTTTGGCGGCTTCGCAGGCTCTCCCTCCCACCCCTGAGACCTCGTACGACGTTATCGTTGTAGGAGGAGGCCATGCAGGGTCCGAAGCCTGTGCCGCTGCTGCCAGAACAGGCGCCAAGACATTGCTGCTCACCCAAAAGCTGGACACCATCGGTATGCTCCTTCAACTGAAATTCATAAGACTCGATTGTACCCACTAAAAAACCAAATCAAGCCGGATCCGACTGACATAACTGCCTTTTGAATCCTCCATAGGTGAAATGTCATGCAATCCCTCATTTGGTGGCGTTGGCAAAGGAGTCCTTGTTCGGGAGATTGACGCTCTGGATGGTCTCTGTGGCCGTATCTCGGATTTAGCTGGCGTGCAATTTAGGATCTTGAACCGATCTAAGGGACCTGCGGTTCACGGCCCTCGTGCTCAGATCGACAGGAAGCTGTACAAGAAACACATGCAGGCTGCCTTGAACGAGTATCCTAACTTGACTATCAAGGCTGGATCAGTCTCCGATATTGTTCTCGGGGCCGAGATCTTGCCACCCACTCCTGGCCAGAATAACGTACAAGGAGAGATCAAAGGAATCAAGCTTGGTATGTCACATATATCTGCTATGTTCTTGTCTGCCTTGTCGTCTTTGAAGGCTGTTAGATAACATAGTGCTCATTCAACATTTCTCTCGTCTGTCTGCTGGTTCGTGGTAATGATTAGAATCGGGAGAGGTGATCCACGCACCCAAGGTGGTTATTACTACAGGGACGTTTTTGCGAGGAGAGATTCATATCGGACTGGAGGCATATCCCGCTGGACGTATCGACGAGGAGGCATCTATTGGACTTTCGGATTCACTGGCACAGGCAGGATTCGAACTCTCTCGACTCAAGACCGGAACACCCCCTCGACTGGATGGCAAGACGATTGACTTTTCAGAGCTCACGCCTCAATATGGTGACCAGCCCCCATCGCCCTTTTCGTATCTGAACAAGGAGGTTGCTAATGGGCACCGCCAATTGGCTTGTTACCAGACCAGCACCAACCCAAAGACGCACGAGATTATCCGTAACAACTTGCACAAGTCGATTCACATTCGTGAAACCGTCAAGGGTCCACGCTATTGCCCCTCGATCGAGTCCAAGATCATGCGCTTTACCACTAAGGAAGCTCATACCATCTGGTTAGAGCCCGAGGGTTACGATAATGATGTCATCTATCCTAACGGTATCTCGATGACCCTTCCTGAGAAGGAGCAGATCGAGATGTTGAGGACAATCAAGGGTTTGGAGAATGTTACGGTCTTGCGATGCGGTTACGGTGTCGAGTACGACTATGTCGATCCTCGGGAGCTCAAGCGGACACTGGAGACACACCGTATTCACGGTCTGTACCTTGCGGGACAAATCAACGGAACTACTGGATACGAGGAGGCTGCTGCCCAGGGTGTCCTTGCCGGTATCAACGCCGGTCTGTCTGCAAAGTCCAAGGCGCCTCTGATCCTCACTCGTGCGGACGCCTACATTGGAGTGCTGGTTGACGATCTTATCACCAAGGGTGTCGAGGAACCCTACAGGATTTTTACATCGCGGTCCGAGTACCGGCTGACTCTGCGTGCGGACAATGCTGATCTGCGCTTGACTCGCAAGGGATACGAGGCGGGTTGTGTTACAGACTACCGCTGGAACGTCTACCAAAAGATGGAGGCGGAAATGAACCGAGGAATGGAGCTTATGAGTGAGTTCAAGCTGTCACCTGCCAAGTGGGCTGAATATGGCTTCGGCAAGAGCGATGACGGTGTCAAGCGAAGGTAATTTGTTCATGACTGTGTATCACCGTGGGTGGCGAAAGATCGTTTGTTCATTTGGACAGGTTGCTAATATGTCTGTTAATTGTACTCTAGTGCGATCGAAATGCTTGGGTTCCCCAACGCCAAAATGCAACAGTTTCACGAGGCCATTCCCGAGTTGAAGGGGATGGATCCCGATGTCCAGAACAAGATTGAGGTTGAGGGTGCCTACTCGGTTTATCTTCGTCGACAGGGCGCAGAGGTCACTGCATTTATGAGAGACGAGAACATGGAGCTGCCTTCTGACATTGATTACTCTGCGTAAGTACCGTGTGAAAGTAATGCAGAATGCGAATTACTTTTCTCAATTTTTGAGGTGTCCTTGAAAAGCTAACGAGCTACTTGTTTCTGAAATCTCCATCCTCCCAATAGTGTCCCGAACTTGTCGAACGAGAACCGAACCAAGCTGGAGCGTCACCGTCCCGCCACACTGGTAAGCCTTTCCTTTCGTCCTCTTCTGTTGTTTTCTCACGTGGTATGCTCTGCCTTGATCTACTTGGCTTTTTATTGACATTTTTGCTCAATGTGTTTGTAGGGTGCTGCAAAACGAATTGAGGGAGTCACGCCAACGAGCATCGTGGAGCTGCTTAAGTACGTTCAAAGGACAAAGCGTCTTCCAACCATGCTCACAGGCGAGCCAATCCGTTCTGGCAGCCGAAAGGACCGTCTCCGACAGCGCCTCATGACCAAGGACGCTTAAAGGACGTGTCCTCCAAAATTCACTTTTTATCATCTCCAAGCATTAGCGAAAGCTTACCATGTACTACTACCACTTTAGAAATGCGCTGTACCATAAACGAAGTTAAACCAGATGTCGATATCAGGGTTGCAAATGGTGGGATGAATAATAGGAAGAAGGACAACGCCTGGAGATGAGGGCGACGAAGAGCGAGAGGAAGTGGATCCCGAAGTTCCCGGTCGGTCGAATGTATGAAGTATGAGAGATGTGGGGCATGAACGCAAAATGATTTCGAGTGGGAAAAGCGGGGAGCAAAAGCAAGGCAGCAGCGCAGGAGTGGACCTCGTTGTGGCAGAGAGCGAGAATAATCAAAATGCCGAGCTGGATACAGTCGACGGAGGAGGCAATTGTGTTGGAAGGGCAAGTTACCCACGGTTGTGCTCAATGAAGCAATAGCGTTTTGGTACGGATTCCCGAGATGACCTTCCACTGCGGAGATAAAGAATGAATCCAAGGATGACTCCGAAACAACGCATTCATGAGAAGGGGCAGCAGGAGGGCGTTATGGTGGTGGTGGCCATGAACCCCAAGGTTTGTGGATGGGGATGTGAGGAGTTGACATTTTTGTCCTTTCTTTTCCGAAGGTGTTTGTTGCCCACCTCACACAAAGGAAGGGCAAGGACTTTGAATTTTCGATTTTTTTTTTTTCTTCCCTGACTCGGTGGAATAACTACGACGGACGACTCGCCTCGCAGAGGTGTTTCCGATCTCTATTCTTTCTTTCTTCTTCTGCTCTTCTTTCATTCCCTTCACTCCCCTCCTCACTTCTCCACTCTCTATCCCCTTCTTCTTCACTCCCACCCTCAACAACACTTACACCCCATCCTCCCTTCACGCATACACATATATACATACACGCCATGTCCAGTCTAAACATCGCCTCAAGAGTCCTTCTCACCCAGCAAATTTCTCGCCCCCTCGCAAGAACATCTGCTGCCATGGTACTCTTCACAACACTTGCTCATGAACTCACAAGGAGCTCACTCCGTCTTTACCAACTACAAGGACAACAGCCGACTAACACAGCCTTCTGTCGAAACGCGCAAACCCACATAGGCCATCAGGAACTACAACGCCACAGTCGTCAAGGACACGCCCGCAGGAGCAGGAGCCAAAAAGGCAAAGTTTGCTGACAAGTTCGCCAGTGGACCCAGCTTTGACGACTTTGTTGGTGGAAACCAGAAGCTATCGGCTGAGGAGGCTTTGGAGCTCAAGGAGACTGTTGTCGAGAAGGAGGCTGCTGAAGCTGTCGCCAAGGCAACTGGAAAGCCTGCCAAGCGTGCGCCGTACGTTTTTTTTCCCTTTTGTTTTGTTGAAAGAACGAAGAAAGAGGAGAAGGCATGAACCGTACGGTCGCCAACAGATCGGGTATCATTGAGGGTTGTTCGCTAACAATATCGATCATCTCGTTTGTGTACCTTACTGGTGTGTCAGAAAGCAGCGTTTGCCAGAGTGGCTCAAGACGGCCATTCCCGTTGGAAAGAACTATACAGAGATCAAGAAAAACCTCAGGGAGCTCAAACTTCACACGGTCTGCGAGGAGGCCAAATGCCCCAACATCTCCGACTGCTGGGGCGGTGGAGAGCACCAGACCGCCACTGCTACTATCATGGTAAGTCGATCTCATTTGGCACCACCAACGCTTCTCACTTGTCCTCCCTCACTCCCACCAACTATTACCCAATTTCCTCATCATCACACGCCCACATACGTTATTTCAAGTTCGTTTGTTTTCCGCGAAAGGGCGCCCTGGATCTGACCTTTATTTTGATTTACTGTGTGTGACGATTTGTAGTTGATGGGAGACGAGTGCACCCGCGGATGCCGTTTCTGTTCTGTCAAGACCAGCAAGGCACCTAAGCCTTTGGATATTCATGAGCCAGAGAACACTGCCGAAGCTATCTCCCGATGGGGCTTGGACTATGTCGTCTTGACCTCTGTCGATCGCGATGGTAAGAACTTGTCATTGTTGCGCTTTTTTTGCCCGTATTTACTGCACATCCCTACTCGCCCGCCACCGCCGTATTTTTGTCTCCTTGGGACAAGAGAGCTAAGAAGGTCAATCATATCTAATTCGTTCCTTCGCATTTTTGGTGGCTCTCCTCCGAATAGACCTTGCAGACGGTGGATCTGCTCACTTTGCAGAGACCATTACGAAGTTGAAACAGAAGTAAGTAATGCACTTCTTGTTATTGCTTACCATCGCACTCTCGTTTCAAACGAACGCGAAGTGTTCACCACGGTCTGCCTCTAACGCCTTTTGTAATTCTTGTCTAATAGGGCACCCAAGATTTTGGTGGAGTGCTTGACAGGAGATTTCCAGGGAGACATGCAGTGCGTGGCTCGTGTGGCAACTTCAGGATTGGACGTCTATGCTCACAACATTGAGACTGTCGAGGCACTCTCTGCTTACGTCCGTGACCCTCGCGCAAAGTTCAGACAGTCGATCGCCGTCTTGGCGCACGCAAAGAAGGCTAAGCCTGGTTTGTTGACCAAGACCAGTATGATGTTGGGGTGCGGCGAGACTGAGGCAGAGGTTGTCCACGCCATGGATGGTAAGACTACAAGTTCTGTTTCTCCTTGCTTTAACGACTGATACAGTGAATTAGTGGGCCCCGTTTATTAACCCTCTTATCTTTTTGTCACGCCATTCTCCTTTGATTTGTAAATAGAGCTCCGCAAGGCTGAAGTTGATGTGTTGACGTTGGGACAGTACATGCGACCCACCAAGAAACACATGCGTGTGCACGAATACGTCAAGCCCGAGGTCTTTGAACGGTATCAGAAGCTGGCCGAGGAGCGCGGCTTCAAGTATGTTGCCGCAGGACCCTTGGTTCGTTCCTCATACAAGGCAGGAGAGTTCTACATCAGCAACATCTTGAAGAAGGAGAAGGAGGCGGTCATCCCCATTATCGGAAACGATGCGGTCGTCAAGCTGACAGGCGCTGGCGTTCGTGTCTAAGAGATTAGACGTTGTTGTTTTTTTCTTTGCTTTCAATTCATGACACAGCATCTGGCACTCCCTCCTCTTCGCTTGACATTTTCCTTCCTTTAGATACACTGCTTTGCGTTTTTGTTTTTCTCTCTCTCTGTACTCATACCACACTCACTCCATTAAAAGAATAATAAACTACCATAACATATGCATTGATTACGATAGTTTATTGGAATTGTATTTTTTTTTTTTTTTGGTCCACGTTGGTTGTCTGTACACTGTATTGTTTTGCTAGTATTTTACTTTTTGTTCATGGTGAAAACTGAACAAGAGGGCATTCCGGCATTCCTTAAAGGAAGTATGCGATTGCGAGGGCAGGAATAATGGTCATGACGGATGCAGCAGCTGCGAGTCTAGAGCCAGCAGACTTGCTGGCAGGCTTATTCTGGGTAGTCTTGCTCTCGTTTCCAGCAGGGGATGGTGTTGCATCCTTGTTTGGCTGGTTTCCGCCGGGTGTATAGTTGACAGACTTTTGGCCATGCTTGTACTCAAGAGCGCCAAAGGACTTTGCGTCACCGACATAACCATTGTTGAGTATGGGGTCCTTCTTGTAGGGGGTCTTGTCGTTGGTGCAGCCATCGAGACGGACCATGTCGTAGGCGTGGGCCTGGATGGTGTTGATGACCTTGGGCATACCCGAGGCGGCTCCGGTGGTGGGGACGTCGTATCCAGCAACGACGTAGGAGGCCTTGCGACCATAGGCGTCCATCTGCTTGGTGAACATGGCGTTAAATACCTCTGCGATCTGGGAAGATGTCGCGGCAGTGTTGTACTTGTAATCGTACTCGTCCATGTTGAAGCCGACGAGGGTGTAACCCATAGACTTGACGAGGTTGAGCAAGCGGGGGTCTTTGAGGTTGGACTCGTGGATCTTGATGTACTTTGGGTAGACGCCGATAAGGTCCTGGATCGTACGCGAGGCGCGACCAATGTCCTCCTTGATCTCGTTGTCAGTGCGGCCGGCTGAGGTGTCGGAGGGGAGACGGTAAGTCATGCCGATCAGATGGCCATCGATGTAGGCGTGACGGGTCACTCCGGCGTATTGCATGTACTGGAGCCAGGTCGCATTGGTGAAGAAGGTCACTTTGGCCTGGGCCTCCTTCAACGTCTCGAGCATCTCCATTGTTGCCTCTGAGGGACCCTCGCTCTATTATTTTTTTGTATGGATTAGAGGTCGGGTTAATACGAAGTATCTTGCTGTATTTCATTCAAGCTGACCAAATTCCAACGTAGTGGGTGTGTGTGCTTTCTTACATAGGTAAGGGCAACCTGGCCGGGGGTTTGGCAGGAGGTCAAAAAGTCAGCCCAGGTGACGGGGCCAGTGTTGGAATTGGGGCCGGCCGTGGCAGCAGGTGCGGGTGCGGCGGTGGCGGAGGCATCGGGTGTAGCGCCTTGAGCAGCGACAATCATTGGCATGGCTAACATTGGGATGGTTAGGGGAGGAGAATTACGCGTTAGAAGGGGAAGATTCTAATAGGGTATGCCAAAGAGGGTAAATTTTCAGGATATCCTGTAATAACAAGGCATGGTAGGTCCAATCCATTACTCTCCTTCGTGTCCACCATTCCTGTCATCATTCTGCCTCTGTGAAGTCTCACTTCTATTGTCGCTCAGTCGTTAATGTCGTCGGTGGGGTGTGTTCTTACTCTGATGAGAACGATTCCTCTGCTCGATTGAACTGGGTTCGTGTTTTTTTTTGGTCGTATCCAGGGTTGATGCCCCTCTCAGTCCCTCGAGTCTACTCTGCTCTCCTTGTGGTGTCCACTCTGCATAATCCGAGTCTTCCTCATAAATTCTAAAACCAATAGGAGTATTGTGCCACCTAAAGAAATACAGATAGTCGATAAAGGATTCTGTTCGCTTACCAATTGCCGAGAGGATAGCGGGTCCGACGAAGCGCATTGTTGTATTATTGTAGTAAGGGTGTGAAGGTGAGACTAAAAGTTATGAAGGATGTCTTGCAGCAAGTGAGTGCGAGCGAGTGGATGGGTGAGTTGAAGATGTAAGAAGGTTACAATGGAAATAGGTCTGGTGAAGAAGTGGACTTTTTTTTGTTACGGAGAAGAGGAGGATCGAGAGCCTTGTTCTTTGTAGGTGAAGAAGCAGATGTAAGAAGAAGAGACAAGAAAAAGAAATTGGACGTCCAGTCAAGGTCATTATCTACTTTTTTTTATGTGCCCATTCCTCTCCTCTTCTCCCCCCAGGCCTAGTTTTCCCCCGCTTGTCTCGTCTGTATGGATCGAAGGCATGGAAGAAATGTTGGTCCTTCGTTGTTCTTACACCTCAGTCGTATTCGAGATTAAGAATTGGACTTGCATGGCGAGCATTGAGACGATACAAAAATTCCCCTGTATGAAGTGACTTGTCGGTCCACAAAGTGCTAATAGTTTTTTTTTGTATACGCACAGAATATCAAAAAGCTATGGATCGGCAGCCTTGGTGAATTTGTTGTTGTACATTGCCCGCGATGTGTATATGTATGTGTGTGTGTTCAATCAGATCGGAATGTGGAATCCAAAGAAGTTTTTTTTGTATGACCCTTTCTTCTTCTCTCCTCCACCCCTTCTACGAACCATGACCTCCCTCTTCTTCCCTGTGACACCTCACCCAACACAGATAGGGTCGTAGGGAAGTCAAAAACACCATTTCACCACCACCATTTCACCACCGCCACCACCTGTAATAGTTTGGCAAAAAAGTGAGAACCTTGGGATCATGCGCACAAATAGCAGATTAGGATGAACAGGCAAGTATTCACACGTATGATACCCGTACATATATACACGGTATCGGGCATGATGAGTACATAAAAAACGACAGCGTGGTACACATTGCGAAACGGCCTACATAACCGATAGTAAAATTACGCATGTCTGTGACACCAACATCTCATTAGTAAGATATTAGTTCATTCCAACAGCCAGATCGTACGCGAAAACCTTTATGCGTTTCATGAAGTGGACGCGATGAATGAGATGGGATATGCACACGTCGTTGCAGCTTGATTGGTGTTCTGATTTCCAATCGAGATGTATCAAAAAAAAAAAATGGTTTCCCGAACTGGCGGCCGTTGTCCGTTTTTGCCTTTCATGTACCAGACGTGATTTTAGGCACATTCCGCATCCTGGCTCCTTTTAACGACATGAACAGCCTGACACAACAATTGCACAATGCTCCATTTTGTTTAGTCCAGGGACACCCATACAAACATATACCTCCTTTGTCCGCTTTTGCGAAGAGAGCGAACAGGGAGGCGAGTAACATGCAGGAGGTCTGGACTCTTCAAATATCAAAAAGAAAAAAGGCGGAAGGAGACACCAAGGGGGTGTTGGTGACCAAAGGGGCCATTTGCTAATATCTCTCTATCCTATCCATACATAGATAGATCGTTGAATGATGCCTTTTGTTTCCAGGCTGTTGTTACTTCTTGCTTAGTAGAGCCCTTTTTGGAGAGGCAGGACGCACAGACTAGGGTCCCTAAATACCTTGCAATTAATCAAATGATCTCTTGTGTCAAGGGAACCACAGATCTGTGGTTTTTAAATGGGCTTGCATCCTCCCGCTACCACAAGAGAAACACTCTCTGGCAAAAAAGAACAATAAAAGTAATGTAAGGAGGAGTCCCCCGAGTGAAAGCTTGGAAATCCAGTGTGAGTGTAGTAGGTAGAGAAGATATTGCGTCGATGAGCAGAGACAGGGACGATAATATAGGCATAGGAAATAAGGTATCGTGCAAGGAGCCGTCTTCGCTTTCTTGGGACGCAGTTCCCAGGTCTGTGGGCTCGATTTCAACATTCACGGGATAAAGAAGGGGCACACAATCCTGCATGACTCCCGATCGAGAAAATGGCTCCTTGTTCTTTCCACCGACGTGTGTGTGGTGGGTAGACATCAACTTTCAAGAGGATAAGGCTTTTTTTTTAGGTTAATACTCCAATCTGGCGGTCGCCGCTTTGGGGCCATTGTCTGTCTCAAATCACTGACACCGTTTTTTTTTCTTCTTTTCTACAATTGCTTCCTTTGTTTCTTTTCTCTTCAGTTCACATTCCCTATACTCATACCCATCCCGCATTTTTCAATGGAAGCTATCAATGCCCATGCTCCAGTCTCCACAAAGAGTTGCAATCCACTTTCTAATTCTCCCTCCACCTCAGCAGGAATTGAGGTGCGAGTGGTCAATCTAGGCGTCAAATTTGCGGTGCAAAAGGCCCTCATAACCACAATCACCGAGCGACTTCAAGGTCTCTTCAAGCCATTTTCTCCTACAATTGCCACTCCAAACAACACCGAAATTGATCCACAAGGGGAGACAATTACCAATGACATTCATTCATCGGGCCTAGAACGACCATTGTTGCAAGATATCAACTTTCATGTATCTCCTGGACAAGGTAAAAACGAATAAGAGAGTGCTCGCTACTCTACTTTCACACTGCCAAAAAAAAAATACCCCTGCGATAGCCGCTATGGCGATCACCCCCAAAGGCTAAGTCATGTTCCTTTCTTTTGCCACACTTGCCCTTTTTCTCTTTTGGCAATAGTGTGTCTCCTCATGGGAGGGTCAGGGTCGGGCAAGACGACGTTACTGAACGTGCTGGCAGGTCGATTAGACGAGAACCAGATCTCAATCTCGGGTGACATACACTTTAATGGCCAACATCCAAAGTCGTTCAGGAAACGAGGGGAGGCCGGGTACCTTCAACAAGAGGACATACTCCTGCCATCTATCACGTAGGTACCAAGAAAAAAAAACGCTTGAATAGCTGAAGGAAACATATGTTTAACAGAACTGCTCAAGGGCGGCGGGGAGGAGAGAGTCCAAAGGAACAACGAGGGAGGGTGACAAGGAGTTCAATGAGAAAGGTAAAAGGAATTTTAATTAACAGCATACATATTTTCCTTCCATCTTTTTTTTTACTGGTTCCTAGCGTCCGTGAGACCTTGGAATTTGCAGCAAAGTTGCGATTGCCAGCCTCGACGACCAAACAGGAGCGTCAGGGGGTTGTAGAGTCCCTGATATCTTCTCTGGGCCTCAAAGATTGTGCAGAAGTGCGAATGGGCGAGTCGGACGCGAATGAGGCAGGAGACGGAGGAAAGCGCGGTATAAGTGGAGGAGAGCGTCGTCGCGTTTCTGCTGCAATCCAACTCCTGACAAGACCCAACCTCCTGTTATGCGATGAGGTGACATCTGGTATGATACATGTGATTGTTTTTTTGTTATTTCAATCAACGCAAGGAAAGGGCCACGTTGGCAGAAAGCTAAACCCATGCATCTGGTTTAATTTTTATCCCACCTTGCATAGGCCTTGACTCGTTCACTTCGTTCGAGCTGGTCAAGACGCTAAACACCTATGCAAAGACATCCAACAAAACCGTCATTATCTCCATCCACCAACCTCGATCAGAGATATACCATTTACTTTCAGAGATGGACGGCGGATTGGTTCTGCTCTCCCAAGGTCGCATCGTCTACAGCGGGCCATTGAACCAGGCTCTGTCATGGTTCGTGTCGATGGGCGTAGAGCCCTGTCCGATCGACATGAACCCTCTCGACTATATCATGGACCACAGCGTCTTATCCAGTCAGACCATCCAAGACGCTTCCCGTGTGACACCCTTCCATCCTCTTCGTATCAACACCAAGGGTGAAGCAATCGATTCCAAAAAATACCCTGAATCTCCTGGCTCCACCACCACCATGTTGGACACGACACTCAGCCGAATGGATTCTTTCTCGAGTAAGAATCTCCTGACCGATGTACCGAACCAAACTCAGGATCAGCACCTTCAGCTCTCTGACACCACCCATAAAGGACATGAAGGAGTGAGTCTTTGGACTCAGGTGGCGACCTTATCGCAGCGTCACTGGATCAACACTAGACGGAACGCACTGTATTTCTGGGGAACGATGGCGGTCTACATCGTCTTTGCTATTATGGTCGGAGCCGTCTTTTGGAACCTGGATGGAAGCTTCGATGGCATCCGCGGACGTGCTAGTGTCATCTACGTGATTGGCTCCTTTCAGCCTTATCTGCTGTCCATCTTGACCGTTTACAAGGGCGTGGCGGATATGAAGGTGTATGATCGGGAGAGAAAAGAGCGGATGTACAGTCCTGCAGCATTCATCATCAGCTACTCGTTGTGCCAAATTCCTGTCAATGTTGTGGCAGCTGTTGGTAAGTATCATGAACACAATCCCCGTATTTAAGAATGAGTCTCTACAGTTGTTGACATGTGATGTGTGGCGTCTCATCCACTATCTCTCTCTCTCTCTAGTTCACACGATCATTATCTACTACATGACTGGACTTCGCACGGATGGGGTGTACTGGGTGGGATGGTTTCTCGTCACCAGCATTCTTCTTCAATGCTCCATGTAAGCCGTCATTTTTATCTGGGTTTCTTATCCCTAAGTACCAGCTTGTTCGCCATCGCAATACACTAACCTTTGTTTTCTTTTTGACAATGACAACTGACTTTAGTTCGGCCATGGCGATACTTGCCATTGCTTTCGAGCGGGATTTTGATCGAGCGGCTCTTATCAGCGGATCCTTTTACATTTGCTCTTGTAAGTGCTTGCCCAGCTATATATCTCCCTTCTAGTCAATGCATTGAAAATGATAGCTCACACGTCTCACGCACCGTTAAACCATAATTTTTTTTTGTTTGTGGTTAGCTTTGACCGCCGGGTTTATTATTCCTACGAATCAAATACCAAGAGGCGTTCGCTGGATCGAGACCATCTCCTTCCATCGCCTCGCCTATCAAACATGGACCAGCCTCGAGTTTACAGACAGACGGTTCGCCTGTCCCTTTCAACTCTCTCCAACCTCTGTTACCAACCCTGACTCGCTCGACTTATGGGATCCGGTGAGGTGTGTGCCATGGGAAGGAAACACGATCCTGGTAGACATCCTCCAAGTGAAGCCTCATGCCTACCCAAATCGACTGGTCTATTTCGCAGCGCATTATTTCGGCTACCTTCTGCTCGCCTGGTTGATCTTGGTTCTCTTCCCCAAGAAGGATTCCCTGGCCAGCTCCCGGAAATCGCCCATTGAAAATATGCTCCTCCCTTTCGCGCGCTTGTTTGTCAGCCGCAAAGGAGTCAAGAAGTCGTTGGGTAAGAGGAGGACTGAGAGGCACAGCTCGGAAAAGAAAGAATCCTTGGAGGGTGAGTCGGAGATCCGGGTGGACATCCCTGGCCATGATAGACCGGCACGTGTGTCTGTCACCATTCGGGTTGTGAACTTGTCGTTGTCTTTGGTCAAGCGTGGTCTCATTGAGCGGGCTGGGATTTCTCAGACGTCTGACTCTGACGAGGCGAACAAGGTGCTATTGGACAAAATTGACATTGTCATTCCACCAGGAAAGCTAACCGCCATTCTTGGAGGGAGTGGCTCTGGAAAGGTAGTTACTACCCTGCTTGTGTCAATGTCGATAATGTCGGTGATTGCGTTCCTTTTTCATTGACACACTTTTTCTTTTGCAATGCAGACAACACTTCTTAATACATTACTCAACAGGACACAGGAAGGCATGCAAGTCTCAGGCGACATCTACTTCAATGGGACCAAAAACCCCTCGATCGGGCAAATCAACACCGTGTCTGGATATGTCCGACAAGGAGATGGGATGTTGTTGACCCATCTAACCGTCCGGGAGACTCTAGATTATGCTGCCCAGCTTGGTATGGGCAAGACCTTGTCGGCAGCCGAGAAACATGCACGAGTCGAGGAGGTGATCGAGCTGATGGGCCTTCAAGACTGCGCCACTGTAAATATTGGAAACAGTGATAAGTCGGGATGCTCGGGCGGTCAACGAAGACGCGTTTCTATCGGGATGCAACTTGTCAACGAGCCTGCGTGTCTGTTTCTTGATGAGCCCACCAGTGGTCTTGATGCCTTGACAGGTAGGAGCTCAATGTGAGTCGTTTCTGTGAGCTTTGTGGAAAAAAATCAAGGACTAACAAGAACCACTCTTCCTTCTACAACAAATATGAAATAGCGCTCTCGGTGATGCAGACGCTGAAAAAGGTTGCAGCATCGGGTCGAACGGTCGTGTGCACGATCCACCAACCGCGAGTGGACATTTGGGAGGAGTTGGATGATGTTCTTTTGCTTGTGCGTGGTGGAAGGCTGGCGTATGCGGGTCGAGCCGATCAGGCCATAGATCACTTTGAGCGTGCAGGATATTCCTTGCCGCTCTACACCAACCCTCCTGGTATGTCTGTTATTCACTTCATCACAACTAACTACATAATATAGTTTGTGTTTGTGAGCTAACTTTTGTATCTTTTCTTGGTTGACAAAAAAATACCACTAGACTTTATGATCGACACGTCGTCAGTCAACTTTCGATCGCGCGAACAGGAAGCAGATTCCAGGACCACCATCGACACCCTGACCACGTTTTACCAGCAGGAGCGGGCAAAGAGATTGCTCAAGGCGGCTGAATCAGGAGCTACTGGTGGTACTGGTGCTGGTCACGGTAGTTCTGAGGATACACTAGGCACAGAGATCCCTCACCATGCAGAGTTTATCTCCGCCACCAGCATTCTGACCCAACGCATGTTCAAGAACGCGGTCCGCCAACGTGGAGCATACTTGAACCGGATCATGGAGCCGTTTCTTATCAGCTTTTTCGTTGTCTTATTCTACTGGGGTCTTGAGGATACCCCCGATGGGCTCTTAAATCGCCTCGGTCTTTTCCACCAGCTCATGGGAGGCGCCTTGTCTGGCCTTATCATCCACCTCGAAGTCTTTCCCAAGGAGGTAAATACACATCCACAGTCGGTTCTGCATTTTATTTCTTTCAACACATTCCACCGATCGTTGGCTAACTTATTGTTGTTCTTTGTTCTTCCTTACCTATTACAGAGCGGAGTAGCATTCAGGGAAATGTCGAACGGAAGCTACAGCGCATCGTCGTTTCTGCTCGCCTACATGCTCAACGAGCTCCCAATAACAATCCTAAGCTCGAGTTTGACAACGCTATGGATCATGGCCGTCACAAGGCTCAAGGCAACCGTGGCAAGTACAGCGGTCATGATGCTTGTCAGCTTTGCATATACCACTGCGGGCGAGAGTGTTGGCATTGCTTACTCATGCTACTTTGTCTCCAGTGCTGGACTTGGTGTCGCCCTCATGAACTCTACCGTATGTTGTCTTGGTTTTTTTTGTCTTTGTGTGAGATGTATTGGTTTTGGATGATGCCTGCAGACTGGCTAATTCCTCATTCCCCCCCTTTTTTTCTCTCTCATTTGTACATGTAGCTTGTCTGGCTATCATTCCTGGCAGGATTCCTAATCGTTAAACTATCACCCATCTTCCAAATCGTCAACAACGTATCCATCTTTCGCTACGCATCCATATCTATGGCCCTCGAAGAGTTCCGCGGTCTCCAAGTAAACATACCCGCCGCCACCACCTCATCATTATCACAACAATTTTCTAGCGGTGATGCTGTCCTCTCGTACCTGGGATGGGATAGTCAGAATTTGGGATTCAATCTAGGCATGATTGTAGTATTGACGGTCGCCTATCGATTGGTGGCGTGGGTTGTCCTGACCACCAGAGTCCGCTCCTTACTCGCCTAGTGTTATTGCTCCTTTTTGTTGATGTAGTTCAGCACATATAAAATACACGTGTCGCGTCAAACTGATGAACCGTATTTGAAGATTAGCTGCGACTCTCCGGCAGCCGATAACTTAGGCTACCTCAGAGATCAACACCCCGTGCCAACTATCACACACATACACCCTTCTCCTCATCTCACACACTCTTTAATAACGTAGAGAGGAAGCGATAGGAACCGTGTATGTGGGGGCCGACGCTAGGTCGAGAAAGAGCACGCACATGTCGCCACTTCAATTTCACTCGGTATCGACCAGACGTCAGGAAACCACTGGCCTTTTTGTGGAAAGAGTGAGCTGAATGCAATGAAAGAGGGGCATTGGAAATGAAGAGCGCCGCGCACGCCGCAAGTCTGGCCAAGAAAGTTGTTTGTGAACGCTAGGTGGGACAAGAAAGGCTCACCAAATAAAAACAATATCGTAAAAAAAGGTAGCTTGGGCCCCTTTTCCATTTTTGAAAGCGTCCACTGTTCCCACACTCCGCTAGTCCTTGTATTACAACCCCCCATCTGATTCTTCCCTTAGTCTGAATCAACCGATGTTTGAAGCAATCCCCCCCTCCCCCTAGATGGCGAGATGGTGCTGTGACGCACAATTATGCCTCGACTTCGCAGCATTACAAAGGTTTGGAGATATTGCTTGCTAGCAATAAGAGAAAGGCAAGAATTCGGGATTTGTAAGATGTTATTGGGACAGTTGGGCAAAGCGATTCGCACCTTCCAGCGTTTTCGTTTGTTGCACCGTTATCAATTGCAGTCCCTCTTCCACCGGCTGACGATAAAGTCCCCCTCTCCTCTCCACATTCCTTGCTTTATATTTGCTTTCTCAACCTTTTTTTAGGCTTTTCCTCCCCTTTGTGTTTTTACTCTTGCCTGCAAGGAGTTGCAGGGATCGGAGCAAGATTAGAGATTGCAACAAACAAACATAACACTTAGCACAGACCTTGCCTCCTTTCGGCTGGCTCCCTTCCCCTGGGAAATCTTGGCTTGAATTGATGGACAATTCAATACGCCCTATCATCACTAAACATGGGAGAGTGACACAATCTGTCAGGTATTTAAGTGTAGTCATTCCCCATCGTCAGTCTTTTTGTTTTTTTCAAATCCCCACCTCTTCTTCCTTTAACTTCTCTTCCCTTTTCCCTTTCACCTCTCATATACCGACCCCCCAGGAAGACCCTCTCCGCCATGCTCTTCAAGAAAATTCTATCAGCAGTTTCACTGGCAGTTCTCACATTCGCCACCACCTCAAGTCCCGTCCTCGCGGTCCCCGAGAAGCGGGCCCTGTTTGGACGATACAACGACATGGACTGCAAACCTAGTTCCTCCAAGCCCGACCCCGTCATCCTCCTTCACGGCCTACTCGGAAACTCTGGTGAGTTTGCTTATATTGGCCCCCGCTTCGCTCTCAAGGGCTATTGCACCTACAGTCTGGACTATGGCCATATACCCGGTATCCCCATCCTTGGTGGCCTAAACGATCTGATGGTAAGTGCCATGGAACTCTCGGACTTTGTCGATAAGGTCCTGGCAGCCACTGGGGCATCCAAAGTCGATCTGGTCGGTTACTCTGAGGGTTCGACGCTCGCTCGTGTCTACCTCAAGTACTTTAACGGAACCGCCAAGGTCAATCACGTCGCCGCCATCGGATCCAACCAGTACGGAACTACTCTCGCGAATATTGTCACCATCTTGAAAGCAGCCAAGTTATTCGGTGCTGTCAAGGGAGCGCTCAACCCCCTATGTAAGGCTTGTTTCCAAATCACGGTAGGAGCGCCGTTCCTAGACCAGCTTGCTGAAGGGGGTGACACTTACCCAGAAGTCAAGTACCTGATGCTTGTTAGCAAGTAAGGCAACACGATGCGTTCGACGCGTTTGTGACCGCTATTTTGTATTTAAGCGCGTTTGTCATGGAAAAACGCGTTCTGACACGAACTTTTCTCACTCTGTTAGGTACGATGAGTTGATAACACCTTACACCAACGGGTTCCTTCGCACCCTCGGTCCTAATGTCCACAATGTTGTGATTCAGGATGATCTATGCAGTTTAGATCTTAGCGAGCATCTCGCCCAGGCGGTTTCTCGTATGTGACCTCTCGCTTTCCCTCCCCCCCACCCCCCGACATCTCGTCTTTTTGTTTTCTATCAATGCGAGGCATTGCAAAAGTTGCTAACACAACAGTATTTTTTTCTTCTTCTCTCTGCCGCTCCAATTCTGTAGCCGTGGTATTCAATGCGATCGAGTACTTCCTCAGGACTGACTCTGTCACTAAAGCCGGTTGCCGGGCCCTTCTCCTGTAGACAGATACCATACAAACGCGTCGTCATGGCGCTTTCTCCTAATTCCCGATATCACGAATAATAAAAATCACCCTACCCGCTTCTTTCATTTTGCTTTCTCACATCGCAGATGGTACAAAATATATATCTGTCAAAGTTTAATAGTGTATAGTAGAAAATAGCAATGCCAGCCTGCCAATTCCGTCGTCGTAAAAAAACACAACAAACCGAGCCACATACACTCCTGTACATTCTTTCCATCTCTATTCCCGCTCCCGCCTCCTTTGCATGTCCCTGCCTTGTCTAAATCCAGGGATCACCACTAAGGCTTACCCAAAGTATAGAAAGAGGACCTTGGAGCTGATGTTGATGCCGAGGATGAGGGCGATCACGTAGACGATCGCAAAGATGGTAATTGGGTATAAGAACATCTCTGGGTGTCTCAAGAATGGAAGAGCTATCGATCATCAATAATGAAATTAACGGCGGTGATTGTCTTAGTTTCCTGATCACTTATTTGTTTTAATGAAAGACCAGTTATGAATAATGAAGTACTGATCAAAACGCATAGGGTCTTCTTACCATTGTACCCAAGGAAGGTGATGTAGCAGTAGTAAACAATCGCCGTCATGTAGAGGGTGTTCCCGAGCAGGGTGCAGATCCAAGCGTCCTTGAGCAAAATCTTCATGAACACCAACTGAATGATGTACAAGAGTACAATCACAGGCATGAACGCGTTGCAGTGAATGTCGAACGCGTATTGCCACTCCACTGACTGATCCGTTGAGTACACGCTCGCCCTTGCCAAGAAACGATTGGCAATTGCCCTTCAAAGCAAAAGAGTGAAGAAGAGCTAAGATTAGGCGACAGTACTGCATCCCCTAATTGAAAATTTTGGTGGCGTAAAACAAGGAGCAGCAAGACTTACCAGCAAACGGTCGCCACGATCACTCCAATGACCACAAAGTCCACAAAGACCATGTAGAGGCTCATGCGAAGGATTCCGATCATTCCATGTCCGTACACCAAACCCCATACAACCGCCGAACCTAAAAGTCAATATCCAAGATGCAGAAAACAAAAGCCGTTAGCCTCCTGCAAACTCACTTTCATTCCCTACGTTTCCTTTGAATTCGATGATAACCCACTGTATCACTTACAACCCAAGAGTCCCGAGAGAATCACCATGAATGCAGGATCATCTCTTGCCCATTGGTTCTTGGTTTCTATAAGATTAGCAATAATAGCCATGAAGACCGTCGTTAGTGATCAATTGCCCCTGCAGTCGATGACATCTGCTGTTTCCCTTTGCCCCAATATCTCAGGACAATATCCTTGTCGTCAGTTGCAACTTGGTTCTTACGTTTGTGATAGTGGATATTACGGTATCTAAATCATTGAAAAGAAGACATAAAACACAAGGCGTTAGATGAATTGACCACCGACATGTTTCCTGGTAGTGCACAAAAACGTCCATGAAGTCCAGTAAGACGTACACTATCCTTGGGGATATGCACAAGTACGCCATCTGCCATAATGCGAACTAGTGCGAATGTCAAAGGATAAAAATAAAGAAAGAGATTAGAAAGTGTTCAAGATAAGCGTCAGACCATTGTCACTCCTAGAAATCTCCCAGTTTGCAAGGAGGAGGAGGAGGAGGGGGGGGGGGGGGGTAAATAGCACACCCCTTCATCGGCTTTCTGTAGCTGTCGTTTGCATTATCCTTTCTGTAGCAGTGCGACTGTTCCTCTCTTCTTTTCGTCGATGCTACTCAAGCCCTCGAGATTGTACCTGGAAATCCATATGCGGAAAACGAAAGAGTCGCCTCAGGAAGAGAGGGACAAAGTTGGAGACCCCCCCTCCGTTGATACCTCCACGATGAACCCGTCCACTGCTGCTGTTGGACCCTCCAAAGCCAAAGGCATGTCCTCCATCCGACTTTCGTCTACCAAATGCACCGCTGTTCTGCCCTGGGATGCCAATCGTCGGCCCGGCGTCTTGTGAAGGAAAATAGGACGAGGTCTGCTGGTTGGGCGTATTCCTCCCGGGCGTTGAGCTCAAAGGAAGGATTGTCATGGGGTTGTGTTGTTGTGAGTGCCGATGGATGGGGTAGAGAGAGAGGAGGTTGTGAAAAAAAGGACCGGGGCGCTCTGTCTTCTGTCGGCCTTGGTTTAGTTGCGGGTGTAGGTTGTGCTGCCTGTCCTAATCGATGAAGTCTTGATGCTGTTGCCGTTTGTCTTGGTGATTGTCCTGTTGGCGCGTGTTTTGCTAGTTTTTTTTTGAGCGTGTAGGTCCTGAGATGTTGAAAGGATGCGGATGGTAGCTCCAAGGACATTTCACTTTTCACTTTGACTTGAAGATAATCGACACGTGACCCTTAGGTGTAACCCAGCCCAGTTCGAATGAACGACATTGAAATCATGCGGACAGAGAGGGCTGAGGTATCGTGTTCATTTGGTATTTATTCTTGTGCAAATAAAAAGGTATATCCATTGTTGTTGTATGCTATGTGGAACAAGGAACGTTTCACGCTATTCAAGGGCCAGATTCTAGTAGTATCCACCTTGACCACCTTGACCGCCTTGACCACCATGACCGCCGTGGCCATATCCGCCATTGCCGCCGCCATAGTCCAGCTCGGAGGGCTCGGCGGCAAAGTTGTTCTGCCGGGGCGACCTGACAGCAGCAGCAGGCGATGCGATCGGGGAGTGATGACCGCCATTCTGGGGGTAGTCCACGTTGTCGTAGAACCCTCCACCCTGACCGCCGTGGCCACTGTGGTGATCGTAGCCATAGTTGTCCTGCTGGTTTCCGTAGTACTGACTGTTGTTGTTGTACTGGTCGTTGCCGTAATACTGGTCCTTCTGATATCCGTCGTCGTAGTACTGGTTATCGTATCCGTTGTCGTGAGGAGGCGAGGGAGCGTGGTCGCTTCCGTGGGCATGGGGACGGCTTGAGAAGGGATAAGTTTGTTCGGCGCTCTTGGGGGCACTGCGGTCAGTCATGCCATAGTCAATCTCTCCAAACATGTTCTCGGGGACCTTGGATCGTTGGCGGTGACGTTGCCAGCGGACTCCGGCAAAGAGCAAACCGAGGGCAGCAACACATCCAACAGCAATTCCTGCGTACTTGATTGTAGGGGCCAGGCTTCCACTGCCGCTGTTGTTGTTGCTGGTATTGTTAGGGCAGTAGTCGGCTGCTGAGGGAGTACCCAAGCCCACGCAGACCATTGCTCCGTTATTGTTCATACAGAACGAGTAGGCAGTATTGCAGTCTGCACTCGTTGTGCAATTCTGCGCGGGGTCAGCACGGCAGACATTTCTGGGCATAGCTTGACAAGTTCCTGCGGCAGGGCTATCTGGTGTGAGCGCACATAACAATCCTCCGCAGGCATCAGAGTTGGTACATGCTGCTCCTATCACTCCTCCGGTGCCTGTAGGAACTGGGGGAGCAATTGGAGTGGGGATGACGGGGGCCAATGAAGTTGTTGGAGGCTTAGCAGCAGGAGCAGTAGTGGTGCCGGCTGTATGAGTCGTAGTTGTGGCGGCGGTGGTGGTGGCGGCGGGAGGTGTGGTACTTGGCTTGGAAGTGGGGGCCGGGGTGGATGATGTCGTTGGCACGGGTGTTGTTTTGGTGCCTGGCTCCGCCGTTGGTTTTACACCTGGAACAGATATAGTCCCATGTTGAGCGTTAACCACTGAGGGTAGGATGACCAGACAGGAGACTGCGCACAAGGCGATAAGTGTTGTGGCTCTTGAGAACTTCATGATATAATGAGGAAACGAAAAAGCGTAAAAAAAAAAAGAGCGGAAGAATGAGTGGAAGGAGGACGGAGAGAAGATCGAGTTGGAATGTAGGTGGGGGTTGAATGAGAGTCGAGTTGAGTGAAGAAGAATCGGTAAAGAAGACAGGGGAAGAAGAGGAGGATGTGGGGATATGGGCCAAGCAAGTGGCGGAAGGGGAGGATGGGGGTAAAGTGGTGAGAGGGAGAAGGGGGCTCGAGGAACAAAGAAGAGAAAAAGAGAGAAGGGGAAAAAGGGAAACGGAAGAAAAGGAAGAGGAGAGCGTGAGTGCCCCGGTCAGTATGCTGGAGTACACATGAGTGTGAGTGCACCACTCATCATCGCTCCACTCGACAGACACCAAAAAAATGGTCTGGGTCTCTTTCCTCCATCACTTTGCTCTCCTCCTCGACGTATCTTTCCGTCAAACACATTCCCTTTCACACGCCAACACTTGGCGTCCATGCAAGAGAAAAAAGAGAAGACCTAAACCTATTCATTTCCAGCAGAATGCACACATCGTTCGCTACGGCAGAGTAATCATTCTCCGTAGAACACACCAGGGTTCAGTCCTGGTGCCTGGTGCCTGGTACCTGAATTTATGTCTCATTCTTTTAAGCTGTTCATCACCCATTGATCAAATCAGCAATTTATCACCCCTTCATTGTTGATTGCTACATTATTATCACCGCTTGTTGTTTATTTGCCTTGCCTTGCCTTCTTCCTTGATTATGAGAACACGAGGAATAAAACAAGGGTGATGTAGACAGCCTGCTTCAAGGGCTAACGTATTATATTTATCTTTCCCCCTCTTGCAGCTGTTCGTCCAGTCCCTTATCCCACTTGCTCATCAAACCAAAAAATGCTCTCAAAAAAAAAGCAAAAAGAGGTTCAGCCGCAACAAACACAAAGAAATGCACCAGTCAATTCGGCCGTCCTGCGCCTATTTATTACCCTCCTTGTCCCACTACAAAAAGGAAGGAGGACGAACGAAGAGAAGAAAAAAAAAAGCGAGATGCAAGAGGACATACCATCGATCGCTTTTCATTACGAAACATTTTGTATTAGGGAGGAATGGGGCTTCAATGAGACTATCAAAAGCGAAACCTGCTGGGATAAGCCATAGGCCAATAATGTTCCCACTAGACACGGCAATAAGAAAAAATCAACTAACGCACTGGACACATAGTAGAAACCATACCTTACCCTGAGACCCCGTGGTGACCAAAACGGGTGTAAACGAGCACACATGTATCCTCCTTTAGTTCAAATTAACAGAAGGTTTAAAGCCCATCAGTTCTTTTTACATACCACGAAGGTCGGGGTGCTCTTCACTCAACCAACCATTCCCTTCTCTCTTAAGCAGGCATATCCAACTGACCAGCTTTCCGTATTTACAGAGACATATGAGACATATATGCCATTGCCAACGACAAGCCCAAACGACAAACAAGGAGAATATCATATACATTTTAATTGCGATGGTTAGCGTCAGCTTTTCGATTGGACGCTCAGGTCCTTAAGAAGAGTACTTCTTGGCGACCATGCCCTCTGGGGGGCGGGTCTCGACGGTGCCCTTTCCGACCTCATCCCAGTTGGTCGACAGGCAGGTGCCATTACTCTCAGTAAAACTCTTCATCATGGCACGCTTTGTATCATCGTCGGCATCCTTATAGATTTGAGAGAAGAGCTGGTTCAGAGCCTTATCTCCATCGGCCTTGTCCTCTTCGTTGGCTGCCTCCTTTGCCAAGGCATCCCAGTTCTTCGCCTTCTTGGACGAGGTTGGGTATGCTGGAGTAGCGCCGGCTACAAAGTTACATCGATTGCGACATAGAAAGGAGGAATTAGAACAGGATCGCCAAAGTGGACTAGAGAAAGCAGTCGTTTTGATCATTTGTAGCCCATTTTTTCTTCTCCTTTCGCAATGACTCACCAGAAACAGCGGCCATGGAGCCAGCGTTGACATCGTCGCCCTCAAGAGCGCCCCACTTGATGGCAAAGACCTCCTTCTTGAGCTGGATCTCTATCTTGGTCGACAACACCTCGTACTTGCTCTCCGAAGGAATGATCTTGTGACTCAGAGGGTCTAACTCAAGAGAGTAGTCTGATCCGGTAGGCATCTTGACCGAGACGGACAAGGCCTGGTCCGTGAAAATGATTTCGGCGGCATCCTTCTTCACATTCTTGATGAAGACGCTGATGGTAACAAAAGTATCATTCTGGTACCACTCGTGCCTAAAAGGAAAATCCGAGTCAGGAGCCGCATCCGTTAGAACATTTGGCTCTTGTGCCATCACCATGCATATGTATATCGAATTTGATGTAAAATAAGAAACCGATGGGCGCTTCATACCTGACGCGGTGAGCAGCGGGGGTCAATGGGGCTGGGACGGGCGTAGAGGCAACGGCCGACACAACGGGAGTCACTTCGGCAGCGGGAGCAGCAGCAGCAACGGTGGCTGGGGCAGCAGCAGTAGGGGCAGCAGTAGCAGGGGTAGCGGCCTTGGGCAACTTGGCGAGCTCCTGATCGTTCTTGCGAATCCAGCTAGCAAGAGTACGCTGCTCGGGACTCAAAGCCTGGCAAGCCTCCAATGCGACTTTTGCGGTCTGATAGTCCTGCAAGTGGAAGGCGGCGACACTAAAGGAAATAAGCCCCAAAGAGATCAAGGTTCACGTGCTCTTTGTAAGTACAAGGGTCGACTTGAACCTGAAAGAGATTTGTGTGTGACAGAAGTTGCTGGAAAAAAAATCCTCAGCACTTCTGAACAGTTGCACCTTCAGAGTCGACAAGAGGAGGTGAAACGCATGACCAAGCGGTTTGGCGCGATGCACATCCCGCAAGTGCGCTTCCTGGTCAATCGAGAATGTCCGTATCGTAATACACCTACCCTTTGCGAAGCTGGGCCTTGGCCTCAACGGTCACGTCCGAAGAAGGCTTCTCCTTGATAAGTTCTAACGCGTGAACGGCATCCCCGTATGCCTCCTTGTCCTTTCCGAGCTTCTGGTACGTAGCAGAACTAAAGAGGTTTTTTTAAAAAAAAAAAAAGAAAAAGGCGCGTGGAATAACGGAGCAGGAACATATGAGTAAGAGGAACAAACAGCTTCTCAAGAGAGCATAGTCATCGTCCAGCTGTGCAGGCTCATGAAGAATGCTTTCGTAAAAAGTACCGCTTCAAGAAGATCTCGGCGTAGGTTCCATTGACCTCGATAGCCTGGGAATAAAGGTCAAGAGCTTCCTCATAGTCATCCTCGGCGAATGCGTGGCTGCCCTGGGCAAACAAATCCTGTGCGGTGGTCATTGCTGTGTATATGTTTTGTTTTGTCGGATGAGGTGTGAGTTGGGTAGTAAGAGGTTGTTGAGTGAGGAGGGGTGTGAATGAGAAAAGGAAAAGGAAAAGGAAGAGTGCGTAAGATGAAAAAAAAATAAAAATACAAAAGAGACAAAATAAATACTTCGCCGTGGTCGCGGCGGTGCACTTTTGCCTTTCTACAGAATTCGATGGTTTTCTCTGTCCAAACCTTGTTCTTTCTGTCAGGAGTCGACCCATCAAATATGCCGCAGCCTTCGTAACAGTGGCGAAGAAGAACAAGGACTATGACAGCATCTTTGCCACCGGCCCGGGATGGGTCTTTGTCGGTCGGCCTTTTCTTCGTGCTTGCGAAAGAAAAAAGTATATTTTATTCTCTCTTCTTGTCCTTTTTGCTACCGATCTTTATTTATCTGGCCAAAAGGTTGGCGTGAAGAAGGAGCATAAATAGCTAAACTGCAACGTTGATGACGGCACCTTCGGGCGTAGAGTCCCAAAAGTCAAAGAGCGCCTCCTTGGGCAAGGACCGGAAACCGATGGTCTTGCTGACTGGACCATAGTTGCGGAACATAAACTTGAGCGCTCTTTGCCGCAGTCCGACCTGGCCACTGAGGCCAGCTCTGTGATAGATCCTAGAAACTGTCTCGATGTCGATCTGCTGGTGGAGCGCCGCGCTGCAAAGGTGGACCAGACGTCTCATCACATACATGCTTCCCATGACTAGCAGGTCCGCGATTGTATCCGTCGACATGTCCTCAATCGAATCCGTGTACAGGTACTCGACAAAGCCCTTCACAGTCTCGTACGGCTCAGGGAGGGTCAAAGTGCTTGTCTGGGCCTCTAGCATTCCCGCCTGAACCATGCTCGCAAAGTGGGGCCACCGCGCCATCAGGATCAGCTTATGACACAGGATGGACTCCTGCTGTGGACTGTTGGCCCGGGTTGACGAGGGTGTCTGCCGCTGAGACCGAATCCGTTGGACCATAAGTGGCTGGGCGTCAATCATCATGTCGTTATCGCCACTGGCGTCCGAGTGAGGATAGTAGTCTGCCGAGAGGTCAGTCGCCTGAACAACTGAATTGGCCTGCGCATCGGTCCCCGTACAGAGGATTCGAAAGTCAGCCAGCGCCATTTGGTCCTGCAGGAGTCGACCAAGTTCTTGTCCTATTGCGACGTGAGGCTCCTGGAACGACCCATACTCTCGCATATCGATCGTCAGAACCTGCTTGAAGTACTCGTCCGACTCGTTGTTGTCGCCAATCAGGTAGAACTGATCACCGTCTCGCTCCATTGAAAAGTAGTGCCAGGTGTGGTTCTCGCCCAGGATCTTCCAGTCGTCGTGTTTTGTCCATTGGAAGCATTCCAGATCCAGAGTCCAGATTCCTCCTGTGAACTTTTGAAGCTCGTACCGCAGACCTTGGGAGATCACGACGACCAGATGCCGACCACAGACTTGTGAGAACTGTTGAGCAGCGACGTTCGGTGCGATTTCATCAGACACGCTGACCCTTGTCACCTGATTGGTCTCGAGGTCCATGTAGGCAATAACCTCTGTGCGATCCATCTCCTCGTTGTAGCCCCCGTATACGAACAGCTTGTTGCGGAACTCGAAGAGCGTATGGGTGTATCGGGCAACAAAGTCGATTGGCTCATCCCACTCCCACGTCAAGAGGTCGAGACAGAGGAGTTCCTGCGAAACGCCTTCCTGATCAAGACATCCTCCAGAAATGTATAGCTTGTCGTCCACAATCGTCGCCGAGTGCTTGACTCGTCCGATCGGGATAGCACCGGTTACTTCCGGAGTCTCCCAAGTCAATGTACGGACATTCAGAATGTGGACATCGTTGCAGTATTGGTTCCGCTCGTCACTACCTCCAAATATGACAATACGATCGTCTCCCCAAAGACTGGCAGAGTGGTCGTTCCGTTTAGACGGTGGCTCGCCTTTGGTGTAAATCAGCTTCTCCCACACCATCGTCTCCACATCCAGCCGATAAAGGTCGTTGTTGACGGCGTCCGTGTACTGGTGAAAGCCTCCAAACACATAGAGTCGCAGCCTGTCGTGACCCCTCTCCCGCTCGCCTGCACCAAGGTCATCCTGTCGACTGTGATGGCGAACATGACCTGAACCCTGGGTCTGACTGGCAGCTGTCCTAGCGCGGCTTGTTGTCGCGTCGGCGGTGGCTGTGGCAGCTGCACTGTCGTAAAAGGAGCCCTGGGGGGAATGAGTAGTGGTCGAAGCGAATGCCCTGTTCCTCTTGGCCAGACTGTGGCTGCTACTTGAGCGGGAAGCGGTCACAGAGGAAGGGGAAGAGATGCAGGTGATGGATGCATTGACAATACATGTCATGCGTTCGCCCAAGGTGGGGCGAGGGAGAACGGAGCTCTCTGTGCCAGGGGGTTGGGGCTGGAAGTTGTAGGGACCTGTGCTGTTGAACGGGAGAGGCTGCGGGAGGGAGCTGTGGTTGGAGGGCATTGGCTGGTTGCTGAAGTTGTTATTGTTATTGTTATGGACTTGACTAAGAGACTGAGCTGGTGAGGCCGTGCGGGGCATGGAAGGTGCAATGAGGTGTGGGAATGTGTGTGAGAGATATAAGTGTGAGAGATATAAGTGTGAGAGATATAAGTGTGAGAGATATAAGTGTGAGAGATATAAGTGTGAGAGATATAAGTGTGAGAGATATAAGTGTGAGAGAGATAAGTATGTGTGAGAGTGAGAGAGAGTGAGAGAGAAAAGAGAGAGAGAGAAGAGAGAGAGAGAGAGAGAGAAGTGTGTGAAAGAGAAAAGAGAGAGGCGAGTTGAAAACAAAAGGGAGTAGGAGGAGAGACGAGAGAAAGAGAAAAGAGGAGGGGTGCAGTGTGCAGGTAAGAGGTGGCAGGATAGGTGGAGTCAAACGTCCGTCAAAAGAGGAGGTTCCTTTGTGCACGACCTCAACATGGGGCAAGCACAGCATCTGCGATATTCAACGCTTCCTGATCACGATTCCTTTCGCAGAAAAAAAAGGCGGCAAAAAAATTATGTAAAAGTTGTATTGGGGAATGGGTAACATAGGTCTATCTAGTTCTTCTTGGCAGCCTTCCTCTCCTCAAGGTCGATCTCTGCAAGGCTCCTGCTTGCGTTGGCAAACTGGATGCAGTTGATAATCTGCTTTCCAGCGCAGACAGGTCCGGTAACAGCAGCAAGCGAGTACAGCACAACCTTGCCAAAGGCCGACGACTGGAAGTTGAAACTCAACAGGTACAGGATAACAAAGAACAGCTCGTTCGCAAAGCAGAACGCAAACAGGACATTCTAAGGGAAGTATTTTTTTGTGAGAAAAAAAAATAGGTGTTACTTGTCCGTCTGCTCCGAGTAAAATAAACAAAAACGGATCCACTGCCCGTCTATCCTCTGTCCACGTATGGATATCTGCCCATTCGACGGTCGATCGCTTACATTGTTGCTATAGTAGGCGCGAAGGATGAAGTTGCTCGACTCTGAAATCTTCTTATGGCTGGTTGCTCCTGAGGTCAATGAGCTATATGCGCAGAGATAAACAGGTCAGCATGGTTATGGTGTTAATAGGGTTCGAATGGGAAGAGGGGAAAGAGATGAACAAGTGCAAATGCCTTTGTTTTGAGAGCATTAACAGTCGGGCTTAAAATGAAAAGGAAAGATAGGATTTCATGTGAACAAAGTGCGGATGAAAGGGAGAACAGAGTTCCGTCGGCTGGGTATGGACAAGCTCGTTACCTGTACATGTGCATGTAATGACTGCTGACATCCAAGGCGATCAAGAACTGGAAGACGAGGGCATAGGACGGGTAGGCAATGGCAAGATAGCAGAGAAGGCAGGCAGTAGTGCACCTACAAAATGAACAAGATATATGCGTGTGTGGTGTGTATGTCAATCAGTTAGCCGGTCAGTTCATTTAATTTTAGTGTAGGAGTTTGGACCCGATCAAGTGGGGAAGGTGATGATAACTTGTTAAGCCTGTGTTGCACACACACGACACTTCTTCGCCACGCACACAAGACCATCCTCGTCAAACATGGCAATTGAGCCACCTTGGGCACCCGATATCGACTCGCATGCTTACCTGTCAGTAACCATGTCCAGAACTGCTCCAAATTTGCTGCCTAAAGTGAAAAGATAAAAAAAGCATACACACAAACATAAGATGCGTACAATGCAAGTCGTCGTCCGTTAGAAATAAAATAAAAAAACACATTCCTTCCTGTCTGTAAGAATCGCATACGCAAAGGCATGGTACTATCCGCCTAAAGGCAATAGACGAACGATCCTTACATTGGTCATAGTAACGGGCAGCTTGTCCATCAACGGCGTCCAAAAGACACGAAACAGAGTACATGACCATGCATGTCTTTGGGTGATAGGGCATGTAGTATAAGGCGCCAGCAGCAAGGAGGATTCGGCTGTATCCTGTAAACGATACAGGTAGTGGTTGACAAGCAAGAAAAAGAGATGTTCAAACATGATGTCAGATGTGTGATTGTCATGACAACAACGTAGCCGGCGATCCTTTTCCATCCTCTGCGCATCTGGCCAGTTCGAGATCCAAGGTATGTGTTGAGTTGTAGAGTGGAGTCGACAATTTGGGTTGATGTCTTTTTGTTCGTTAGCGTACCAATCAGGTTGGGGATGAAGAGGAAGACGTTCTCGTCTGCGGGTCCCTGCTTGGATGCCACAGCGGCTGGTGCTTTGGTGTTCTTTGCGGGCATGGTGTTGAAGGAGGAAGGATGGCAAAGAAAAAGAAATGAAGAGAGGAAGAGGTGGCAAGGTCGACAAAAAAGAGCACTTGGTCGGTTTTTGTCTTTTATTTTCTGTGGGTGGGTCGGTATATGAGTCACGTGCAAAGGCAAGGTACTTAGTTCCCCTTGCACGCCAGAAAGCAGAACGACACTTCGACAACTCCCATCCCAACTGTCCAATCGCGACGACGACCGAACGGACCATCAACACACCCTCTCCTCAAGGCAATAGACATTTTTTGCTGTGAAGGTCTTGCGCCGCTCCATTCTCTAATACGCCCACACCGCAAACGCCATCATGGACGCCTACCCGCCCGAGTTTGCAATTCATCTCCAGCCGACCTTGGTTGTCTCAGGCTTGACCACTGCCGAAGACGTGTCCCATCAGGAGGATGCGAACCCACCACAGGTCAACAACGACAACCCACCTCCCCCACCACCGAGGCCGAGTACTCAGGGCAGCAAGACAGGACTAGCTACCCAAAAGGCCGCCTTGCTTCAGGCGATGCTTTCCCGCAACAACGTCTCCTACTGGGACAACACCAAGGGTCTTGCAGGGTCGCTGTTTTACGTGATCCCAGAACAGGCAGCCTACAACCTCCCACCATCACGACGATTCCTGCAGCAGACGAATCAATTACACCTCGCTCAACAATCCCTCTCGCCTACTGCACCTTCTTCACCGCTCTACCCGGATGGCCTTATCACACCTCTGTGGGTTCGGCGGCACCGTGAAAAGATCCCATCCGTTTTTATTGCAGTCGTGGACCTTTGGGACAGAGAGTCGATTGTTGGAAACGCCGACAATGGCCAACGCGGATTCTCTGATAAAGGACCATTGGGGGTTGTTGACCCCATGGAGCGTGATCATGATACCACGTTGGCGCAAGATCTTCTGGAGCGCCGGTGAGTGCCAAGGTGTTATAAACAGACTTGGCAATGCATGCAACGATAGTTGAACACCAAGCTAATACCATCGCGTCTTGAAAATAGGAAAGCTTCACAGGAACGAGGAGTCAAGTTTGCTGCCGTTGTGATACTGCAGAGGTCACATATGGGTATAGCTTTGCAGGAGATATCGAGCATGCAGAACTACGTCTCCCAACCATTAAGTCATGTCGCTAACCAACTTTCAATTGAACAATAGAGGATCCATCTATCGAGGACCGACTGAATTTCGTGCGCAAGTCGGCAGGATTGGACATCAAAAACTCGTTCTATGTGCTCCCACCCAGCAACAGCCAGGAGATCTCGGACTTTGCAGTCAAGTAAGGCTTCGTTAACACTCGACTGCACGGGGCATTTGGAGTTGTAATTGCACAGTTTAACCTCCTTTTCCGCTCATCTGACCTTTTGGTAGTCTTCAACGGTCGCAGTACGAGGGCTCGATGAATTACTACAAGGAACAAGTCAAGCGACACAAGAAAAAGCGATCCAACCTTCCTTCAACAACGGCCAGTGTCCGGCCAGGACAGCAACCAAACATCGGAGGATCGCAACAGACTCAACAGCAAACACTCTCTGTCCAGGGATGGATGTTTCGCTATGACTTCAAGATGGGCATGTTTTCCGAGTGTAAGCAGGACATCGACAATGCGGTCAAGTTTTACGAATCTGCATATGGTCTCCTCATCGACATGTTCGCTATAACCTCGACAATTACTCCTGGAACCCCAGGATTACAAGCTCGGACGAAGCGATGGGCAGAAGCCAAAGTGCTGGCTGATTGTCTTTGCCTGAAGGTAAAAGCCTAGGCGCAGTCTATCGCACGACTTTAGAAAAGCTACTCCTATGCACAAGTACTCACTACCTCCATTTTTTCTTACTCGTTTTTTAGATCTGCAAATTTCATCTCTATTTGGATGCACCTTCCACAGCTCTCTTCTACTTCCGCCGCCACTTGATCGTGTTCAAGGCCTTCTCGGAGAGCTGGAGGATGGGCGACGACTCCTTTGAGTACTGGGCTTGGCTTGGCAAGCAGTACAGGGTATTCGGCGACCTGCTGGATATCGGGACCAAAGCAGGATTTAAGCTTCCCGTTCCTTCGCCTGGCAGTGTCGTTTATGGATCGTTTGCAGGAATGACAGAAGGGTCAAAGGATCTCAACAAGTTCTCTGGCATTGGAGTAGGAAATGGCGCTACCGGATTCGGAATCAGTCCTTCAGGTGACGCCTCTGTGTACAATGGGAGTGTCGGTGGAGGACGCGGAGGTGGAACGCACGGTCCTGGCGCTGGTGTCAACCCAATGCTGGTTCTTCAGCATGCCGGATACTTTTTTCACCAATCTGCAAACTGTAGCGTGCAGAGACGACTGCGGTTTGAGATGGCTGAGGAGGTGAGCATTTTTCGGAAGGCGCTGTCACCTCCCATGTACGAACTCGGGGATTTCTAAACAATGATACTAACCAGTGTATGTGTCTCCAACTAGGCGTATCCTGACAGCTCGGTAGCGCCTGCTCCTACCAGCTCAAGGCCCTATCCTCCTACGCTTCAATCGATGAATGCTGAGAGAGCCATTGACCACCTCTCACTCACGATCGAGTTGTTGACCAAGAGTTACGAGCAGTTCAAAAGATACAAGGCTGGTCGAATGACTCTATTCTTGGCCTCGGAGATCGCAGGAACATACTACACGGCAGGAAAATTTGAAATGGCGCTCAAGTAAGGAATAGCTTTAGCAGTTTAAACATGTAACCCGATAGGCCAGCAAGAACCATTCACTGACATAAGCTCTCGAACTATCTCTCACGATCTGCTAGATTTTTCGAGAGGATCGGCAAGACCTATCGCAAGGAGGGCTGGAACTTGATTTTGACCTCGATCTTGAAATGGTCCATCCAATGCGCGAAGGAGTTGGGATACTGGGAGAACGTGGTCGAATATTTGATCGAGATGATGAGTCCAGGTGAGCAAACAGCTTCAGTATACAACATCCCAGAAAGTCCAGTCGTGGAGTAAGAATGCTGATTTACATTATTTGTCTTGAACCATTTAGATATGCCTGCAACTGAAGCCAAGAGACTGAGTGTTTTCGATGAGCTTGTCAGCATACTTCACACCAAGACCCATCCTGCCAATACGTCCGTTCACAAGCCTCTTGCCCTGCCAATGCCTCAAATGAACTCTTTCGGTACGCTTCAAACGCCATGTCTCACAGTCGTTAGTCGAGGGTGGATTGTGTATCAAAATCTAACACCTCCTTCAACCTTCGCCCATTAGTTTCATGTGCAGTCCAGTTCCAATCGAAGCAGGCATTTGTTGCATCGGCGAGCAAGTTTCAGCTTCAGTTGGCAACGCAAGGAGGCCAAGGCGCGCTGCCGAAACCCTTCCGTTTATCATATGTTCTTGTGGAATTTTCAGACCCCACACTGAATCACCGATTTGAGGACCCGAGACCGCTTGATCAGACTTGCGTACAGGACCCCGTGGAGCGACTATCGATGAAGGACCGTACGGGGAGAAACGTGGAGTGGGTCGATTGTGGCCGCTGCACTTTTGATACCCAAGGCAGCGTATGGAAAGCCAACCTCGATTTGGATATTAATCCTCATTCGACAATGGTCATTGAAGGCGCTATCGTGCCAGAGAAGGAGCAGACTATCAAGGTACCCAAAGGAGAAGTTTTCAAGTTGAATTTGCGCTGCCCATAACCAATGCAAGGTATTGACGACCTCTTTTGTTCTTGTTGGGACAGGTTGTCAAAATCACCCTGGGAGTTGCGACAGAGCAATGGAACGTTGCCCTCGAGTACCCAACGACAGACGTCATACTAGAAGGCGATCAACCTGGCTCTCAGCAGAATCACATGCCGCTCCAAGGAAGCCCCCCTAGAAGACAGTGGCTGGATGTGTCTCGGGCGTCGGAAGATGCAAGCTCATCCGTGAAGTTGAAGTTCAAGCAGCTTGACAAGGGGGCCAAACGTGCTCCATCACTTCAGTAAGTCAAATAGCCAATACTCAGATACGCTTCCAGTGCTGCTGTCCTATCCATAAGTCCAACAATTTACCAACGTCGTCTTTAACAGCGTGGTGCCTAGGGAATCCAAGGTTGAGATCCAAACATTGTTCAAGTCACCGGCTTATCTCGACGAGTTCTTCCCTGTGGTCATCAAAGTTCGAAACGGAGAAGCGTTCCCTGTGGCCATGGAGATGGATGTAGAATTGCAACCTATCGACCCAAGCATAGATTCGCTCGACAGCATTGTGATAGATCCTCATGCTGCCCTCAAATCCCTCTCTGCTGGATCTTTCCAAGCAACCCAGATACTCCATGGAATCCGTTTGTCGAAGGCTGGCAGCTCTGCCAGTTCAAGCAACGTTGCACAAGATCTCGCTGTAGGCGAGTGGGCAGAGCAAACCATCTTTGTCAAGGCGCTCGAGATCCCAACTCCTAGGACCATTGTCTGCAAAGTTCGGTACGAGGTTTCGTTGGAAAATGAGCAGAAGAAGTCGTCGACGGAGAAGCAGCACGCCTTCAGGGTTCTGTTCATCCCGCCTTTCGACGCCGCCGTCGATTATACCCCACAACTGGCCCATGTCTCGGAGACCAAAAAAACACAAGATAGTGAGCCCGACCTTGTTCCGATTTTGCAGTCGAATGTGGTGGACGAAAAGTATGGCGCGGTGACGGTACCTGCACTGACCCACACGGAGGTGTACTTGATGTCAACTCGGGTGAACAACGAGGGACCATGGCCGGTTCAAGTCAAGGAGGTCAAGCTCATCATCGGCTCGGAGTCAAACACCTTGGCAGAGCCTGGCACAGGAGGTCGTGATGGCGCTGCAGGAGGCTTAGGAGGACTCTCTCGGAGCCACAGTATCAGTCGAGTGCGTGGCCGGAAAAAGAGCCTGCAGGAGGTCGGTATTCGTGTCGAGCTACTGGAGGATAGCAGTATTGGCCTAGATGGCAACCGCTTCGGAGACGAAGGAGAAAGCGAGTCCAGTCTCCTACCCTGGCGGTCTGGCAATCTGCAGACTTTCATTCATTTGGTCAGGGTAACTGCAGCCGATCTGGATATGGCGCCTGACCAGATTGAAGTTGGCTATTTGCGCATCCAATGGAGGAGGTGAGCTGGTGAACTCGGGTAAAGTCCTCTGTACGTGTGTATCAGACTGTTATTCTAACTTTGATTGTGTATATTCTCCTCAATAGGTTTGAGGACGATGGAAAGGCCAACGCGCCGTTTGTAGTGACCAATGTTCCCTTGCAACCACTAGAGCTGCCCAAGGCACAACCCTATATGACTGTTGGTAAGTATCACAATGCTGAGCCCTGGAGTTTTATTGCGAGCGATGATGACAGTGAACACGGGCGCTAACTTTTCCAACCTTCGACCTGTTTTGTAATTAGATCTCCCCAAAGATGCTTTGGTCAGTCGACCTTTCACGGCCAGATACGAGATCCACAACCCAACTGGCAAGACCCAAGAACTTGCTATGACCGTCGAGCCATCTGAGGGTATGGTTTATGCGGGTACCATGCAAACGACCCTCAGGATCCTCCCTTTCGCCAGCCACTCCATCCAGATGAACTGCTACCCTCTACAGGCCGGATTGACTCGACTTCCGCTGGTAAAGCTGGTCGTAAACAAGAGGAAGCCCAGTCGCAGACGTGGTCAGGCATCACATCAACTGCAACAACCAGAGAGTCATGAGGAGGTATTGGTCAAGGTCAGAGGAGCAATTAAAATGGGCGGCCCTCAAAATGCAAGAACGGGGACTGGAGAGACTGTTGTGATCTTTGTCAAGCCTGAGACTGGGTCACTAGAGTAGCTCGTCATCCAGTCATCTGCAATAAAAAAAACTTTTGGTTTCTGCCTTCTACTTTGTTCTGGCGAATTCGGACGACGTAATGGAGTCTGCTGTTTGGCCTAAAGGTTTGTGATCCCACTTCAGGACAAGCCTAGTTACTTTGCGCACCGACCACAAAAATATGACGTTACAGGGGCAAATGGCGTCGCTGACATCACTCGAATTATTACGGCCACCAGGCAAGTCGAGGAATTTGTTCATCGCCGAGACGAACATAAATAACATAAATACACCCTTGCTTCCTCTCTTATCGTCTCAACCCTTTCACGTCCTTCAAGTCTTCTAGTTCCTCAACCACTTCATCCTCACGCACACTAACACGAACACGCCTGCAATATTTACGGTAGCACTTCAGCAGCTCCAAGTAACCAACGGCATTAAGTTTCTTGTTTCTAAGGTTTCTTGCTTTTCTGTACCGGTTGAACTTTAGTAAGGACTCGCGATACTAACCAACGCCCACTCCCTCTTCACGTTTCATTGATTGCTGCAGTCTACTTTCAAGCGCCAAAACCATGACTCAAGAAATTGCACATCCAGCGCAGTTCTGTTTGACACTCCCTTTGTCGAAAATGACACCCATTGACTCAAGTAATGGACGACCGTGCAAGTCGGCCAAGCTCTCAACCGCGCGTCAGCCCTTCTCCAATCTCGGATATTCTTCTCCATCGCCCTGTCTAAGGATTCGTCGACAGACCATCTCCAGTTCGAGCAACCCATGCTCGGGTAATTTGCCGTCCATGCCAAGCAGCCCATGTCTACCTATCACCACATTGTTAGAGCCATTGGATCTGAGTCATGGCTTTGAGCGGCCGGCCGTGAAAAAGGCGGTTTTTAAGGTGCAGTTTCTGCCTAGCGGAGAGTACAAAGTCGAGGGGAATGCTAGCAGCCTGCCCCGGACGCCGTACCCTTTGACGAAGAGGGAGGAGGAAGAGGGGATCTTTCAGTCATTACTGACAGCCCTAAACGAAGAAGAATGAAAATCAAATAAAATCATGCTTGAACTCGAACTCGAAACTTGCTCCCCTTTGCTGCGATTGGCTGGATAATTATCAGTGAGGATCTCAATTATCTCAGCCACCTAAATATGCGTGCTTTTGGGATGGTGACTCAAGGACGACTCAAATAAAGAATAAAGAGGAAGGGTTCGCCTGTCTCTTCTCTCACTCCTCAACTCATTTCACTCTCTCTCTCTCACAACACACCATGTCTGCCCATCTTCGTCAAGTATTCAACGACTGCAAGGAGCAGAGTAAGAACACTTCAACACCCACCATAAACAACAACATCCCACGCCTGCCCTCACCCACACCTCCTGCATACACACAGACCCGTTTCTTCCATTCTTTTTTCCCACCCCAAAAAAACAGTTGGTCATTGTATGCTTCTCGATGGAAAGAAAAGGTGCATCCCTAATCACGCCAAATCTCCGTGTTCCGTCAATGTGAATAGAGCGCGCTGCCTTTGTTGCCTTTATCACTGCCGGTTACCCCGAGCCCAAGGATACCGTCGATGTCATGCTCGCCTTGGAGAAGGGAGGCGCCGACATTATCGAGCTCGGAGTTCCATTCACTGATCCCTTGGCTGACGGCCCCACCATTCAGGAGTCCAGCCAGGTAAGCACCCCTTACCCTTGTTTTTTTTGCAATCAGAATACTTTACAGGAGTTCAGCAGTAACTTGGAAGATATCCTCACTGATTGTTATACATCTCATTTCGCTGTCGGATCTAGGTTGCCATCACGCACAACGTTGATATTCCTATGTGCTTGGACATGGTCAGGGAAGCCAGAGCTAAGGGTCTCAAGGCTCCCGTTATCTTCATGGGATACTTCAACCCTATTCGCTGCTACGGCGAAGAGCGCGTTGTTAAGGACTGCCAGGAGGCTGGTGTCAACGGATTCATTGTTGTCGAGCTCCCTCCCGAGGAGAGTGCTGAGTTCCGCGGCTACTGCACACAATACGGGTATGGTGTCTGTTCAGGACAAGAAAGACAGAAAGAGTGGTCGATTGAAAGACAAGGATCACTTCATGCGGAGCATTAACTGAACTACTTTTTCCCTTTGCTTATGATATTAGATTGTCATACGTTCCTTTGATTGCCCCTTCGACGTCTGATACCCGCATTGGCCACTTGGCCCAGGTCGCTGACAGCTTCATCTACGTCGTTTCCAAGCTTGGAGTCACCGGTGCCTCCTCGACCGTCAACGTCGAGCTTCCCAACCTTGTCGCCCGCATTCGCCGTCACACCAATCTGCCCTTGGCAGTCGGATTCGGAGTCTCTAACCGCGAACAATTCCAGGCTGTCGGTGCTCATGCCGACGGTGTTGTTATCGGAAGCAAGATCATCACCGTTCTCCGCGATGCTGGTAAGTGAGCACTCTTTATCTTTATCTGCAACCGATACATGATCGGAGGATGACATGATCTTTTTGCAGCAGAAACAATCAAAAAAAAATCCCGCGCTATCGCATTTGACTAAGACTTGGTGGCTTGCTTCTTTGTTCTTGGCCCAATCTGGCCTTAAATAGCCCCTGGAGCTCGTGCCGAGGCCGCCTACGCCTATGCCAAGGATGTCAGTGACGGCACTGGTGCACCAGGTAAAGATGACGGATAGCAACTGAATTATGTTTTACCTGGAGATGCTAATGTCACGATCTAGCCAGCCGCTAACCGCCACTACCATCATTGAAAAATTGCAGCCTATAGCATTGTCCACCCCGAGAGCCGCGTTCCCGTCACTCCTGGAGTAAGTCACATTTAATTTGTATCACAATTACTCATCTATATGACCTCAAGATATCGACATGAAAGTCTAACCACTTTTAACTATCTGCTCCACGTATGTACCTAGCACGTTCATCTTTTGGATCCTCGTTTCGGTGAGTTTGGTGGTCAGTACGTGCCCGAGGCTTTGGTGGACTGTCTCGCCGAGTTGGAGGCTGCCTATGTTGAGGCCAAGAATGACCCCGCCTTCTGGGAGGAATACAAGTCCTTCTACACCTACATTGGTCGCCCTTCAAGCTTGACATTGGCCGACCGTTTGACCGAAAGAACCGGAGGCGCCAGGATCTGGTTGAAGAGAGAGGATTTGAACCACACTGGATCGCACAAGATCAACAACGCCATTGGACAGATCTTGCTCGCCAAGAGATTGGGCAAGAAGAGAATCATTGCCGAGACTGGAGCTGGTCAGCACGGAGTCGCCACCGCCACTGTTTGCGCCAAGTTCGGCTTGGAGTGCATTGTCTACATGGGAGCTGATGATGTCCAGCGTCAGGCCTTGAACGTCTTCAGAATGCGTATCTTGGGTGCCAAGGTTGTCACTGTCCACTCGGGAGCAAAGACCCTCAAGGATGCCATTAACGAGGCAATGAGAGACTGGGTCACCAACGTCACCACCACTCACTACTTGGTCGGATCGGCCATTGGACCCCATCCCTTCCCCACCATTGTCCGTGACTTCCAGTCTGTCATTGGTACCGAGGCAAGAGGACAGATGTTGGAGCAGGCTGGCCGTCTTCCCGATGCCATTGTTGCCTGTGTCGGAGGAGGAAGCAACGCCATTGGTCTTTTCTACCCGTTCATTGAGGATAAGACCGTCCAGATGATTGGAGCTGAGGCTGGTGGATCAGGAACCCACACTGAGGAGCACTCTGCCACTTTGGCTGCAGGAACTATTGGTGTCTTCCACGGCACGAGAACCTACTTGCTGCAGGACAATAAGACTGGTCAGATCAAGGAGACACATTCGATCTCTGCTGGATTGGACTACCCCGGTGTCGGACCTGAGCACGCCTGGTTGAAGGACTCTGGACGCGCCAAGTACGTTCCTGTGGATGATGCCCAGTGCTTGATTGGTTTCCGTTCCTTGTGCGAGACTGAAGGTATTATCCCCGCCCTTGAGTCCTCCCACGCTTTGTATGCTGCCATCGAGGCCGCTAAGGAGTTGGGACCTGGCAAGGATGTCCTTGTGACCGTGTCTGGACGCGGAGATAAAGATGTCGAGTCTGTCGCCAAGGCTCTCCCCAAGCTTGGACCAATTATTGGATGGGAGCTTGAGTTGCCCAAGATCTCTGACAACTTTTAAATCAATCATTTTACCCTTCTTCCTCATCCTCCCCCATGGCGCATTCTATGCGTGAAAAAGTAAATAAACCGACATGATGATTGCATTTATCCAGAATTTCCAACTGCATTGAATGTGTGCTTGTCCAATGCACTGCAAAATATACAGACATGGTCCCCTCAAGCACAATGACCATATCGACAATGAGCCAAAAAAAAAAAAAAAAAAAAAATTCATTACGTCCACTATTTCATTTCGCAATCTGGAAACCAAAGAAGCAGGGGGAGCAGAAGGAGATGAATGAAAAGAGGGGATGTGTTTTCGCGATTTTTCTTGCGTCTCATTCCTCTTTTGTTGCCCCCTTGGCCAATCTTGTAGAAAGTGGGGGAGGGGGGTGAGAGAGCGGGTTAGTTGGCTGGAAGAAAACCAAAATGGCCAGAAAAGCAGTTTTTGCGTTGTCGGCCAGGTGCATAAATGCAGTTACTGCAAAAAAATCCTACTTGATGCTTGTATGCAAAGTACTTCAGCATACGGATGAAAAAGAGGGGAAAGGGGGGGGGGGGGTGAGCGAAAAACCATAAAGCGGAGACGAGGTTTTCTAGTACTATTGCAAATGTTTCTCTTTGTTTCTCTTCGTTGTCGGTGTAGGGGTCAAGGAGTAGAAGAGGAAGAAATGGAGGAGTGGAGTTAGGAGAAGGCAAGAACTGAGTCTGATCGGGAGTCGCCTTGACCTTTTCTTTTACAGTATCCAAAGTCTATTTTAGATACGCGCTTTTTTGTTATGAATGGCCCTTCTGCGTTGACGAAACCCTTTCGGACAAGAGTCTAGAAGGAGTGAAAAAAAGAGAGGAGATAGAGTGAATGAATAGGTTCATGGGCAGCTTTGAATTCTTTGGTTACGGCAAGCTCTCTTGTCGGTCGCGAACAAGAAAAGAAAGGACTCGAGATCTCGGCTTTGATCATCGCAACACCTTTTTTTTTTTATGTCTGGCCAATTCGGCTAACCAAACACACAACTCGACGACGCATCTTTTCCGTTCATATCCTTAACTTTCTCAATTCTCTTTCTGGCCCCCCTTCCGTTTCTTTCGCTCATCCGTCCCTCCGTTCTTCGCTTGCCATTTATGGAGTGAAGGAAGGCATGCTGAAGGGAGAGAGAAAGAGGGAAGAAAATCAAAAGCAAAACGTGCGCTCGGTTGTTCTTTTTTTTTTCATCCCCTTTCAGACGTCGTTTTCATCATCGCGGCCGCTTTTCATTCTCCATCCTTCTCCCCATCGCGTCGTGCTTCGCAAGTATGATTAAAACGCTCGATCGAGTTAGTCACAAAAAAAAGGTTTTCTCTCCTTCTCTTCTCCAAGGCTCTCCAAAACTAAAGTAAAAAGCGATCCACCATGCGGGCTCATATAGATCGACGGATGGACCAAGCTCCAAAACATTAGAAAAGGCCAGAGATGTTGGATGACAAGGACGCAAACAGAAAGAAAGAAAATAGAGTTTTCGCAGGTGCCAATTTTTTTGTGCGATGGTGAAACAGGCTTCGCCGAGCACAGGCAATGGCTTGTTTGTGGGGCAAAAGGCGAGTGCATGTGTCGTGTATTCGCAGACCAAACATTAAAAGGAAAACATTGGGAAGGAAGTAATCCACCCTTTATTTAATCTATTAGTCCAAGCACTAACAAATAACTATCAATGGCGATGGTAGCTTGGCACTAGTTCTCTTTCCTTCCGTCCTTCTCTCGTTCACCCCCTACTTCGATCATCGCGATGTCAAGTTCGGAAAAAGATTTACTCAAAAAAACCCTCATTTTCCAGTCGTCATTCCCATCACCACCTCTGTCCCCACCCCATTGTTTACTGCCCACCAGGACCAGATAGCATTATCATCTATACCCAATTTGTTGTGCCCTTCGCGGCTGTTTTGTTGTTCTTGAATCAGATGCGCTCATAACGCTTCGTGTTTTCGTTGTTCATGGGTAGTCCACTCTATCCCATCCGCTTAACGAAGTAAAATTAAATGACAAAAGGTAAAATGGGAGGGGGTTACATTGCAGTTGATTTTATTCCACAAACCGCTTTGTCAACCGTTACTAGAAAAATGAAGACATCCTTGCAGAACAAGTGTCTCTTTACGTTATTTTCACATTCTAACACGAACTCTCTTTCAAATGTACGCCCTCGTGTGTTTCTTGTTTACTGTCGAGCATGCATCGACGCCAATGTTAGCCAACTTAGGGCACTCTTCGCGGTTGACACAGTTTCTTCGTTGGTTTAGTGTTTTGCCTCAATACCTGGCAGTTTCAAGCAGGTGCTCTACCTGTACAATATAGCTGATAACAAATAAAGCAAAAGGCGAACGATGAGATATTCATGCCTGATCTTACTGCCTCTTCTGATATGGGTAATTGCTAAAGTTCTGTACTTACGAGATCGCCGTGGTGACAATCCACGCGCATACGTTGGAGGATGCAACCGAGGACTGGGAGATTTCCATCATAACGTTACCCTCCCTCCCCCTCGCTCCCGATTGTGAAAGACGCAATCGAAAGGATGTTGGGCGGAAGTAGAAGACGAAGGGGCGCTGGGCGATATTAGTCAAGGAATTTGAGGAGCAGGAGGAGGAAGTGGAAGAGGGAAACAAAAAATACAAAAAATACAAAAAAAAGCCGCCAAGAGGACGTAAGTGGTGACCCGCTGAGCATTACGTGAGATGAAATCTAATAACCAAGTAGAAAATACTTCCTTTCGTAGGTCGATTGCAGTGAGGCGGAGGTGCGGGTAGTTGAGTTCGGCAGACCCAGTTTGACCGAAGGTGAGGGTGGTGTACGTGAGTATGTTGCATGTGTGAGAAAGGAGTGGAAAAAGGGATATCACGGTTGAGAAAGAGGAGGGGGGGGGGGGGGGGGAACGGACGAGGGATGAAGGTTATGTCGTTTTCTTACGGACATCTCTATCCTCTGTCCCCTTTGAGATGTTTCTGGTTTTTTTCCGAAGAGGATGTTGATTTTTCTCTCCTTGTTGATTTGTGAATATGTGTGTTACTTGAGAAATGTTCAAAGGCATAAACTGTGCTTTGTCGGTACCCCTAGATAAGCGGGAAAGGAATAGGCAGTGGGATAGAATGATCGATAACGAGAGAGGAGAAGATAAAAGGACAATGGGAAAGGAATAATGAGAGGAAAGGATTATAGGGAATAACAATGAAGGGTAGCAACAACAACCGTGCCAACGATGCAGACTGACTTGCGCCAATCTAGTCTGGGAACACGGCGATGCCGTCAATTGAACAAGACATCTCGCAGTCGATGAACATTCGTGTTGACCAACACTGCTCAAAGAAAAAAAAGCTTGGTCACTGGGCAGCAGATGGACCACCTCACCATTGTCCTCAATAAAATGATCTTTCAAAATCGTCTGTCCCTTGATCGACCAGCCTCGACCAAAAGCCTCCCATCTGAGTATGTGTGGATATGAGGACATTTTTATTTTATTTTTTGCTGGGCAGTGACACAAAATAAAGGGGATGGGTTTCCATACCGTATGACAGGTAATGGGCCCAGAACCGTGTAGTCTGACCATAGAGCCTGCAAACCGGTTTTCAAAACCGGTTTTGTCGCCACTTTATCGTTCCTTTCTTTGTGCAGCACAGAGCCCGTTCCATTTTTTCATTGGGTTCTGCAACCATGGTTGATCCATGCTTTTCAGTGGTTACAAGCGCCCTACTTTTTGTTTTACCTCAAGGGGGTTCATTGACTTTTGCTCTACTAAGTACACTTCAGTACAGTACTATCATCACACCCTTTCTTCGTACTTACCAAGCGTGTTAGCAATGCATATAAGATTGTCCCCGATTTGAAACCTTCCATCCGCTTTGTCTAGCATCTGCCTCCCAAGAGAAGCAATGTCAACTCATCACTCACAACATGCAATGCTGGCGAAGCAATTGGATATTTTCTCAGGTCAATCACAGGACCGTTCAAGGCCGTTCCACTTTATGCCTTTGCCTGTGCTTACGTCGACCCTTAATAAGATTGGAACATGAAAAACTAAACCCCAAACAGAGACTCATCTCGTGCGCACAGACCCGCTTGTGTGATAGTTCTTTATTTCCTTACTCCTCCCAGAGCAAGCACTTTTGGTTCCCTTCCATCCGCGCTAACATGCACATGTGTGAATGTTGTTTGATTGTTCGCAAGGACCAGAAACACCTCCATCTTACCTTCAAACCATGACCTGGAATAAGAACAATGGTGAACCGCACTTGTGATGCTAGGCTAGGCTTGCTTTCTCGATCTAGACAAGCCATCTGATCCGCAGCCTTTAGTATTCTTCGACGTAACAATCTCAGGACACAAGCTAACACACACCACTAGCCGTTGCGTTCTTCATGCGCAGGGACTGAAGAAGTCGATGACGTTCGCCGGAAGATCGTCTTGGGTTCATTAGGAGCGATGCTCGGGATTTACTCATTGCCTCGTCTGGAAGTCGATCGCCTCTCCTTGTACTGGCCTCTTTTTTGCCTCCAACTAGTGCTAAACAGAAAAGACACGAGTTCATTGACAGGAATTGTTTGTTGTTTGGATTGAATAAGCGCTGGTTGCTATTTATGTTGTCTGTGGTTCTCCCCTGAGCAGCGATAACACACTTAATCTCTTTTTTCCTTTCTTCGCTCGCGATATCAACGCCCTGGCCATTGAATAAAACAAAGGTACAGGAGATGCGAGAAGATTCACTAGTCGATTCGGTACGAGGTGCATGGGCTGCATTGTTGTATTTGTTGCCATTGAATGCGCGCTGTAATTGAATGGTTTGAATTCAGTAATTTTGTATTCATGATCGAAATGAGACAAAAACGACAGCATGGACATTGACACGGACACACCACACTATATCCAGAAGGACATCCTTCTGTCTCTCTCTCTCTCACATACACCCATTCTCTGCCTTTCTCCCTTTTGTGTTTCCTTTTTGTCGTCAGCAGCGATCAATTCGGCCGTCGCCGCATGCTGTTGTTTTTCTTTCTCTTGTTGTTGTCGCATTTTTCTTTTTCCACCTCTTTCCGCCGCCTTGTCTTTGGCAGTTCAGTGGTCTTTTATGCAATGCCTTTTTCTGTGTGTCACTTAACAGATCTTAACCTTCAATGCGTTCGGGCCAGGGGGCGTTCATTAGTGTTATCTGCGGATTTGTCACTAATCCTTTCTCTGCCTCATCTTTGGCTCCCTCACTCTCTTTCTCATCATGTCAAAATGCATCTTGCCTCTTGCCTACCTTGTGTCTCGCTGTTGCCTCCTACGCCCCTTTCCCTCCTCGCAATTTCTCCTCATTCTTTTTTGTGTTCACCCTTTTCGCTCCAATGCCCCTCCTCAATCTTCATCGTCGTTCTTCTAGCCGAAAAGTCTAGTCCGCCATTCGTGTTGCTGACAAGGGTTGACTTGAACTTCAATAAAATGAGCCGAATATTTTTCTTCACCCAGCTCCCTCATTTCTGTCAAATACCATTGCACTACACATATACGCATTCTATCTCTTTACATCTTTCATCGTTGCACCCCGATATACCCCTTCTGGGATCAGTGCACAACACCTACATTGTTGGACCATCCTCCCTACACAAACCCACCACCGCCACGTTCAAATTGCCATGCAATCTTAGGTCTTCCTTTTAGATGTAAGCATTCACTGACAAACTTCACATTGTGGATGTATCTGTCCGTGAGAGAAAGAGTGTGATATTGGTCAGCGAGATGTGTTTACCCCATTCAATGCATGGAGGAGAGGAAATAAGAGAAATGAATTCACACCTGTCCTGAGAAACGCAACATCTTTTTGTTGCTATGTTTTTCTCCGCTTGTTCCTGTGTGGTGGAGTATTGGTATGGACTGAATTCGTGCCTTGTGTTTCTATCTTTCGCGTGGAAGTGCAGTGGCATTTTAACCACCAAGGTCCTTTCCTTCTTTTCTTTCCTTTTTGAACGACCACGACTTTGAGCACAGTTCTCTTGGACCTACCCTTATCCTCACATTCGTAAGTGGAATGAACTCTGCTGTCGTCATAGGTGGTTGCCCCCCAACTCTCTCCCTTCCTCCCGACTTCATCCCTTCCTTCACCTCCACCATGCACGCGTGTCGATACTTTGACTCTGCCGACTTATTTTGGTTATTTTTTGAGCTGATCGTCTTGTACCTCTCGCTCCCACTCTCTCCTTCCCATTACCCCCTTCCCATTTCTCTCTCCTTCTTTTTCCTTCTTTTTCGCTCTTTTGTTATCATCATCAATGCCTCACCACTTGAGCAAGCGGTGGACTACATTGACTATACGATTGCGCCGATCCATTGGTTGAATGGAAATTGGGACAGGGGCTTCTTGAGGTGCTACAAAAGAATATGAAAAGAAAAAGGCTCTTCCCTACGAATTGACTAGTGAGGTCAATTCAATTTCAAGGGGATGGGAAGGAGAGAGTACATGGTATCCTCTTGTTCATTTTTGGTGTTAATCATTGCAATTGATACTGCATCGGACGATCCACCGCGTGAGAGTGGTTGGGGTTTGGTGTTAGTGTTGACGTTGAAGTTGATGTTGTGTTTGTAGGTGTTGTTGTGTGTTTGCTGAGATAAGTCGCTATTCTACTTGCCAACTTTACTTTTCCGCGGCAATTTGATACTTTTCCTCTTTGTGCTCTCAATTTGGTAATGCAACATTCGGCCACGACTTGCATGATGCACCCTTGTCTGTGTGGCCACCCTGGATACCTGCACCCGCGTCTTTCGCTTGCTTTTTTTTTCTACTTTCTTCTTTTCCCCCTGTTTCTTACCTAAATTGTCGGACCTTTATGCTACCATCTGGCACCCTCTGCGACAATTGCCACAGTGAAAAGAAAATTGGCCATGGACCAGGCATGGTCTAGGATTCCCATTTGTTCATTTTTTTCCTACCTCCTCCGCCTCCCTTCTCGCTCTCTTACCTTCTCGCTCCTTCTTGATCCCTACACTCGGTCGTTTTTTTATTCACATTTGCACCTCATCCATCGATCTATCGATCGTACTTCTTGCGATGGAACACTGCATGCAATTCTATCTGCCCCCTGTTTTCATCCCAATCAATCGAACCTCTGTCGACAACAGCAAAAAAACAATCATAGACAAGTGCTTTTTTCCCTCGATTTTGTTTGTGCTTACTCTCTAGTTCGACCCTTGTGTTTGACTACGTGACCCTAGTTGGACTATCTCAACAACCCAGCACCCAGCCTAGCAACAGTAAGAACCCTTTTTTCCCAATTGACCGGGCTACTCAACCCTCGTTTTGTTACTCAACACAACACAACGCAACACAACACAAGACGACAAGAAGGCAAAGCTAATCAAACACAACGCCTTTGTTCGTCCCAGACTACAAAAAATCAACAAGTGGCATCCCCCTTTGCTAGCGTGTGCACGCACTCACAAATACAACATAAAATCCAACAAAAAACAAACAAGTAGTCTTTTGCTGCACGGTTATTGGCCCTTTCCCTCCTTGTCCCTTTCCCTCTCCCACTCTCACTTACCCCTTCTGTTCTCTCATTTTGTTGCCTTCCCACACATTTTTTTTGTATCAAACTTGCACGTTGTAGTATTGTATTCTGTCCCTCCCATCCGTCACCTTAGTAATAACGACTCCATTTTTTTTCCTTTATTCTCTAGACTCCTTCGGCAGCAACAACGGTACACACGCACAACAGACCGATACACCGCCTTATTCCAATTTTTGCATATAAGCACGACTCTTTCATCGAAACTCTGTCAGCACTTTCTTCTTTGCTTCTTCAGCTTCTTCTCTCACTCTCTCTTCCTTTGCTTCTACCTTTTCAATTCGCCCATCAACTTCTATACATCTTTCCTATTTCGTTTTTCTTTCTCCCTTCTTCTTTTCTTCACTGCCTTCTTTATCCATCCCCTCAACCATACACACCTGCGGCAACAACAACCAACAAACAATCACTCAAACTGACAAACAAACACTCCCTCCCTCCCCTGTACCCTTCTATCCCTCTTGACAGTCACAAACGCCTCTCACTTCGCCTTTGCCTCCATTCCTTTTCAACCTTGTCGCTCATTGCGTCCCTTAATAAAAGAGGCGATTCTTTCCCAGCATTCCCATGCTCGACAGAATAGACGCTACTTCGATCACAACAATCCAACTCTACAACCAGCCTTTTATTCGCGCGTTCGAAATGACCCCCTCATTGCCCACCTTCGTCCCCGCCACCCAGCTGCCACTTGCCATCGACAATGGCCGACTGGTGCTCCAAGACATGCTCGGTGTCGGAGCTTATGGCTCGGTCTACAGGGCCATCGACACCCAGACACACCAAACCTACGCCGTCAAGAGCCTTAACAAGGCCGGACTCAACTCTCGCCAGTGCGCCTTCCAGAACCATGAGGCACAACTCCATGCAAAGGTGTCTGGTCACCCCAACATCGTCACGTTACACAAGGTGGTCGAGGAGAACGACTGTCTGTACATGGTTCTCGACTGCGGGATGGAGGGTGACCTGTTCTATACGATCACCGAACGAGGCGGATTTGTCGGCAACACCATGGCCATCAAGACGATCTTTAGCCAGATCGCCAGTGCAGTGCTCCACTGTCACTCCCGCGGCGTGTACCACCGCGACCTCAAGGTAATTTTTTTTCAGGCACCGCTGACCATCAAACAGCCGCGCGCTTTTTGATCATTTTTAGGAGACGGCAACTCGGTCCCAATTGGCTCCTATCACCCATCACATTCACGTTTGTCCTGTAAACCAACTAACCTTTTGGTTTGTCTCCCTCAAATGCCCCCGCAGCCAGAAAACATCATCATGTTCGGCCGTTCAGTAAAGCTAGTCGACTTTGGTCTCGCCACCACAGAACCCGTCTCGAGTGAGTTCGGTTGCGGGTCCACATTCTATTTGTCACCAGGTAAGAAAAAGTACACAAGAAACGAACAAGTTGAAGATGGAAGTTACAGGAGAAAAAGGAGGGTTAGAAAAGAGAAGGATGTGGCTTGAGCGATTATTATGTTTCCAAGAGGACTAAAAGGGGTGGAAGCCTGTCAAATGAATGAATCAATCAATCAATGGAACGATTGAATGAATGATTGAATGAACGAATGCAATTTAAAAAAAAAAAAAAAAGAGGTGACAAATAGCCTGCAAACCAGGGGACACAAGGGAAACATCAACAACAGCAACAATGCCAACAGAATGCATGGGCACTTTAGTATCAACGTGTCTTGCATTTATTTATTTGTATACTGACCCATCTTTTGTTTATTTTTATTATCATTTTTTTCATTCCTTTTCCTGTCCAAACAAATGGACCTCATCTAGAATGTCAAGGCGGCTTCATCGAATCGGTGAAATCGTATGACAGTGCAGCCAACGACGTCTGGTCATTGGGCATTATCTTGATCAACCTTACCTTTGGCCGGAATCCCTGGAAGCAGGCGTGCCCTCGCGATGAGACGTTTTCGGCGTACGCCCAACACAACGACTTTTTGCAGACTATCCTCCCTATGTCGACAGAACTAAACGAAATCGTCAAAGGCGCGTTCTGTCTCAATCCAAAGAAGCGCATTACCCTTTCAGAACTGGCCCGACGCGTCCAAGCTTGCAGGTTCTTCACTACCCCCGAGTTTCCCTCCGAGGCGTCTGTAGTCTCTGCAGCCACCGCTGCCTCTCAGGCCTCATTTTCGACCACAATGTCAGGAGTCTACCCTACATCGAATTTGCATGGTCCGGATGACAAGGAGGACTCTGGAGTGGACCTCCAGTCAATGGCATGAGTCGCTTACCTCGGCGCGATCCTGCGCTTACTGAGCCAAGCGACTTGTGGGAAGATATCAGCAAGCGGACATGAACGAGAGCTTCTTTTGGGTCCAAGCGAGACGCGCGAACCCCTCCTCCCTCTCTCTTTATTCGTGTTTGAATGCTCTTGTTTCGCCAGGACCCAGACCTAGGCCTATTCGCCCCAACTTTTCCTTGCATATCACGCCATGCTCACCTGCATGTCACTCTTCCCTCTCACCACTTGCCATGATCATCCCACGTTCATATTCCGATGTCTCTTTCAAATCACTCACTACAGACTGAACATCATTTGTATCTATACCTAACGGGCCCCTGCTGAAAAAACTTGTTTCTTTAATCCGCTTTTGCTTTTTTTTTTGTTCTGTGCTCTTTGTTCATTCTTGCCTTGTACCATACCCCCTCTTTTTTTTTTGTTGATCAAAAGAAAAATAAAATACCAAAAACAATTCACATCGTTACAATTGTTTACTTATGTGCAACTTTGCTCTGTGAACGAGTAATGTGTTTGTGCTCACCCCCTCACTCTCGTTGTTACCTCCCCACTAATTGATCCATGACCAACACAACTAAAATGAAGAGAGATAGAGACAGAGAGAGGGAAGAAAAAAAAATGCAAAGAAGGATCTTCGTGTTCATTCAACTGCTACTGGCGCATCAAATCGCTAGTTCAGTTCATTCGTATCAGATGAAATCGGCGTGTTTGAGGTGAACAGGACCCGACGAACCAAATTCGATAGACAATCTAGTACCATGGCATCATAGCCTTCCCCTAGCGTCTTCCTTTTGTCTGTCTGTCAAGCAATCCCTCTATCACTAACAGGTGATCACATTGACGAACGGAAATGACGACAGGGCAGAACAAAGAAAAGGCGATGCAGGACGACAGGGGAGTGGAAGGGACTAAGGAAAGGAGGAAAAGGGTCATATAAGCAAGCGCCGAGATGGCGAACATGTTGAACCTCGCTCTTCAAACCACTCACCTCAATTATTCACCTCACTCACCTGTTTTGCTTTTAACCAAACTTAGTCCAGTTAACCTCAACTGCTGGATAACCAAAGATGCCATTTTTCCTTTCATTATCTCGCAATGCATGCTAAGGACCACAGAACACAGAACAAAAGAAGGTTGATAATTGTCTAGATTTTCATATTTCCTTTTGTGGCTCGTGCAAACAAAGAAAACAGAACAAGAACCAAAAAGGAGATTCATAGAAAGTTAATGGTGCCGTATGGCACCCATGTGATTCGGCCACAAAAACATACGAATGTCAGTACTTGTTATAGTTCATACCACTCATGGACTCAATTATACATCGGCCTCTCAAAAATAACGCACTAAGGATTTACAATAGCAGTATCAATTCATTCGACGATAGAAGCCGTGCGGGAGCTAAGAGATTTCATACCAGCACCTTGGACCAGTGATGTTACAGTAGCTTTTGAGTTGCGATTCGACTATGTTCAATCGTATTCAAAGGGGGCTGACAGCCCTCCCGAAAGACCGAAAGACCGAAAGATAAGACATATCGCACTATATATTTTCTTAAGAAGAGCGTGCACGATAAAAGCGGCAGTCGACAACAGGTGGAAAGAAAATGAATGAGGGATGGACCTCACGTAGCGAGGGTCTGGGACCACTCAACCTCTTTGCCGTTTCCAACATTTTTTTTATGGCGAAAGGTTTACACGGCGCTGTTAACACGACATGCCTCTCACACACTCTTTCAACATTTGCATTCATCAATGCCCAAATGAGGAATTGGAACACCGTGTTACAGCGACGAGGTTGAGTGGTCCCAGACGGCCCTCATTGTGGGGGCATCCTCCTCATCTTCCACACTGATGTTACGTTTTTGCCCTTCTTTCTTTCTTATGCATACATCTATCTAAGGCTGAACTCTCGTGGCCATGTGACAGATAAAGAGAAGAGATACGGGCCATGCGTTTCATTTCTCATACAGGTGGAAGCACATCGCATCAAGGAAAAAGAAAGAACGCGCACTCGGAGCTTTTTAATAGAGAGCAATTGAATAATAACGAACCGCCAGCCCCAGCAACAGTTTTCTTTTTACAGTGACCCCAAAAAATATCATATAAGGAATGAGTACGATTGAACAGCTTCGATTTGTAAGTCAAAAAACTACTGTATAAAAATAAGGCCAAGGTGCTGGCACTATAATCTCGCACGGCTGCCATGGCCGATTGAATTGGTTTTGGCATTGTAAATCCTTAAAACGATAATTTTTGCACAAGGCAGAGAGAGAGAAAAAGGGAATGGAGCCCAAAACGGCAAAAACAATATCAAACAGCCGACCCTCGGCTGCATTGTGTTTCGCTTTATGTTTGCTGTTGTGTGTGGGGGGAGTTCGTTTCATGAGAGAGTGTGTGAAGTAAAAGGGTCTCAGAACGAAATGATAAAGATGGATCCATAAAGCGAAAGAGCGCGAGAGAGACAAGAGAGTGAGTGGAACGAGAAGGAGAATAAGGCAGGGGGGTTTTTTTTCGTTGTTGATTTCTAAGATGCGAGTTGTGAGTAAAGTTCTCTCTTTTGCTGTTCTCTACTGCCTTCTCTCTTGCCCTCCTTCACAAAACCAAGATGTACAAAAAAACACACATCTAAGGACAAAGCCCAGCGGGATACTTTTCGTGATGGGCTTGGTTGGCTTGATTGTCAAATAACCAAGGCCGCGTTTTCACTTGTCAAAATATTTTGGGCACCAGCATCAACAGTAAGACGGATCTTCAACAGCAACGAAGAAAAGCTTATGGGAGATAACGACAAAGACATTCATGCATGTTCGCCATTTCTCCCGGTAGAAAAGATGTGAACGAACGGGTGAACACAAAGGTGATAAAGAAAGGGTTCTGTCGCTTTCCTTTTTTGTTTTGTCCAGTTCCTGAGAAGTGATGAGACCAACAAGAATGAAACTGAAACCGACCCATTGGTCATCAATTGATCAAACAGTGTGGATGTTTTGATTCTTGACGCGTCTGTGATTGTGGCATGTCGCAACAGTAACAAGGGTGAACACTAATCGTCAGCAGTAGTAGCAGAGGCATAGTTGATCTTCGCATTGAAGAAACATCATACTTTTTCTTGTTTAAAATAAGACAGCAAGGATAACAGTAACCGCACCCGTCTGACGAGTACACTGGAAAAGGGAAAGTCTGGGAGCTATTTTCCTACTTCCTTCTTCCTCCTCCTCTTTCCCGTTTTCCTTCTTTCCTTCTGTGCTCCCTTGTTTCCTGTCTTCCCTGCTTCTCTCTTATGTCTCTCCCCCTGCATGTCGCCTTTTGTTATTTTTCGCTCTAGTGGTGCAAACATTTGCCATCCAACAGCTTTGATTTGGGTTCGTCACAACTTATCTGGCTACCCTTTTCCTTTCGTCCTTTTTTTGCTGACCGTGCCTCGTTTTGTGTCCACATCGTGTATCCCCTATTTCCAAACAATGCAGCCAGGCGGTTTGACACAACACTTCCCTTTTCTCTCTCTTTTCTGATTCTTATTCTCTTGCGAGCCTTGTTGCCTCTTGCCTCGATTGACCATAATTTTTGGACTGCAGATTAAGCAACGACGAAGGGCGAAGAGAGGATAATGTTTTTGGGTTGGCATGTCATTTTGCAAATAGCATAATTTTCTTCCATTCTTTCATATTTCCTATGGCTTTTACCTGCGCGACCCTCCTGCTCCGATGGGAGCCAGGAAAAATATTGATATATTGATTTCTTTATTCGATAACTCTCCCCTCTTCCTTCCTTCTCTCCCTCCTCTTCGTGTTTGTTTGTTTTTTTATTCTGAGCAGAGGAGTTGATTAGATAGTCAGCTCACCATCTATTTTTTTTTCTTTGCTGTTTTTGTCCCAATTTCCGTACGCTCGGGGCGTCCAATCTAGTCTTTGTGTGCTTACGACATATGTTTTTTTCGTATTTTGAGAGAAACAGGGGAGAAAGAGATGAAGAGAAAGAGGGTTTCGAGCAGGCGGACGGGCGACGGGAGGGTGGAGGATGAAAAGTGAGAAAGTGAGGGCCTTAGGCTGTCCCCTTCTTTTTTTTTTTTTTTTTTGGGTGAGAGGTAAGTAAGGTTTCGGCGACTTTTTTTTCTCAATGCTAATCACATCATATGAGACTGCCCATTGTTTTGTTTCTTAATGCTCACACCGCGTCGAAAAGATAGATGGGGAAGATAGAGTAAGAGGCAGAGATAGAAAGAGAGGAGTAGAGGAAGGAGGAAATGGGTCGGATACTATTGGGTTCTACCGTCGTCCAAAATGAAAACAAAACAAACAAATAAAACAAAACGAAACTCTCGGAGAAAAACGAAAGGAAGAAGGTATCAAGGTACAGTACTCAATACTCGACGCGATTTTTTGGGGGCGTGGGTGAGGCTGTCACTTTCGATGATCAGCCAACTCTATTGTTCAGTGTATTCTAGAAAGGGGAAAAAAAATGCAGGGTAGGAGGGGGAGGGTGAAAAAACTAGGAGGATGAGTGGAGGCTCTTGAACTCCATTCGGATTTCTTCCACCTTGTCCTCATCGCGACTGTGGTGCCGACTATGCTGTTCCGGTTGCTGCTTTTGCTGTTGCTGGTACATGCCATGGAAATGCAATGACCTCCGCTCGGGCTCAGCCTGGCCTTGCTCATCCTGCTCTTTCTCCTGTCCACGGTCATAAGGGGTTTCATTATCGTGTCGACGCGAAAATTGTTGCTGTTGTTGATGGTGTTGATTTGGGAGGTGAATCGTCGATCCGTGCATTTCCCTACACTCGGCCTGTTCTTGTTCCTCAACGTCGCTGTCTGCCTCCATATCCTCATCAAACTCTACCCGAACTCTGCTTGGCCAAGCATTGTTGTTGTTGTTGTCTTTGTTGTTGTTGTCAGGGGTAGGGGAGGGCCGTGACTGAAAGTAGTCTGAACGGCTAGTGCTGCTGCTCCCGCTATTGTTGTTGTTGTCCAGCAATTGATCTGCAGCCACAGGTCCTTCTCTCCTTCTCATCCTCCCGTTAACCCTACAGTCCTCACTATCACCCCTTCTTTCATCATATTCCTCCTCATCCTCATTTTCCACGTCTCCTTGTCTTGTTTCATCTCTGCTGCTGCTGGCCATTATCAAATCCTCCTCCTTGTCCTCGTAATGGCGCATAGAGTTCCTGGACGAGAAATCATCCAATGCTGGTGACATTGCAGCTCTTGGAGGTCTCGAATCCCTCACTCGATGAATATGCCCAGCGCCATTTTCCTTATCCTCCCCATCGTCCATGACCATCATCATCGTCTCGCCGTCTTCATCCTCGTTGGCCGAGAGCTCCATGTCCTCTGACGAGGCTGTCGAATTCGATAGAATAGACTCTGGTCCTGCTGCAGCAACTTCTGCATCTGCTCCACCATCCCCTCCTCCTACTACTTTCAGGCGACGCGCTCCTCCAGCTCCATTCTTTAGCACATACTGCTTCCCAGAGGCTGACCTCAGCACCTTCAATGACGAGGGCAGAGGCGGGACGGGTGGAATGGGCGGCATGAACTGTGGTCGCGACGGGAGGGAGGGCGGACTAACCATTCCGTAGCTGTTTCCGCGTTTCAGATGACTGCTGCTAGGCGGTGAGGTGGCCTGTTGAGAGTGTGAAGAGGACGAGGAGGAAGAAGGGCGGCGCTGACCTAAGCTTGGACTGCTGGCCATCCTGCGGGCCCGAACTCTAGTGGTAGAAGAATTGGCTAATCCCCCTCCTCCGGACGAGAGGGGAGGATACCTCAGACTAGGACTCAAGTCGCTGCCCTCTACTACTGACCCTTCTCTAACAGGGAAAGGCATAGCAGGAGGGGAGGGCAAGAAAGTTGTAGGAGGAGGGCTACCGATTCGACTCATGAGACTCTCAATGAGGTAGCCTTCCTTGGGACTGGATCCGTAGATGGGCGATCGTGAAGGCGATCGATGTTTCCGGATGGCGCCATTGCTGCTACCGAATCGACTTGATCGCGAGATGTTGTGGCTGTTATGGTTGTCAAGGGAAGGGGAGAGTTCCTCGCTCTTCATGCTCGCATTGGTGGTGGTGCGGTGTTGTGAGAACGAGCTCATGGTAATGGTTGATGGAGTTGAGGCCATGCGCTTCAGAGTTCCACCGCCGACAAATGTCATTGGGGGAGAGGACGATAGCCCTATCCGATCCGTCACTCTAAACTCTGGGAGGTCAGGCAGCTCATCCATCGACAACCGTTGGCTCGCCTATTTCGACGACGAAAAGAGTGATACGTGTTCGTATTAGTTGGATTATCTCTGTGCAGCATATAGAAAAAGTGGCGCGACAATAAAAGACCTAGCAACGCCAAACTTACAACAAGACCGGCCCAATCCATGTACATCTTGATAGTGAGCTCCAGATGAAAGTCCTCCGATATCTCAACACACCCCCAAGGATGTCTCGTGCACTGGTTGCCATACTTGGTCTGTAATGTCTGCGCAACCTCGGCAACCTCCGAGAAATGTACCGTCTGCTTGCCGGGGACAATTGGTGAGGAAGGCATAGCGGCTGCAGCAGCCGCAGCAGTGGCAGCCGAAGCAATGACTGCAGCGACAGTCGAGATGGGGGACGAGACCACGCCATTGGTTCGCTTGTGGCGTGGAGTGGAAGGAATGGGACCTCCGGTTGCGTTGCGACTGGCGGGAGAGTTGGAACCTATGGAAGCAGCGGATCCAAGAGGAGAGACCCGGTTTTGAAATGCTGAGGATGATGATGCGGTGTCCGGACTCCCGACGGGGAAGAAAAGACTGCCGCCATTGGGGTCATTTTCACGCGCCCTGGGCGACAGTGTTGCGGACTGGTCATCTCTCTGTCTATGGTCGCTGGGTCGTGGATATGGATGTACTGAGACCTAGCAACACAGAAACAAAAGTCAGAGAGAATGTTACATCACTGGTCCATGAGAGAGATGTGCCGTCCATCTGGAGAGATGTGTCGATAGAAAAGCAAACAAAAGGATACTTACAGCAGACGCTCTGGATTGGTTTCTCAGAGTGCCTGTGGATGCAAAGCGCTTCAAGGCGGCGCGCTCGGAGGGTTCTTCATCCATATACTCCGGTTGGTAGTTATCCTGGTCCTCATGGCTCTGATTCCTTGCAGGCGCCTCAAAATCCTCGTCCATCTCGTCCCCAGGGCTAGTTGGAGATGTCAGATGTCCTGTAAAGAAGGCACAAGTGTAAGCGAAAGCAGTGTCAGTTATAATATCAGGAAACCTGTTCTTGCTCCTTTGCTTCCGACACTCAGAACCACCAACTAACCTGTCCTTTCTACTTTTGAGTCCTGATGCCTGGGGGTGCTTGTCGATAATGGTGTGCCGATTTGAATCTCGGAACTGGACATGGGTGAACTCTGCTGGCTTTTGGCGATGACGGGCGAAAACTGCTGTCCTTGGTTACGCAACGACTGATGAGATTCTCCTTTCCCGTGTCCTGATGGCAGCTGGATCGGTGCCGAATGATATGAGGCAGCCTTGGTGGTTGGTGAAGAGTAGATTTGCGTCCGTTGGACACCGTTCGAATGGTTCTGCTTCATCTGCACTGGCGGCCTCTCCTCGTAGTTGTATCCACTTGATGACCTGAGAGTCTCGGATGATCCATAGGATCCTGGGAAAGGCTGCGAAGGCGGCTGGATCTTTGGCTGTGAGATTGAGAGGCCAGTGATCTTCGCTGTCGTGTCGATGGGTGTTGGTGGCGGGGCATGGTAGTGACTGATTTGAGGCGGAGGGAGGATCGTGTTGTCACCGATTACTTGACGCTCACGCTGCCGATCTTGTACTTGGCCATAGGCTGTTGCCGCTCTGTCAGTCCGGCTGTTGCCGTTGATTGCTCCATTATTATTGATATTGTTGCTGCCACCGTGAACGATCGTGACCGGATGAAGGGTCAGCTCCTTGAGCAGAGCAACGACCTGGTCATCGTATCTGATATCGTCCCAAGGGAATCCAAGATTTTCCTGATGCTTCTTGAGTCCGTTGACATACCAGTGGAGGTTGCTGGACTTGATACGTTTGGATTGATGGCGAAGATATTTCAAAATCGCCTCCTTGGAGATCGGGTATAAACTACCATCCGGGTTTAACAGATCCAGCTCCTCTGCAATTTTGGAATACGTCCGCCACGCTGTCGCATAGGGGTCCTTCTTCTTGACATTGTTGGGAGGCGCTACAGGACCTGCTGGCGGTCGGGGTTTGGAACCCATGGGATCGGGCATGCTATTACCGAGAGGTGCTGACCGATAACCCGCTGGCACGAGATGGCCTGCAGAGATACTGTGGTGGAGACGGTGGCCTCCTTGAGGGTGCATTGGTGTCGGTGGGGAGGGAGCATGTGAATATTGTGAGTGTTGATTCGTGCCAGAAAAGGACCGAGAGTGTGGCCTTTGCGTAAAGGATGGGTCGGAGGGTTGAATGGCTGGTATGGCATAATGATGTGTTGGGGTAGTGTGAGGATGGTCCTCGATGCTCTTGGCTAGAGCCGAATGTTGGCGTACTGCTGCTGCCGCTGTTTGGATAGAATGGTGTGGTTGTGGGGGGTATGGTTGCTGCTGGCGATGTTGTTGTTGCTGTTGCTGTAGTTGCTGTTGGTGAGACTGGTGTTGATGTTGCTGATGCTGTACATGATGCTGATGATGCTGCTGCTGCTGCTGTTGCTGTTGCTGCTGCTGCTGCTGCTGCTCTGCATAGCTGTGTTGGCGCCTGCGAGGGCCGGAGTGAGAGTGGGGATCTCGATAGGCGGGGTTCTGCTTTGCGCTCAGAGCATGGCCCTGGTGTTGATCCACGGGGGACCGGTCTTCGCTCTGGTGGTGATACCGCTCGTCCCGATAGTAGGCAGTATGGTTGGATTGAATCATGCTTGATCAGCTTAAGAGCGAGTGGTGGGCTTAGTAGTGGATAGTGACGGGGAGGGGAGTGTGAGGCACAATGGGAGGTGCAGGCTGTACAAAGGAGAGACGTAGCGATGGAGTAAAGATCGGGTGAGAATACAAAGAACGAAGGAAGTGGAGTAGGGAGGAGAGGTGGGACGAGAGTGAAGGAGAAAAAAAAAAGTTGAGAGCGAAAGAAATGAAAGAGAGGACAATTAGTACCCCAGGACAATTAACAGTAATAAAGAGAAATGACAGACGTTAATGATGTTGTTGGGCCTTTGGAATAACAAGATTGGATCGAGACCGTTTTCCTCAGCCCCTTTTTTATCTCACTCCTTCAGTCGGTTGACGTTTGAAAATGGTACAAATGCACAGGTAGTCATCAGTTTTCTGTATGAGTGTATGTACCTGTGGATGTAAAGATGATGTACAAGGAAAAGTGCACAACGAAAAAAAGGACCACTCTTTTTCCCTTTTAGCCTTGAAAGGAGATGATGGTGGTGGCGAATGAAAGGAGCTGGTACTTGGCAGTCGAGCAACGTGGATAGCCTGGAACGACAAAAAGAGTGAGCAAAAGAAGAGAGATGGATTGGGCAAGTGTAAGTGAGAGCGAGTGAGTGAGTGAATGACGGGTGGACGAATGCACACAGCGGAGAAGTGTGGATGGACAACACATGATTGCATTAGAAAAGAAGGACCGGGGACCCAACCAAAAGAGAGGAAAAGCAAAGAAAGAAAAAGAAACGATGAGATGCTCGAGATGGGCGAAACAGAGAGGGATCACATCTCTCTGTGTCATATCACCTGTGATAGAGTAGAGACAGGCACAAGTCTATCCGTCTCGTAATTTAAATTATCACTATCGAATGAAAATTGAGTGATCTGAGAACCCCATCACCAGCCAACTAAGTGATACCCCTGGATGGGGACGCGTCCGTCAGTTATATACTCCACTTTAGCTCAAATACAATAAACAGACCTCCTGGTCAATTAACCATTGACGCCCCCCCTGGTTTCTTCTTTTCTCTCTTTCTTTCATTCTCTCTTTCCTCCCAGTCCCAGGGCATGGTACAAAATAAAAGAGCCACGGAGGCAAATAAAAGCCGCTATCTCGTCTCTGGATTGCACAAATCACAATTTTCGTATCTTTTTCCTCAGAGCAACGAGCACCAATTGAAAATGAAGAAAGACGATACAAGGAAAACGAACCACGCAATTGCAATGCCCAGAACCAAAAAAAAAAAAAAAAAAAAAAAAAAATGGGGGGTGGAGGGAGTACAGGGGACAATGGAGGGGAGAAGGATGGAAGAAGGAGGGAGGATCAAAATTCGAATAAATGCAAATGAACGATGCATTGTAGACGATTTCCTTTTCATCTTTTCGGCCGTTGTATTCAGGGCAAGGTTAATTGTTTCAAGATGTTTTCCAACAGTCAGTGCATTCATCAAAGCTCCTTGGGGTCATTGTACGTTTCGCCAGAGAACAATCGAGAAATGGGGTAGGGGAGTGGCAAAAAAAAAAAAAAAAAAAAAGGTGGCGAAAGAGCAGCAGACGACGTCAGATGTTTGGTGGGAAGGGTAACAAGGGCTGAACTGATAACCCCTAATAATGCGGAGGTGGGCTTTGTTGGGTACGAGCAAAACTTTTAGTCTTGCGTTTCTTTTTTTTATCTACTCCACGCCACACTGGGCACCAAGTCTTCTCTGCATAGAGTTTCATCTCCAGCGGCGAGCATTTGGACAAGTGAGGGAAGGCCACTGACAAACCAGACCATTGCCCGAATCACCCACGAGCGGAGGGAGAAAAAAAAGTGACTGAAAGGCGGGCTCTTCGTCCGTCAAAGAGGAAGAATCTATCTCTCTCTGCCTTTTACCTGGAAGGGGGAGAGAACCTTGCTTGTTCCTTCTTTTGCGCTGTCCAACGGCGGTTGGTCGCTTTTATAAAGTGTTGGCGTATCGTAAATAATGGGGTGTTATGAGAGTGAGTGCAAGGGGATGTTGGGTAGAGATAGGAGTAGAGGTGGGTGGAGAGGTGGGTAGAGAGAGGTGATGGTAGTGGCGAAGGTAGGTCGGGTCGCCAATAAAGTTAATATGGGTTCAGGGACGATGTCGTCCTGTCAGAGCGCTGAAGAAGATGATTGATGGTGGTGCTTGCGAGAAAGGGGAATGTGAGAGTTGTGTGAGGTTCCGGATAAATGTCAAAGTGAGAGAGATTAGAGGACGAGGGATGTGATTAGAGAGTGGGAATGGTCAGAAGAGGTAAAGAAAGAAGATGGTGAGAAGGGGTATAGGTAAAGGAAAGAAAGGCAAAAAGAGAAAAAAAGAAGAAGAAAGGGAAAAAGAGATAATTAAGATGCAGAAGAGATGCAGAGAAAAGGGTACACCAAATGAGAAACTGACAACAACTGCAATCACCATTGGGCAGACGAGAGCGTTCTCTTCTTTCTTGAGCTTGCTTGCCCCCTGCGGATATCCGGGTACAACGAACAGCCTAAAAGTTTTTTTCTTATTCATCCTTGTTGTCGAATAAACAAACGATAACAAGGGGTTTTCGTCCATGGTTACAGACAATCGATTGTATTTTTGTTGTTCATTGCTGATGTTGTCCTTGCGTCTCCTTCCCTCTCGCACACATATTTGCGCTCTCTGGTTGGAGAAGAGCGGACAGAAGGCCAAGGTGGCACAAGAAATGACATTTTTTGGGATGGACTGTGGACGACCGATCAAATGCACATCCTACACCAAAACAAAAAAAAACAACAACAATAAGATGGAATACACTACTCGAATTGGATACCAATCCGCTTACAGAAAACTTTATAGATTAGCATGAACCCAGGAAAAAGATAGGTCAAGAATTCCAACCATAAGTGATGGAGTGAAGGTAGAAAGTGTTGACCGGTTTTATTGTTGTCCATGCGTGACTTTAAACCATCGGTCTCTCCTCATCTCATTATTGCTGCGATACTGACTGAACTATCCCCTTCCCCGAGGGAGTTTTTGTTGGAGATGTTTATCGAGATGTATGATAACCATAGCAGCATACAAGACACAAACAAATAAGCGCTAAACGATCTCAACGATTGTCTTTCAGCATTGACAACACCCATCGAGTACTTTCTTATTGGCGTTTTCATCGTTCCTTGATTTGGGACGAGTTCGATATACTTGCCGTTTGCCATGTCCGTCCTTCTATCCCACTCTCGCTGCCCTTGGTTAATCCTCATTTGGCTGGCTATGGGCGTTTTTTTTTCTTGCACTTTTCTAAACCTTGTTCAAAGACAAACACAAACACAGAGGAAGAGCGGCAAAAACAAAAGAGAGGGAGAAAAACAATGAGGCTTGAAGGGCTTGTTGGGTAGCACAGCAAGAGCAATTTGTAAAGAGAAATGAGAGGAGGACGATAAGCAACCATGGCCTGATGTCTGAGCCCCACACTACCTTTTTTTTTGTTCTTTACTCATTCACTTTTCATTAGCACTCTCACCCAATTCAAACCCTTCCTTTACTCTTTGCACTCTTACTCTGTTTGAAAGTCGAGAGCACATTGGAACCCATTTGTATTTTATTCTTTTCTTTAACACCTTTCCTCCTTTGCACATATCCGTGTTTGTTCTTCTGTAGCGCCCACTTGTTCTATGCGATTATCCTCCTCTTCTCTCACAGACTCACAGACACCCTCGCTCTTGCTTCGGATGTGATGCATCCAAGCATCAAAAAAAAAGACTGGTTTGTTTATGTTCTAGACCGAGAATAGCCTCTGCTTCCCTTCTTCTTTTCCTCTTTGCATTTTAGGGAAAGAGTATCCAAGATCTTGTACATTCCCTTTCCTCATTCATTCTTTTTTGATCGCATATGCAAGAGCATCCAGCCTGGTTACAAAAAAAACACACAGATGCACGCAAAGCACGTATATGAAGCAAACGATACATCTCGCAGGGCGGTGAGAAGAAAAGGGACGGAGTGAAAGGGATAAACTATTGGTCATTTCCCGAGTTCCCCAAGAGGTGGAGTAGCAATGCAGTTTGTGTTCTTTTGTTGGCGTTACTCAATGAGGATGCTGTAGTTGGTGATGCATATCTCTGTTGTTCTTGGTGACAAGTAGATAATTAGCCTTCCCTTCGTTTACTCAAGAAAATAAAGAGGATAGAGGAAGTTGATTCTCCTTTGGCACAGAGCGCCCAAAACGCAAACAGGTTCCAACCAACGGAAACAGAAGTGAATATCAGGGGCAAGGACACATGCAGAATTTTACTCAAGTAAAAATGCACCTGCACCAACCGTTTGTTTTCTGAAATTGATACTTCGACCGCCCTGCCACCTAATTTTTTTTTGTTTTCTCCAATGGCTCCCAACTCTTCTTTTGTTCCTGTATCTTATTTCTCGCTGACTGTAGCTCAAGGTGTTTTGAAGTCGGTGGTTTTGTGCCAAGGAAAAGGAAACAACGAAGCAACATATATTCTTGGTAAGAATTGGCGTGTGGGATGTGTTCGTAAGCATACTCTCTTACAAACCAACATCTCCGCCGCCGCGCCGCACATGTGGGGTCCGCGCCCTATAGTCAAGGCTCTCCTTCTCTCCCTTTCTCTCCCACACGCGTTTATTCTGTGCTTCTTTATTCTTTATGGATTCGATTGCTTCTTCTTCCACAAACCCGCTTTAGCGGAGTACATAAGAATACCAAGAACAAAGGAGAGGAAAGAGGAGACTGAGCACCAAAAAAAAAATAGTATTGGTACTGTTCTTGTTCATGCATGGCCCATCCCGTTTACGCCCGTTTTCGTTGTCCAATTAACCATAGTTTCTTCCTTTCTTTCCTCCCTCTCGAGAAAGGTTTGTTTGTAAAGAGAAATGGACTCGATTTCCTTTTTGTCTTTCGTTCCTTTTCTCTCTTTCTTCGTGATCGTGCTTTGTAAGTGGGTTTATGCCTCGCGCATGGTTGTTTGTTGTCGCTGCTACTTTCTTGATGTTGAGCGCATACAAATCGTGTTTTAACGATGTGGACTAAACCAAGGAACCCGGATGAAAAAGAAGAGACAATCAAACAACAACAACAACAACAACAACAAGGTGCAGGCTCTACTTTAAAGTGTATATGTGTAGCGCTACAAAAAGTGCACAATGGCCAAACAAAAAACAAAAAACAAAGGTACAACCAACAACAACAAAGGTACAACTCCGTCCAACCGCCGCCGTGTGAGTTTGTGGAGCAAAAGGAATGAACCCATCCATGCCGAAAGCTCTTTTTCCGCTCCCTTTGTTCCTCCTTCCTTCTTCACCGCCCCTCCCTTCTCTTTTTCCACCTTTTTTGCTCCCACCTTCTATCGTCCATCGTCTGCTCTCTCATTCTCTCTCCATCTGTTTATTCTTGCTTAGTGATGATGGTGTCACCAAAGAGGCTTTTATTTGTGGAGTGGGCGGGCAACGAACTCAATGCAACAAGAAAACCCATTGACTACAGTACTTCCTTCGTTTCTTCCACATGCTGGTTCTTTGGCTCGTTCACCGAGCCATTTTGGACATGTGTACAACTCTATTCCGCGCGCACACACACACACACACACACACACACACACACAACACACACACGCACTTACAGAAGCGGTGCATCCCATACCCCATATACATTCATATTCGTATCCATACATTAGGGTACATGTAAAAACACACGCGACTGTCTTGTTCACTCTGAACAACAGCAAGTCAAAACAGTGGAGTAAATTCACTATTGTATTCCCCCCTAACTTCCCATCCCTCCCCCCGCATTTCACATGCAAAGTCCCTCTTTCTTACTGAGAGCAGAACAAACCGACGTAGACAAGAATGGTTTCTGCCCTGCCTCAAAACATCATACGATACTTTTTTTGTTTGTCTTCCTCTTTCTGTTCTCTGAATTGTTACTACTGTATTCGAAAAGCCAAAGCGCATGTGGAATGAAGAGTGAACAAAGTTGCGTCCGGATGTTTTATGACAGAGGTGAATTAGAGGCACATATAAACAAACAAACCGCGCACGCACTTTTCTTTGTCCTCCCACTCCTCCCTCTCGCTTGCAAAAACCGCAAACCATGTACCTGAAATTTCAAGCCCCCCGTCAAACCGTTTGTCATCTTTAAAACAAATATCAACACACAGGCCAACTCTCCTTCCATAGAACATCAAACCTCTCTTGCCAACCAACCTTCGCTAATTAACACGCGCGATGAGCAATGATGTTTCCTAGACGAGAAGAACTGCAAAACCCAAAAGAGAAACTTTCTTCACAATAAATGAACGTGTGAATTACAACAAGGAGTTTCTTTTATTCAAAAAACATCTTTTTAAAGGAGGCGAAAGAGGAGTGGGGGTCGAAATGGCGATCAAATCAAAATTTACTTGGAGCCGAGGGAAGGGAAGAGCTCGGTGTCGTCAACGTTAACGGAGGCACCACGGGGAGCACGGGGGGCACGGGGAGCCTGGGTGTTACCACCACGGGCACCGCGGGTAGCACCACCACGGCCACCACGGAAAGCACCGCGGGGGGCGGGCTGCTCACGGGCGGGCTCGGTGTAGCGGACCTCAATCTCCTTGATCACGACCTTGGTCTCCTTCTTACCCTTGCGGGCCTTGGCAACAGAGTCGGCCTTCATCTTGATGAAATCACCAGTCTCCTCAACCTCGAGGACCTGGGCGTTCTTCCACTGGGAGTTGTCCGATCCAGCGTTGGCGGCACGGGTCTCGGGGAGGGCAAGCTTGAGGGCCTTGGCGGCCTTCTCGGCCAGGAAGTCGTCAAAGGTCTTGACAACAGGCTCAGGCTCGACGGGCTCAGCGGCGACGACGGGGGCCTCAGCGCTCCTATTAGGGTTGTTATTTTGGGTCCAGAAATTGAGGAGACACGCGAAATGGTTAGTGCATTGCTGCATTTTTCTCCTGCAATAATCCTTAGATTAGCATGCCCCTGGTAGAGCTGTAGAACCACCACCAAATATCCAACTTCACTTACACCTGAGCGTCCTTCTCACCCTCGAGGGAGGAAGCAGCGGGCTCACCGAGACGGTTGTTCTCCTTCTTCTCGGAGTCAACAATGCCGGTGCCGGAGTGGCGGTCGAAACCACCGTGGCGACCACCGCGGGAAGCGCGGGGGGCACGGGGGGCACGGGGAGCAGCACCGTCACGGGGAGTGCGGTCGAAACGGGGGCCACGGGGAGCTGTATGCAAGCAAGTGATTGAAAGAAAAATGGGTCGGTCAGAGGACTGGTGTTTCCAATATGCTTTTTGTGTAAGACTGAAAAATGAGGGGGGAAAGGAGATCCAATTAACGGTTCCTGAAGATAGTAGTGTCGATAAAGAGAGCTTTCGTTCCTGTGGATTGAAAAGTGTGCCGAGTAGTCCAGAGAGTGCTGCAGCCAAGGTTGAATGGTGATGTTGGCTTGTTGATCTGCTATGTCGTCGGCTGTCTGCTGAAGATCGAGGATTATAATACTGAAAGGGCTCATGTACTGGCTCAAGGTCGTTGCTTCAATTGCTGTCGCTAGATATACAGCAGTCGCACTGCCTTGCCAGAGAGTCGTGTTGTTTGTTGTCCTTTCTGTTGGCGGAGAAACAAATCCAGCACAACTCTAGGGAGTGTGTGATCTGTCCCGAGCCAAGAAAAAAAAGTGATTGGTTGAATCAGGAAGGTCGAGTCTGATCCTTTTCCTTGGAATGAACACTTGTTGAGACAAGCTTCATCCGAGGAAAAAGGGTGTCGATCCAGATCTGGCGGAGTGGGATCAAAGGTTCATCCTGCTCCTGTTTGAAACTTCAAGGAGGACAAACGCAAGGCGCTCGTTGCTGTCTTGCCGCCTGTCCCCGTCGGAGAATGGGTATCGGTCGTAAGCTTGCACCTTGTTGTATTGTCCTTTGACGTCCTTGTCTCCTGTCAGAAGGTTCTTCCTCCTTCCTCCTGGCTCGTCTCAACTCAGACTCCCTCTCGGCTCGTCTTGAAAGAAAAAAAAAGCACAAAAAGATAAAAAAAGGTCCAGGGAGTCGGGTCTGGGTGCTTACCACGGTCATCACCGTCTCTGGGCTTGCCACCGCGGGCACCATCCTTGCGGGGGGCCTTCTCAGCGGTCTTGGTGGCAGCAGCAGCGGGCTTGGCCGCAGCGGGCTTCACATCCTTCTTGACAACAGGGATCTGGATCTCCTGATCCTGAGCGTCGTCGTTGAGAAGGTCAAAGATATTTGTAGACGCCATTGCCTGTGTAGTCGGTAAGTCGAGAGAAGGAGGGTGGATCGAGATGTTAATTCATGATTGCTGCTTTGCTTTTTCGTTTGGTTGGAGTTTTTGATGTCTTGCTGATCTGTCGGTCGTTTCTTGTCAGAGTCGAAACAATCGATCCTCCTGCTGGCCTGTCGAAAAAATAAACAAAGGGGATATAGAAAAATGCCTTTTGCTCCAGCAGGCCTGCCCAGCTTCCACCCTCTCACGGCCAATGGACGATCTCGTAGGGACAAGTGTCGATAATGGTGCGAGGATGGTACTGGAGCATGGGCGGGTTGATGATGGATGTGCCGGCGCCCGTCAATGGATGTATGGTTGTTGCAATGGATATCTTGGATGTTTGTTGATAAAAGAAGGTATTTGGATGGTGTTGTATGCGCTCTGATTGGCTGGCGGTCCGTTGGCAGGCTGCGATTGAATAGACAGCCGCTATTCAGTCCTGGTTGTAAAACATTATGCCTTCGCACCTGTATTAAAAATTCGAGAGAGAGCACACAAACCGACTATGCCCCCTCAAAAGAAATAGCCTCTCCTTTGCCGTGACTGCTCTTTAGACTTACGATTGATCACCTCAGGTCTAGTAGATCAGCGAACGGAGGCTGGCTTTCAACCACAATGGGTGAAAAGAACAGCACAATAAATAGGCTTTTTTTGTCATGAGAATCGTAAAGGGAAGGCTTTTATTCTAGGATAGATGATGAAAGGGAGGCGTGGTTGGTCGAGGCATGCAAAAAAAAATGAAAAAGAAAAGGAACTAAAAAATACAAAAAGGGCGCATGCGGCTAATGCTGCTATCCCTTTTAATGGTCAGCAAGACGAATCAAGCTGACATAACTGGGGTTCCACATAGACTCCTCAATAACAGTCTTCAAGTTCGAGCCTGGGGTCAAGTTGGCGCGGGCAAGGCCCTGCTCATAGGCAACCTCGCAGACCTTGGCGGCGACCTCCTTCGAGACCTCACGAAGCTGACCCACACCGGGGAAGAGGACCCCGCTCTTGAGCTGCTCCTCCGAGGCCATGTTGGCAATAGTAATAGCAGTCTCCATAAACATTTTTCCAGTGACACGCGAAGAACGCGAGACGGTGATACCGAGACCGAGACCAGGGAAGGACATGGCGTTGTTGATCTGGTTGACCTTGCACGTCTTGCCCTTGTACTCGACATCCTTGAAGGGAGATCCACTGGCAAAGATGGCACGTCCGTCAGTCCACTCAAAGGCCTGCTCAGCAGTGCACTCAGACTGGTGGGTGGGGTTGGAAAGGGGGAAGACAACGGGCTTTTCAACACCGTCAGCCATGGCGCGGACAGCACCCTCGGTGAAGACACCAGGGGCACCAGAGAGACCCAACATGACGGTAGGCTTGATGGCCTTAACAACCTCCTCGAGGCTCATGCGATCCTTCATGTCCTTCTTGATGTAGCAGAGCTGGCGCTCATCCAAGCTGGCGCGATCGCCCAAACCAATGGGTGCGGGGGCTGTTCCATCAGTGGCTCCGAGCTGGGAGTTTCCAATGAGCCCGTGTTGGTCCAACATCCAGATTTTGCTGTAAGCCTCCTCGCGGGACTTGACCTTGCCCTGCTCGACCATACAGTCAATGATACCTTCGCAGACACCAACACCGGCACTGCCAGCTCCGACGCAAATGATGCGCTCCTCGTTCAAGTTGTCGATCGACTTTCCACGGGCCTTCAAGGCGGCGAGAACACCAGCCAAAGCGACGGCAGAGGTCGATTGGATATCATCGTTGAAACAGCAGATCTTGTCCTGGTACTTGTGGAGAAGATTGTAGGCGTGGGGGTATTTGAAGTCCTCGAACTGGATCAAGGCGTCTGTAGTAGAGATGAGGAGAAGGGTTCAGTTAGTGTCACGACGGTCTTGAGCGTGACTATCAATCGTGCAAGATGAAAGATGAAATTGTAGCACTTACTTGGATATCTGTTCTGGATGGCGTGGACCCACTCATCGACGAAGGAGTAGTACTCATCGCCTTCCAAGCGGCGGTGACCCATTCCGAGGTAGAGGGGATCGTCCAAGAGGGACTCGTTGTTTGTGCCAACATCGAGAACGACAGGCAAGATGGATGTAGGACGAATTCCACCTCCAGCAACGTACTAGTTCCGTGTAACAATCAACAGGAAATAAAATGGTCAGTCTGTCTGTGCCAATTGATTATGCGGGGTATCAGAGTAGAATGAGGATGCGGGGTGATATGACATACCAAAGAGAGCTTTCCGATGGGGATCTGCATGCCGTTGGCACCCAAGTCACCAAGACCGAGAACGCGGGAACCATCAGTAACGACGATGACGTCGACCTATTTATTTTATTGCAAAATACAAGGAGAAACTTTTAGTTCATCATTCTGAATTTGCTCCACAAAAGAGGGGAGAGAGCACAGGGCACAAACAATACAAACAAGCTCGATCACATATTAAATAAACCACTTTTTGCAGTTCTTTCCCATGTCGCTGTTCATGAGAAAAAAACAAAAAAAAAAAGACTCGTACCTGATCGTGGGGCCAGTTGTGGACCATGGCAGCCATCTGGCCACGGTCGAGCGTGCTGAAGTACATTCCTCTTGAGCGGCGGTAGATAGAGTGGAAACGTTGGCAAGCCTCTCCGACTAACAAAGAATATTTTCATTGGTATAGAAAAGAAAAAAGGGATGGGGTTAACAAGTGGTTTCCCAATGAAATAAAAGCCCTCACGACAACAAATGAAAGGCTGGCATTGGATCATAATCGCCATTGTCCGCGGGCCAACACACAAAACAAATGATGAGAATATGCTCGAAATGAACAGAGAGAAGCGAGAGGGGAGAGAGAGGTAATAAAAAAGAGAGCATGACATAACCCTACTTCCTCTTCGTCTCCTTCTCATTTTCTGTCGCTCTCATTTCCCCAACAACCATTAGATCGAAAATAATAAAATAAACAATGAGAGATTGCAACGACCGGATACGCCGGAGATGGTAAAAGCGCATACCTGTGGGCGTGTAGATGATTTGAGAGAGCTCCTCCAACTTGTCAATCAAGAGGCGGTAGTAGAGAGTCTCATTGCGATCCTACAATATCGAAACGAAAAATAAAAAGTCCGCAACGTAAGATAGGGATAGAAAGAAAGAAAGAAAGGGGCCGGATGGAGGAGTGAGTAACGGTTTGTATTTTGGATAAGAGACAGAAATGACTCTTTTCAGTCATCGGCATTATCATTGTCACTGTTCATGCGTAGATGGGGCAATGCCATTGCAAATAGTGGCGTATTAGAACAGCAAGAACAAAGACAAGAACGAGCAATACCTGGAGTGCGGTCATGAAGATGAACTTTTCGAGAGGTGTCCTGCACTCGCGCAAGTTGCGGATGATACGCTGGAGCTGCTTGTCCATCTCCTGTGTTCTTGGGGGGACGAGGCCACGAATGCCGAGACGCTCACGCTCGGAAAGGGAGAAGGCGGTACCCTTGGAGAGGAGAGGATCGTGGATGACATCCATACCGTGCTTTGTTGTTGTCTGGACCATAGTTTCCATACGCAAGTCAGGGAAGGCAGCGAGGGTGGTCAGAGCACGCCTGCTGTAATTCCTGACCTGGCTGGTCACGAAGCTTTGTGTGGCGGCGTGGACGGTCTTGAGAGCAGGATTCCTAAGCATTTTTGTGATATTTTGTATGTGGTTTTGATTAAAGAGAGAACGTGGAGAAGAGTAGAGTGGAGTTGTAGCAAGGAGGAGAGTAGAGTAAAGAGGAGACGAGTGAAGTGAGGAGTGAGGTGATGGAGTTGTGTGAATGAAAGCGAGATTAGAGGAAGAGAAGAGAAATGGAGTGGAAATCCGTGTGGGTGTATTTATTCGTCCAAGTTGAAAAAAAATTTGAGGTGCGGTTGTATGTAAGAGATAACAGAACCTTTTTCTGCAATTGAATTGGGGGCATACCCGATTCAATCGCCGTTATTTCTTCAACTGTGTTAGCCACTTTACTCCACTTCCTCATCGACTGCAGTCGGATATTCTATTGGAATCGACAAAAAGAAAAAACTTGCTTCCTCTCCTGATTCTCAGCCCAGCATAGCTCACACATCATACATCACACTCTCCCACTCTTACACCCTTGCCACCCTTTGCTCACGCTTCCCTTTAACCGTTCGGGTAGATGAGGGCTGGCTGTTTCTCTCTCCTTACAATTCGCTACGTGTGTCCATTACTGCTGTGAACATTTATCAATCCTCGCTCAAAAGATTAAAAAAATCGTCAACATCAACAACAATATCTCATCGTCGGCTTACCTTTAGCTAGATCTTCGAGCAAGGACAAGTAACAACAACGTCAATTATCGCGCAAACAAGACCCCACCCTCTTTTTGCTCATCCACATATCCATTCTCGCCATTTGCATTATGCACTCACTTGTCTTTATTATGTTTCTTCCACCCCTGGATGAAAGAGAGACCATAGGAATAAAATACCTCGTCTCTTTGTGTTTCTGAACAATCAATGAACCTATTTTAGCGCTAGTTCAAGAACACGGGCAGGTAGAATAGAATGGACCATGACACTCTTGTTCTCTTTACACCGCCTTTGCATCCCCCTTCTATCGATATCCAATGGGTGCCTACCTTGCTCCGGAACAACCTTTTGCTGCTAGCTATCGTATGGACAATTGAGGGTGCACCATTGCTCCTCCAACCCCAATTCTCTTATGTATGTCTACCACACGGGATCCATTGACGAGGTAAGAAGAAAGATATTCACTTCACGAATTGTTCGCCTTCACTCTTCTTGTTCACACGAGAGATGATTCCTTTTGTTACCCCACATTTCCTCGTGAATGTTCTAGCCATGCCACATTCCTTTACCCCGGACGGACAGGATCGTTGCAGAGAACAAATAAACAACTAGTTCAACCCAACAACTTTCCACGCGACGATCCGTTGACAAGAGCGTTCCCCACAAGCATCAATCACTAAAAGAGGCAATCTCGTTCATGAAACAAAGCGTTGGGGGTGGGAGGATAGGAAGGATTTGTCCAAGATATTAGTCGTTGTCGTTTCTTTTGGCGACAAGGAAAAACTCGTGTGGCCATGTTGTTCGTTTCTTGGATTCGCTTTCTATTTGGTGCAGCGAGAAAGTGAAAAGGTCAAGAGGAACGGGAGGGAAGAGCGCGGCTATCTACATGTGCCCGCTCGGAGGAAAAAAAAATGAAGTGTCTAATTGAAGCATTTTTTTCGTAGAAAATCGTAGTCGTCCTGCAGTTCCGAACTTATCCTTCAAAAGAAGAGAAAAAGTGAAAGAGCTGAGTGTTCCGATCCATCGTTCATTAACAGGGACAAGGCTCTCGAACAGGTTTGTGAACCACAACGAAATATGTCATGCGACGAAGCGGGGGGTCTTGTTGTTGTATTAGATTATGGATGGTGGTTCGGGCGCATAATGCCAGAAAAAACAAACGAGGCACCCCTGGAGAATGACGGAACGAAGAGGTACCTCTTTCAAAACTTTTTTTTCCTTTTTGCTGATATACTCTCACCCACGCAATTCAAGGTTAACTCCACTCCACAAAAAAAAAGAGGGGGATTGAGAATTGACTTGCCCGTCATTTGTTGTTTCCGCCTGCTTGTTTTTCAATTCAGATAAAAAGCGAAAGCGGCCTGCACTTGCCCTTCTTTTTTTCCCCTCTTGTTAATCAAGGATGATTTGTCCGTGGGCAGGTTTAAAAACGAAGCCAGGCCGATGACCTGGTCCTTTTTCTGGCATTCAGGTGGCTAAAAGTTCAGCTCTTTTTTAATGCTCGTCGTTGAACGAACAAAAAGGGTAAAGAAAAAGGTGACTTGGACTCAGTTTTGCACTCTATCCCTTCGCCGTCCAAAGCTTGTTATTTTTTTGTGGTTTCCACAATCTCGCTGGGTTTGAATAGATGGACAATAGATAAGGAAAATGCAGGGCCAGACAGACAGAAGATGTCTCTCTCCAACAGAACCACTCCCTTATCCCTCCCTCCCCACTCTTCTCTCTCCATCTTTTTTATTTGTTGGTGCCCAAACAGAATTGGTGCTCTTGGGAAGAGAATTATGGATCCTCACCCACGTTTGCGACCTGTGCTCTTCTTCCTCTTCATTTCATTTCTTTCTTTTTTGTGCCCAGTGTTTCTCTTTTTCTTTGCCATGATCATCGCTACACTTTTTTTTAATCCTCTTATCGCTATGGGGACGACATATCATGGCGAGTGACTCCCCTACCTCAACACTCGCATTCCCCACTTTTTCACTAAAACACTAATGTATTACAACGTTGGCAAAAAGGCATTCCTCTTCCATTCAACTTCATGCTCCTACCCTTCAAGAGCTGAACTGAGTGAGAATAATCAATGGCCGCTTCAGACACGCCACACGGGCTTATTGCCGTTCATGGCCACACCGCTTCAGAACCTAATTCTGGTGACAAAAGGCGCAAAAGCTATGAGCAGGAGCGGCAGGAAGAGCGAGTCAAGTATTTAGTCTTGCCTACGGGTCAGCCATGATAGGGAGTGAGAGTATATAGGAGAGTAGGAGAGAGGAATGAGCAGGAGGGGGTGGTGGAGTGGGCGTGCCTTGTTGGTTTTTTTTCAGGTTGAAGAGCAGGATCGGCTTCCCAATGCGGGTGCCAACATGAACACCCTTTTTTCACACCTGTTCCTGAGCGTTGTTCATAGATTAAATGTCTTTATTTCCTTTCAGAGCACCATTCGAGTGATGACAGGAAATAATGATCGCATCTCTTCCTTGTGGCCAATGCTCGCCAAGAATAGACAACAGAGATGTTAGGACTTAGGGAAGGATGCAACCTGTCCTGCAATTGCACTAAAAGAGAGGACAGATGTTCTCTTCTTCTTTTTGTATCTTTTTTTCCTTGCAACTCGCCGAAAAGAAAATGAACCTTTGCATTGTAATGTTGGGTCGCGACCTTGCAATGGATGCTAGGGGGAAAGAGGGTGATTTGCTCATACGTCGTAATCGACGGGCAGGGATTCGCATCGTGTTAATAGCCAGGCACAGGGCCATGGTTTTCTTATAGGCAATTAGACGTTGGGCATGACGCTGTGCAAGGAAAGGAAGCGATATAAAGAAAATAGTACCAGAATGGAGCTACTAGAGACGAATGGCAATATTAGTAGCGCGTTTGAGCAATAGATTGAAGGTAGCCGAGAGCGCAATGAAATAAGAGAACTGGTTTTCACGCAATACCAGAAAATTGTGCCATGCCTACTCTTTTGAATCAGGAAAATGCGGCGATGCAGAAAAGCAAGAGGACAACAAAGAAGCGTTTGTGTGTGGTATGCTGGCCTACAACACAACATACCTGGGGCATTTTGATACCTTTCTACGCCTCATATTTCTTTCCAACGATAGCAAATGCTTCTCTCTTTTTCATCTCTGTGACACGAGCCAAGTTATATTTCTATTATTTCATACCAACGACATCTGGGCGCCGACGATGATGATGATGGCGGTGGTAGGTGGGCGCCGAATAAAAATGATATTTTTGGAGGTGAACGCAAAATGGGGGGAAAGGAAGGGGAAGAATACCTCCTGCCTGCAGGGTGCCAGTCAGAGCCAGGACATAGACCTAATTAACCGCCTCTTTTTTCCATGGCTTCCACGGTGTGCAAACTTTATTCTCGCCTTGTCTGGAAGACACAAAACCTTTGTATTTATGAGATTAATGCTCTCAACAATATATGGGCAATTGACGCTAATTTGTTATTTGATCCGGCTTGTGAACTCATTTCTTGTATCCCCTTCCTTTCTTTCACTCTTTGCAACTTGGGTCAGGAATAGGTGAAGGGTACCCTGTCGTTCTCTTTGCTGAGACTTCTATCGTTCTTCTTGCTGAGACTTGTATCGTTCATTGCGCAGGACGCGCAAAAATAACAAAGTGTACACACATATATAGACGTGCAAGGCAAGGAAAGGGAGACAAGTAGGCCATTCCAATCAGCGCTCACCATGTTTATTCTTTGGCTAACGAGTAACAACCAAGTAAAAAAAGCTCTCAATTTTTCTTATTTCTCATCTTGTGTGTGAGTGTGATTTTATGTTGATGGTTACTGTTGCTCGTTGTGAAGTGAACGAATGCACACAAGGGTCAAATGTCAGCAGTTGGTCGTCAGTTCCCAGCTTACCAGTAACAGCGATGACATGTTACTTGTAGCAGCAATTGTGAACATGTCAGCAAGACTAAGTGTGAATGTGTGGCCATTTATGCTAAATAAGTGTGTGAGCAAGGTGCAACCTCGTCAAGAAAAAAGGACAAGACACGGCCAACCAGAGAGAGAGACAGATATACTCAAATGATTGATGATCAAAATCAACTGATGGTGCCTGAATTTCTTCTCTTTCTTCTTCTTTGTGCCTTCTTCTTCCCTTTCCGGTTCCCCCTCCCCCTCATTCAACCCTTCCTCCATCCTCCTTCTCGGCAGAGTTTGGTGAACCTGCCTCGACTTCAACACTCGACTCTTCATCCCCTTCCTCCCTTGTACGGGCATACCCTTCCCTTCTCCTCCTCCTCCTTCCTCTTACCCTCTCCTCTTTGCATTGCATCATCATCCTAACAACCCTCCTCTCCACTTCCATCATCTCGATGCATAACATAACCGACTACTCTCACGCCCGTCCTCGCCCATCCTCAACTCGTCCCTAATAGCAACCCAACAAACAACCAGCAAGGAAGATATATAACGCACACTTCGCCCTTTCACCAAAAGTAAGCGCTACCATCAACCTCCTTGCTCCTCCTCCTCCTCCTTCACTCGCACACTCTCACCACTCTTTCACACCTCACTGTTCCTACCTCGTGTTACCACACATGCACTCTTTCACTCTCACCAACTTCTCTCTACTCTCCATTCTCCACTCTCCGAATGACTCCTTCAACACAAACACAACTATCTCTCCAACTACCGCCTTTTTTGCATGCACACGTTAAGACAGACCCTCTGACATTCATTCTTCAACTTTTCTCTCCTATTGGTCGTCCTGTAACTCTCGCCCTACCCCCCGCGTCTTCTTGCACACTCTGCCGCCAAACCAACCACCTAGACTTTTTTAACGAGTCGAGCCTTTTCATATCGACCCGGTATACCATCCACAACCAACAACACATACAAGCAACAGTTCAACAAGACGCTCCCATGAGAATCTCTTGGGCACTCCAGGTTGCGGCCGTGTTCTGCCTGGTTGCAGTCCACCCAGGTAAAGCATTCTCAAAAAACATCAACAACAAAGAACATTATCACCACCCCAGCACACAATCGACAAAGGCCAAGCAGTCTACAGGAGAATGCAGGACAGGACAGTGCATATTTTTGCCGTCAGGAACTCAACAACCCAAAGTTTATATGCCCTTTCTTTGTCAGCGGACAAAGCTGTCCGAGAAAGAAAAAAAAAGAGAGAGAGGGGCATTTTATATTACATTCGCGACTGCAAACAAGGATACCCATGCTTGTGCCTTTGCCTTTCTTTACTTTTTTTCCCCTTGTCAGTCATCCCACTCAATCTCCCTCCTTGGTCATTATATTATTTTGTCTCGAGCTGTTTCAACCGTCGGAGGAGGAATGGGATGGATGGTCACAGGAGCAGTAGGAGTTCATACAAACGTGTAGAAAAAGGGTGGCGCTTATTGTTTCGCATGTCACCCTCAAGGAGGCTTTCTGCTTTTCCTTTTTTTTTTTTCCCTCGCGCCATATGCGAAAGACCCTGTAGAAAAGGCAAAGCGAGCTGAAGATAGCAAAAGTTAATTAGGGTTTTTTCATGTCGCATTATATTTGCTCGGAGTCTAAGCTTTTTCCTTGGAGACAAAGGAAAGCATGCGAACGCAGGACCCAGGACATATACAGACAAGGAGGGATATTCGATAAATCGATGCGTGTGCAGCGCAAATTGACTCGCCTCTCTAGAGACTTGTCCCGCATTGTTGCAATTGAACACCAAATTTATTAATAATCCCACCATCGCATTCTTCGTGTTCCCATAATACTTAGCCGTCGCCGACACCTCTTCGTCCGCTGACAGAATCTCGCACCGCATCGACGACCCCGTCCCTCTCGTCTACAAGCGTGCTGCCGACTCTCTCCACATTGAGATTGAAAAAAACCACATTACCAACAACTATGCGCGTACGGGCGGTCTCCAGTTCCGTCGTCGGGGTGATTCCCTCGATGAGCATGAACGTCCTCGTGGACGTCCGGGTCCTTCGCGTTCGGAGACGACTGATGTTCCTCCTCATTCTTTGAAAGAACCTCACTTGGAGCATGAGCCTAAGCGCCGTCGTCCTTCGCACTTGACGGCGCCCCCTGAGAACCATCACCCCAAGCCTACTCATAAGCCTGGCGAACCTGGCACACCCGGCAAGCCCCACAAGCCTAGCAAGCCCGATCATGGTAAGCCAGGCAAGCCTAATAAGCCTGATCACGGCAAACCCGGCAAACCCCACAAGCCTGGCAAGCCTGATCACAAGCCCAAGCCCAAGCACCACAAGCCCAAGCCCAAACCCCACAAGCCCAAACCCAAGCCCTCAAAGACAAAGACAAAGGGTCCTCACAAGCCAACCCACAAGCCATCAAACACTCACAAGCCCAAGCCCGAGCCCACCACCACTACCACCACTACCACAGCCACTACTGTCCCTACGGTCGCCCCCGTGGTTCCTCCTGTGGTTCCCCCTCAGGCAACAGTTGTGCCCACGCCGATTGATACCCCTGTCGTGCCTACCCCTCCCGCTGTCGTCCCCCCCACCGATAGCACAGGTTCCCCAGGCCAGAACCTCCCCTCCGGTAACAACGGTTCTTCCAACGGCGGGCAACCCACTTCCGGCCTCAGCACCTCCCCCGGCGGTGGCTCCATGTCCGGCAGTTCCAGCTCCTCCATCGGCACCATCATCGGCGCCGTCGTCGGATCCGTCGCTCTCGCAGGTCTGGTTGCCCTTGGAGTCTACCGCCGTCGTGAGCGCCAACGCGCCGTCGAAGAGGCAACCGGCCTCAACCCAGAAATGGACGAGGCTCCCCGTACAGCCTTCCGTCATGAGTCCTTCATGGCCTTGGTCAAGGATGCCGCCCAAGGCTTCTACGCCCCCGGTACCACCGGCCCAGCAGGAGGTTCTGGACCTCATGGTCCCAGCGGCCTTTCAGGAGTCGCAGTTGTTGGAGCCGGTGCTGGCACTGGCGCCAACCTGTCCCGCCAGAACTCGGCCCGATCTCAGAACTCCCAGCATAGCTTGCATTCCCGTCGTTCCGGCCAGTTCTCGGCCCATGGCATGACGCCTTCCTCGCCCCCTCCCCCACTTGCCCACATTGGAGGTCGCTAAACTAACCGACCCTTGTACTCTGGAAAAAAAGAGTTGAAGAGAAAATAATATGGTTCCTACTTTTTTTTCTTCTTCCAACATATCTTTTGTTCATTCATGGGGCTCATTTTCTCATCGCCTGGTCATTTGTCGTTTCTCTGTAACTACGTTTCGTTTGCTTGTCGCCCACAGGTTGTGAAGGGAGGCTTGTCAATGACGAGAAAAACGCTCGGAGAGTAAGCCCAGTGCATGATGGACCTCCTCCCTATTATAATCATCCTCACTCCTCCTCTTCTTCTTACCTCTTACCCACATTTGATAACGCTCCTTTCACAACAAAAAGAAAGTTCACAAACTTCAGAATAGAAAGATACCTAATGACAACATACCAGACCATGAACCCCCCGCCTAATAATAACAAAGAATTATTTAACATCAAATTTATTGTTGCATGTGCTGAATGTTGTTGTCGTGTGCCCATGGGAAGAGAGAAGGAGCGAGAGACAGAATGGTGCGTATCTGCTACCTGTCTCTCTTCTTTAATCAACCTACCGCCTCACCCCACCCATACCCTTCTCGTGTTTTTTTTTTTTTTTTTTTTGTTCTTTCTACGTTTTTGCTATTTTTTTGTGCGTTTGTTGGGAATTATTATTGTTTTTCTGTGTGTGTAACTCTCCAAACCGCGTCTGCCGCATCGCATCTGGCTCCCTGCCGACAGATAAAAGAACAATCATCCGCCAGGCCACTACTGCACGGGCAAGAGTGCCTTCTGGGAGAAGAAGCGGACGTCGTTGTCAGAGTCCTCGCTGAGCTTGATCAGTGCTGGCTTGAGCTGCTGGTCAACCAGGGGTGCCGTGTCGGGGTTCTGCATCAAAACAGGGATCAACGCCTCTATCGACTTTGCGACGTTGAAGCGAATATTGGGGATAGGGTCCGAGACCAGGTTGGTGACCGTTGGCAAAATGTAGTCGCGAATCACTTCTGGGGTCACCGCCGGTGCCATAGCCTAATTTTCACATCATAACCATATATGTGCTGTTAGTGTAATGCCTTGACACTCAATCCTACTGATGGGAGTTCTAGTCCGGAAACAGATAAAAAGGAGCAAGCACGTACCGTGATGGCAAAGATGGTGGTCATTCTGTACAGGTAGTTGGGGTGGGTTCCCATGGCAAGAACCTTGGGGATGATGGTCTGCTTGGCCCAGTCGACGCCAAAGACCTCGGTCAACTTGCGAAGGTTGACTGTGGCGGCCTCACGGATCGAAAAGACACTGTCGCCCAACCATGACATGCAAAGAGCTCCGAGCTTCTCGTCGAAAAACTCGACACCAAGCTGAGTCGCCAACAAGGGGATATAATCAATAATAGCCAAGCGCACGCGCCACTGCTTGTCCTCGGCCAACTCAACAATGGCTGGCAACAACGACTGCGAGAGAAGCTCGATGCCAATGACCTTGTTTACAGTCTCGAGCTTTGAAATAATGTTCAAGCGCACATCGGGGAACTCGTCCTTGAGCAACTGCAAAAAGAGGGGCAAAAGGTGTTCGGTTGTTGCCTCCTTCCCGAGAATAGGTGCCAATCCACTGATCTGCATGGCAAGGGCGGCTCGGACGTGCTGAGAAGTGTCTGTGACCAAGTCTCTCACGCAAGGCAAAATGTAGTTCAGAATAGTGTCCTTGTCGATCAACTCGGAGAAACCTAGTACGGTATGGGCAAATGAGAACCACAGTTAGCGGGAGCAATTAGTGGACGTAAATAAACGAGTGTTTTTGTAGCTATTACAGAGCGCATCCTGAAAAGCACAATAAGTAATCGTACCAGGGACCTGTCCAGATGCGGCAGTGCGAACCTCAGCCTCGTTATCCTTCAAAAGTCTGACAAACGCGACAACGAGATCCTCGCGCGTGAACTCTTCGCCAACAGCCTTGCTCAACTATGAACATGAATATATGGAACACGACCCTATCTGTTAGTTAGCCACCATGTGCTTCCACCTGCTCGTTAATGATCAAAAACGCCGCAATCTCCAGACCGTATGAATCCCATGGACTTGCCTTGACAAAGTTATCGGCAATCATATAGCGAACCCTCCACGACTTGTCGGCAACCATGCTCTTGAGGGTCTGCAAGAAGTAAGCCTTGCTCTCTTCTGGCGAAAGCTCCTCTGCAATGGCGACGAGGTCGGTAACTGTCAGCAAACGGACAGAGTCCTGCTCGTCTTGCGCAAGCTTGTTGAACAATGGGATGATGTCCGAGATAAGGTGCTCCTTGCCAACCTTCTTGGCGAAGGCCTAAATGAATCGTATAAGCAAATGCAAGAATCTGGTAAATGCCTACTCTCCGAAAGTTCCCCTCGACATGCCCTGATCCATGATCCAATACTGCGCGAAAAAAGAAAAAAGTCGCCATCTTACGCCGAGGTGGGTGGCAGCAGCGCGGCGAACCATAGGGGTATCATCTGCACAGAGCTGTCCGAATGACCTGTTGACATTGAAAATATTAGAAGATAGGTCAGTCTCCACGTTACGATAAAAAGTCCCGGTTGTGAGTCGTCGGTCGTCCTTTTTCTCCAATGCTCTTACTTGCGCATGTCCTCCTGAGATGCTGGCGAGGCCAAGGGGTAACCGCAGGCATAGAGACCGGTGGCAGAGGTGCGGCTGGTGAACCAGTCTCCAAGTGTCAAGCGCTTGAGCAAGGGGATATAGTACTGTTCCAACTGAGCCTGGCTCAATTGGGGGCAGATCTTGTTCAGGGACTCGACCGCCTATGATGGGGGAATGGGTAAGAGAAAAAGAGATATGCGATGTGTGGGGTTTGACGCGTGAGACAAACGGATCGATGCGGGCGTTATGAGAGAGGTATGCGTGCGTTTGGCGCTGCATTTTAATCGTTAAAAGCCAATATACATCGCCTCCTTTATCCTTCACTCGATGTATGCTGCCCTGTTGTTGAGGTAGCTTGAGGTCCTGGAGGATTCATTTACCTTGTCGCGAACCATGGTCTCCTCCACAGCAGCCAGGTTCTCCAGGGGCTGCAACAGAATGTGGGCAAACTGGGGACCACCAATGTACTCTGTGAATTCGCCAAGCTCTCCGGCTAAGGTGAGCAAAACTTCATCTTCATCATCGATAGATTCTATTACAAGTTCAAAAGGTGGGAAAGGGGTCGATATGGTTGTGAGTGAGCATAGTGGTGTGAGGGATGGTGTTGGATGCTCCACTTGTATTTTGACTCTTTTTTTGTTCCAGAGTGGATCCGTTACCGTCGAGGAAGGGGATCAGCTCCTCGCGAGTGCGCTGATGTCCGAGGGCGAGGGCGATGGTGTTGAGTCTCTTGATGGCATTGAGGCGGAGGGAGACGTCGTCGTGTCTGAGCTCATCTATGAGGATAGCGATAGGGTAAAGCTCTTCACTCTCAGGGTTCATTATGGGCAGAGAGGGAGTGTGGGGTTCAGGGGAAGGGGAAGGGAAGAAGGAGGCAGAGAGTGAGATGAATGGTAAGAGTGATGAGGAGACGAGAAGAAGGGGACGAGAATGATGTTGTTATGTGTGTAGTAGAAAGGGAAAAGAGTTGATGCCGCGAGCCAAAAAGAGGTCGCAGCAGGATTAGAGCTGAAAGTGGACTTGCTAGCTCGGCCTTTGACAGGGACACACACACCGTGTACATCGTGCGAGCGAGCGCGAATGTGACCCAGCAAATGCTGTAATCCTGTCTCCTATTACGTCATTATCGATTTTTTGGTGGCGTTCTGCGAGCATCTCAGGAACCATGGGCAGAACCAGGGTGCCGTGAAAAAGAGTTGCTCTTTTTTCTTCTCTTTCGTCGTGTCTATTGCACACTAAGAGCCCAACTGGACCCTTGCCCACGTGTATGCCTTAATAGCATGTGTTTATGGGACACTATCACCCATAGAGCATGCTGCATTTTGTTTGTTTGTCGGCCGACGATGCGAGTGAAGTAAAGAGACGGGATTATCACACATGAAAGGACACATCAATTCTGTACCGCGACTGGGAAAAAAACGCTTAATCCACACTCACACACGATGCTTTTTTGTGAGGGACTGAGGAGGAAGGGGACAGCCTCCGAGATGCGTCTTTTTTATCTTGTCCCTTTTTTCTACATCCTTTCTTAAACATCGTCTGTCCGACTAAAAGCATTAACTGCCTAGCGCTAGATGTGTACAAAGACCACACTGCTTATACAGTGGGTGATGAATGGTAGATGGCGGAACCCTTTCTAGTGAATGATAGAAAAGGATGAAAAAAGGAAAGCCTCAGCACGAGGTGTACTTTTGATGATCTCGACGCGTTCAACCAGTGTAACAAAAGAGAAGAGGACTCTGCTAAAGAAGAGTGTATCAATGTCGCTCAAAACAAAGATACGCTCATGCAACAAGAATAGAAGAGCATTAAACACTTTCATTGCTTTCTTTATTTTCGTGGTTGCTCGATATGTGCTGTTGATAATAAGACAGCGGAATACGGTAGTCGGGACGCTTCTCTGATAATGATACCCTCTCTTCCACCCTTAAAAAGATCGACGGTTAGCAGAAGGCCGATCCCTATCCGGCATCATCACCCAATGTCCCCTGGCCTTGATTTGATTAGGCATCATCACTGATCACTCTGCCTGTCTCACTGAAGGATCAAACAATTATGATCATAATAAATAACGGTAAAACAATAAGAAACAAGGCAACAACCGCTCTCCTTCACTTCTCTTGCAGCTCGGATGCACTCTGGTAAAGGCGATCGTGAAAAACAAAAGAGAAGTACAAACAAAAAGGGAAACGATCTGTCCGATATGCAAATAGAGGGTAGAAAGGATAAAGGGAAGGAGAGATAGAGAGAGGGACATAAGCAATTGACAGGAGAGTATGGATTGGAGCAATGGCCTGCATAAGTCCTTCGTGTGTTAGATGTATGGAAAAGGGTTAGGCACATGTGAATTGGGGCAGGGCAAGGCAGAGCGCGTTTTTTCTTTTACTTTTTTGCTGGATTCTGTGCCTTGCGCCTGGGAATGGGTCTTCTTTTCTGTACGTTTTTGCCCAGATTGAGATGGGGTTCAAGCGCGTCTCTGTGTGTCTGTTTGTTTGTCCATCTTTTTGTGTGTGTGTACCCTCTGGTGCCCTGAACGAAATGACGATTGTGCTCTGTTATATTTTTTTTGTTCTTGTCGTTGTCACCTTCCTTTCCTTTCCCCTTCCTCCTCTTCTCTTCCCTTCAACTTTTTTTCTACTCTTTGTTCACCAGCTAAACTGCAACAACCCTTTATACATATCGACAACAATTCTCCATGATTTGCGCCTCCTACCCTCTCTCTCTCCTCAACCACACCAACGCTCTCGTCGCTCATTTCACTTCAGCAATCGATTCTCAGTCCAATCCAGATTCCAATTGATCATTGTGTTCTCTACCTTTGATCCTACTATAATATAAAGAAAAAAAAATTACCCAAAGCCTTTGTGCTCTTTTTTTCTCTTTCCAAGAACAACACTCTAATACTCTTCTCACGCCGACAGGACGAGACAAGGACCTTCACTCCAAAGAAAAGAGATCCGCCTCCTTCTCCTTTTTGAACACACAAACTCATTCGAACCAGCCATGCCAGATCCAGTCATGTCCGTCAGAGGTTTTCAAAGTGGCGCCGAAGGGTCTGACCATCACCACGATGAGGAGCACGAGCGCACCTTCTCCTCATTCTGTACGTGCCCCTTCACTCACTCGTGGTCCAGGGTTTTTGTTTGATGTCTTGCTTGCTCCCGCTGCCCTACGTTGTTGTTGTTGACGCCCGTTCCTGACGACGTTTTTTTTCTCTTTAAACATAGCCGAGTATATCGACCACTCCAAGCATGATCCTGAAAAGGTGGTCGAAGTCAGCCCCAATGGACGATACGCCAAGGTATGGATATCGCAACCTCTGTGTCCTGTCTCACTCGATTGGTTTTTGGGTGTTGGGCGGGTGTACCGCAGGTTCTGGTTCTGGTTCTGGGTCCACTCTGTGCTCAGTTGCTATGTCGGACAAATGGAAAAGAGAGAAAGAAAATGGAAATAAGAATGTTTGAAAAAAGGACGAGGACTTATGAGATTTTTATATACAAACACTTTACCAGGAACAAGGCCATGGCCATGTCCAATATTCCCTCACTTTTTCTTTTTTTTCCGTCTTGCTCTGTGTCAATCTCATCGCTGGTGGGTGAATGAGATAAACATTTGCTGTTTGCCAGAAATGATACATAACCAGACAGCAGCCCAATGTGCCTTTTTTTTTGCGTGATTAAAAAGAGGAGTTTTTATTTTCTTTGGCGTCAAGGCTCACCTTGGAAGACTGGCCACCAACAAAAAAAATGCCTCACACAAACAACTTTCTTTTTCTTTTGGAGGGGCGTGAAAAATAAAAAAAGGTTTTCTTTTCTGTCGCCATTCGACTCTCTGATCGGCGGACGTTCGATAACTAGCTAACAGGGAGGAAATGCAAAAAGGGGAAAAGGAGGTACAATGCACAATGAGGTAGTTCTACACCGTCAGCATGGCCCTTTCCCACTCTTCTTCTGAAATTGAAGTATGCACTAACTCATTTGCTCTCAATTCTTTATTTTTCTCGCCTTTTTTCCCTTCCTCAGCTGAACTCCGTACTAGGAAAAGGAGCCTACAAAATCGTCTACAAGGGCATCGACCGCGAGGAGGGCTATGAGGTTGCCTGGAACTGCTTCCAGACCACTAAGCAGGAATACGCCGAGCTGTCGCAGGAAATCGAAATTCTCAAACGAGTCCGCCACCCCAACATCATCAACTTCCATGACTGTTGGTACAGCAACACCGAGTTCATCTTCATCACGGAGCTTATGACCTCGGGCACTCTGAGAGAGTAAGCTGATTTTTTTGTCGAGACTTGTTGGGCTGGCACGCAACATGCAACAATATTGCTCGACATAACCATGATTGCACTATCTCACGCTGTCTTCTTTTTTTCGGTGTATTGACAGGTACATCCGCAAACTGCAGACGCCCAACGTCAAGGTTGTGAAACGATGGTGCCGACAGATTCTCAAGGGACTCATCTATCTTCACTCGTACGACCCCCCAATCATCCACCGCGACATCAAATGCGACAATATCTTTATCAATGGAGCGCACGGCGAGGTCAAGATCGGAGACATGGGAACCGCCAAGATGAAGATCGGCAAAAAGTACACCGTCATCGGTAAGAACCCCGACAAACAGTCATGTATCATCACACACTTGCTCACCTTTTCTTTTCTTAAGGTAATGAGCTAATCTGATATAGTTTGAACACTTTCTTTTATGTCGACCATAGGCACTCCCGAGTTCATGGCACCAGAGATGTACGAGGAAAAAGGCTACAACGAGAAGGTCGACATTTATGCCTTCGGCATGTGTCTGTTAGAGATGGTGACGGGCGAATACCCTTACAACGAATGCAAGAATGCAGCTCAGATCTTCAAGAAGGTGACACAGGTAAACCCACTACACACAAGGCGTTATTTTTTGTCATGCCACAGCCAGCCTTTGCACAGCCCGCAAACAGCGACTTAAGACTCACACGACATTGAATGCACCCTACTTTTACCTCCCTAGGGACTCAAACCCGACTGTCTTGCCAAGGTGATTGATCCCGAAGTCCTCAGCCTCATCAATCACTGTATCGCCCCAGAGAACGAAAGGTAAACCCTAGCCTTTTGTTTTCTACTTCAACGCAATAGGCACGAACTTCCTGTAAATGAGGGATGCTAACGATCAACATGCTCTTGCGTTGTATTAGGTACTCTGCTCAGGAGGCGATCGAGGATCCTTTCCTCGGAGTGGAGCCTGAAGTTGTTGTATTGTCAACGAATGAGGCTAAGAACCACCTCACGCTCCAGGTTGTTTTCAAGGGTATGGACAAGCTGTCCGTCAAGTTTGAGTTCAATGCCGATACAGACACTGCTGAAGAAGTCGTGAACGAGATGGTGAGTTATCCTGGTCCGTCTGTCGGGAAACTTTTGTTCAGCCTATTGGCAGTGTGATGACCCAGCCATACTCATTCCTTGTCCCCATTTACTCATGCTGCGTTTAGATTGAAGAACAGGTGTTGCCTCAACGATACCAGAGGTTCATCACTCACGACATCAACCGGATATTACGTGAATTGTCAGGATCAAGCGACAAAAAGGACTCTGCAGGACTTCACGCTCCCTCGTCTCCCATGGCGCCCATGCACCCCTCACAGGGCACAGTCGCCCCGTTGACGCTGGATACGTCTAACCCACAGACACTCATCGGTGGGTCGACCACTCTCACTCGCAAGAACTCCAATCCGGATTACAATGGCGAAATGGAGCTGCCTCCAAAAGGTACATTTTTACTTCCAATGGTAGACGGTGACAGTATTCACTCTAGTATGCACGCTAACGTTGCCTCAACATCGCCTTTCTATCCTTAGATTACTCTGCGGATACTCCTATCGAGGAGCTGGTGCATGACACGGCGATGGCATATCACCGAGGACCGGATAAGGCGAACGAATGGCTCGCCAAGCTGAAGAACCAGGATATTATGACGGTTGGTGACCTCAAGGACTTGCAGGACGGTGACTGGGCAGGTTTCGACCTGACCGTGTTTGCTTCGAGAGCTATCAGGAACCGACTGTTTGGGAAAACCATCAAGCGACCCAGCCCTATGACGAGGTCGCCCAGCGGAACGGATGATGGCATCTAATCGATGTGTTCTTTTTCCTTCCATACATACATTTACTTTTGTGCCTAATGCCCTTTATAATCATGTTCATATTCTTTTGCTTTTGTCAAACCAAGGCCATTGCTCCGTTTCAATCGAGATCGTACCTTTGTTTTATAACATCAACAACAAACACCTCTCCTCTCTAGACTCACCTTTTCTTTTTTTATTGCCCACCCATGTATACAACCCTTCTTGCACATTAAAACAAAAAAGTAATTACCTGCGTGTCGAGGTGCATACTTGTTCCTCCCTTCCTTCCTTTTGTCTCTGTGCATAGTCTCTGTATGAAAAGATATACAATACGAACGAATGAACGTCTTTAGTCTTTGAGCATGTTTGAATATGAGCCTCCCCCTGAGTGCACATCTGATTGTCAGTTTTTTTTGGCGCCCGCAAAGCCGAATAAAAAATAGGGGGAGCAAAAGGTCACGGTTGTGATCATGGAAGAGGAGGCCATCACACACACAAACATACATACACACACACACACACACACACACAAAAAGGGTGCCTCAACAAACGCACAAGGTCACTTGTACTTTTCCCTTTTCTTTTCTTTCTTGTCTCCTTACTTTCGATTTGCCACTCACCTCCCCCATCCTTCCTTTACCCACACCTACTCTTCTACGTTCTTCTCAGTCTATTCACCCAAAACACATTCTTGACAAGCCCACACACACTCTCTTCCATAAATTCATATTATCTTTCTTTTTTTTTTTTTGCCCAACCGACAGAACGAACGAAAATATGGTGTTATCCTTTCGAAGCATATTCCAGAGCGAGAGCCAGCGCCAAGTGGAAGCCGAGGCTCGCAACATTGGCCTCGCCCACTCCATTCGAGATCTTATCACCGGTAAAGATCGCCCAACCCAATCTCTACATACTCCCCAAACACCAAAAGGCTACTTACTTCCTCGTTTTCTTTTTGATGCCTACTTCCCCGTCTCATTACTCATCGTATCTTCTCAATTCTTTTTGTTCTCATCTTTTGCAACTGGGTCATATAGGTTCAAACCATGAGACACATGTTGACAGCTACCAGAAGAAGAAGGCGGTGAAGGCGCTGCAGAAGGCTAAACCCGCAGAGGTCAACGATTTGATCAATATCTTGAAGGCAATGCCGGATCCTACGGTGGTCGAGTTCAAAGAGATTCATTCTCGAGAGGCCAGTCGACACCATCATCCTCCCGCTCCAACCCCACCAACCCCACCAACCCCACCAACACCAGTACTAGCACCGGGACCTCGGGAACCAAAGCCGTCAATTGGAGGTGCAACGACAACACCACCTGCTACTACGGAACCAGCAGACGATAAGGAAGGAGGAGGATCATCGAAGGACAAGGAAGGGGAAGAGGAAGAGGCGGAGGCGGTTAAGGCGCCTTCTTCGTGGTGGGCGGTTTCATTTGCTTCGCTGAAGGCGACGTTGATTTCTGGACCTGCAGTTGGGGAGCCCTCGATTACGACGACGACTACAACTGTGACGACTATTACGATGACCGCGGAGGAGGTCAAGAAGGCTGCTGCTGAGGCTGAAGCTGCTGAGGCTGCCGAGATAGAAGAAGCAAAGGCAAAGGCAACGGAACAAGAAGCGGTAGCGACAGCGCCAGATGTAGTAGTAGAATCCACGGCAGTCAAGAAGGACAAGGAAGTCGCCAAGGCAACAGCGACAGCAAAAGCAACAGGAACAGGAACGAACAAGAACATCGGCACCATTACCTCGTCAACAACTGTCGCCAACACAAAAACAACCGCCGACAAGACAACCCTCGTCTCAACCCTGAACTCGATCAAGAAACAAATCGTCGCCCTCACAAAGACCCCGCCCATCGACGTGATCAGTGCCTACACCTACTGGTGGGGGTACGAGATCTATGTCCCCCACAAGTGTATGAACAAGCTGCAGCGGGTCAGTAATACCAGTCAGATCTTTTTTGGGTTCTTGAGTGGTGCTGTGGCGGGAATGCCGGGGTTGGCGGCGTTGGTGCCGTTGTCGAGGATTATCTCTGCGTGGGTGGGTTTTCAATGGGCTATTATCCATGCGGAGGATTTGGGGAAGGGTGTTGTTCTTTCTGCTACCTGGTAAGTTCTTCTTAGGTTGGCGCCGCCGAGAGGAATTGGTGGATCTTCTTTTCACAATGAACAGGTTGCTAACACTTTTTAATTGCTTGGATATGTAATAGGGTTCTGCCGGTGGCGTTGGCACCTCGGTCGTGGGACCGTCCAGGAACCGAGTAGATTTCAAAAACTACATACAACAGGAAATACCTTCCTTTCCCGTCTCTCCTTCACACTACTACTACTACTACTACTACTACTATAACGAATAAATACACACATTCTCTCTCTCTCGGCATGGCTCAGATCTCTGATTGAAGAAGACCACTACCACCACGACTCTCACAAACCAACTCCTCTACAAGGCCACAATACGCCACCGTCTGCTCCGAAGGAATAATATGGCCCGAACCCTCAAAAACACTCATTCGACACCCCAAATGCTTCTGCATATACTTTGAAGCCGAATGCCTCACCAATTGATCATCGGTGCCCGTCACGATCAGGACCGGGATCTGGGAGGCGCGGATCTGGGCGAGGCGTTGGGGGTTAACGTGGTGGGTGAGTGCTGCCCAGACTTGGGCAATGTTGGCGTGGAGGGGTTGCATTGGTATGTCGATGTATTGTTTCTTGAGCGTCTTGTTGTTTTGGCGTTTTTTGTGGGGTGGAAAGGAAGAAGAGGAAGGCGGGAGAGAGAGTTCTGTGAGTTGTTTTGTCACTTTGGAAGAAGGGATGCACTTCATGCATGAGTATGGAGAAAGGGACAGAAAGGACAATTAAAAGAGCTTACTTACCATAGTGACAAAGTCCCTGTTCGTCTTGAATTCAGTGTCTGGTGGTGCCGATTCATCCAACCAGCTCTACCACAAAGCAAAGAAGATAAAGCGAACAACATCGTAAGCCAGTGACCATATTTTTATCCTGATCCTCAAAATTTCAAACAAAGTCAACTCACCTTGGGATACAGATGTTCAGTAATGAACCTAAGACGCAAGTGCGGGTCAAGGATGGTCAAGACCCTAGCAAAGAAGGCAAGGGTGACCAACTGTGGCGGAGATCGACCGGCGTTCGTGGATGTAAGAACCAAGGACGAGAACCGCTTGGGCGCAGCGAGGATCAATTCGAGAGAGATCATGCCCCCCATTGAGATGCCCGCCACATGCACGTCTGAGTACCATCTGAGTCCGTCTAACAGCTCCAATGCGTCTTGCGCCATTTGTGATGTACTAAGATGTGTGGGGTGGAAGAAATACAAGTAACAGTGTGAGTACAAAAAAATTGTTGCAGCAGCTAAAACACATGTCCATCCTTTCTTCTGCTCTACTTTAGTACTGGCTAGTACTAAATCGCATTCTAAGAGCTTACGAGTAGAGACCGTATGGAGCATCTGAGTATCCTGTACCCCGGTTATCGAACGCGACAATCGTGTATTCGGGTCGCTTCGAGAAATACTCGACCTACTTTCCAAGTAGATATAGGCCTGTCAGTCGAATTGCTCAAGCAATCGTCGGAGTATCGAGAGCTCAGTTGTTTTCTTCCAACGTACCACAGGATCCCAACCGCTTGCGGGTGTGCCCAACCCGGTGATGAGTAACAGTTTGATGGGTCCCTCGCCCGTCTTTTCGTAGTAGAGTTTGACGGGTTTCTTGTCGCCTCGATCGAGCCCTACTTTGATGTGGCCCTTTTCAAAGCATGGTAGTCCTGTTGATGAGGGTTGTGTCATTTGTTTTGTGTATGTATATCAGATTGAAGGGTTGGAGACTGAGAATGTCGCGAACTGGAGACTACTTGCTGAGGAGTAGGTGTGAGATGAATGTGAGTGAGAAGCGATGGGGATAAAATGGGTATATGTGTTGTAAAAAAGTGAGGGCGAGGAAGAGAAGACAAAGATAAGAGAAGTAAAGTTAGTAAGGAATGCAACAGCGACAGGAAAAAAGAGGTCTATAGGCTTCGGATAACGAGAACGTTGGGGTTCTTTTCTTTTCCCTTTGACAAAGACGTATTCAAAAAAGGGGCGAAAGGAAGGAAGGGGAAGGGGTAGCTCTCTTCTGGACAGCGAGGCGAAACGCCTGTCGACACCTTGTGGATATCAAAAAAGTTTTACAACAAAACACACGACCCGAGGGTGTGTCTTTTTGGAGTAAAAAATCGAAGGAAAGGAAATAACACACGCTCTGGTCATTGCTTTTTTTTCTGTATGTTTGCAAAGCATGGCATGGTTAGTTCTTTGTACCTCTTGATTGAAAATTTTGGTTTGGTGGTGCCACTTGTGTTCTTGGACTGATCAAGACTTCCTTTTTGCAGGTCTCATGGCGCCATCCTTTAATGGGGCGATGGTTGTCCATGGGCTGATGGTTCAAGAAAAACATAGCAGCGCGCTTGACATGTCGACGCGACAGACACTTCGCCAAGCGCGCGTAGAGCGTGAGTGTACCATCGAGATTTCAATCACACAAGGGTTCATCTAAAAAGGAAGACAACCTGTGGGCCATCCAAACGTGTGATTGGCATAAAATGATAACAATCAATCCTGCCTGCTCAACTAGTGGGCACAAATGAGGGTATGAGGAAGCCGCACAAAATGATTGTGCAGATCCAGATGGGCTTTTCTGTTATTTGAGTCGCATACGCCATGATCGCGTAAATTCCGAAACAACGGCGCCACAAAATTCTTTTTTTACCTTCTGTCGATCCTTTTGTAACCTTTTGCTATCAACCTCACTCTCTTCTTATCTTCACGTGTACTCCTCCTAATTGACACATCTCCTTCTACTCTTTTCACCAATTCTCTCACTCGTCCCTCACCAAGGTATCAATCATCCACACGCATACTCCATTGACAAAAATATAACTAAAAAAAATGGTGGTGTTAAAGACTACGTTGCTGGTAGCATGCTTGCCGCATCCTCCAACTTCAACCTTCAAGCATCCGCTCTCCAGTCCTCCTCATCTTCCGATATCACAGCATCTGCAACTCTTGTCGCTAATGCACCCGCCGCCAAGGACGCCCAGAGTGTCTATCTCCTGTTCGATAACGATGTCGATTCCAAGACCCCCAAGACCCCAATCATCCTCCTCTCCAAGCTTAAGAAATACAAGGATAGCCAGGCGTCGTGCTCTGCCATGGGCGAGTGTATGCTGCATCGTTTTTTTGTTATTATTTCTGTTGCTTTGTGAATACGCTCCTAAGCTGAAAAAAATACTTTCCATTTCAACTGCGCGTGTAATTAGAATTGGCACTATCGAGTGCTCCCAATCTGAGCAAGCTGATTAACTCAACCCCGTGGCTGCCGACGAGGTCAAGCGCTCCAATCGCTACTGGATCTACAACGGATCTGGAAACAGCACCTCCTAGTGTATGGCCTTTGACCGCAAGTCCAGTCGCACCCTCCAACTCTCTTGCTCGATCAAGTTGCAAGCCCTCTGTACAAACTCCCTGCCGCGCTACAGGGCCGGCGTGAATATCGACAAGTCCAAACATACCAAGGTCAAGACTCCCAATGCGGGAACCTGGCAAGGCTACCGTGATCAGAACCAATTCCACTTCCTCGGAATCCCATATGCAGAACCGCCACTGGGCAACCTGTGGTTCCAGAAACCTATGCGCTTCAACCCCAAAAAATACGGTGGCAACAACAGGGTCAATGATGCAACCGAGTTTGGACACGCCTGTATGCAGTTACCGTTCACTGGCGAGAATTTTACGCCCGAGCAAGAAGTGTCGCTTTTAGGGGCTTGGCAGTCGGAGGATTGTTTGTATTTGAATGTGTTTACGCCAGCGTTGAAGGTCAAGAGGGCGAAGGGGTTGCCGGTGATGGTGTATGTTCATGGAGGCAATTTTACGTCATTGGCTGGGTCGTCGCTTATTTTTGAGCCGGAGAATGTTGTCTCCCGAGGAGGTGTTGTTGTTGTCACTTTCAGTAAGCGTTACGCTTCCTGTTCTCGTTCTATCATGACGGTTCTGGTTGAAATTTGCAAGTGGTGACGTTTTTTCCTTTGTCAATCGATTCAATGAACAAGATTACCGCCTCAGCTTGTTTGGATTGTTCGAGAATATCCGGAGATCCACGCTCCAAGGCTCCAGGATACTTAGCCACCAGGGACTATATTGCTACCCTACGATGGGTCTACGACAATATTGTTGCTTTCGGTGGTGATCCCAGCCAGGTCACGGTCTTTGGAGAGAGTGCTGGCGTTTAGTCGATGCGTGCGCTGCTTTCAGGCCCCCTCTGCCTTTGGGCTTTACAAGAACGTTATCTCTCAGTCGGATCTCATTGGCATGTAAGTCGAAAGGAGGTTTTGTGTGTATTTGCGGAAGAGAAGAAACAATGGGTATGCACAACCGTTGAAGACGAATGCCTGGTACTCATCCTTCCTTTTTATTATGATGGAAAATTAGAGCCCCAAGTACAGCAGCAACCCTTCAAAGCTGGTGATGCGGAATCTCAACTGCACAACATCCGACCTTGCCTGCCGCAGGTGACAGCCGCACAAGTCAAAGCCATATAGACGTTCATCAAAAGCCCGAAAACCAATGGGTCCTCCCCGCGGCCGTCTACCGCCCCACAATCGACAAGTCCCTCATACCTACTGATTTTACAGATCTCCTCAAGTCTGGTAAGTACAGCAAGAAGGCGAATGTCTTGTGGGGGTTTACCAAGGACGAGGGCAACTCGTTTATTTCCACGACCCTCCCGACTCAGTACCTCTCGCCCTATACTCGGACCCGGGTTTTGATCAAGTCACCCTACTAGAAGAAGGACAATTCGACGGACGGTGTGCGCGAGGTGTTTGGACAGGGGTTGACGGACTATTACTGGATCTGTCTCTATCTGATCTTCAGTCGAGCTGGGGCAATCCAAAAGTCGAACTTCTACACCTATCGAATGGACCATGAACGGAACCCAGCCGTAGCATTCGGCGTTCCCCCATCGCCTCTCTGCCAGGGATAAGTATGTCACGCTGACGATCTCACGCTATCATTTGGCTCTGGAGACGTCGTACCCGGCGTCGAGCAGACAGGCGACCATGCCCGCTTCGCCCGGCAAGTCAAACCCAACCCTCCCAAGAACTCTCCTAACTTTGACGCGGCAGCTCAGAACCCAGATCTCACACGAGTCCAATGGCCCAAATACGACCAGTCGAACCCAGTCTATTCGTTACGATGCTGGATGGTGCGAATGGCTGAGCGAGAACACTAAATTTGATTATCAAGTCAATGGACCCGGCGGCAGGTTTGTCCCTATCTTCCCGCCCGTCGCCATACCCCCTACCTTGTCCACCAAGACGTCCTCGTCTACTCGCACAAAGACAAGGTATGGAACCACGACCATCCAGACTCCAAGTTCAGTTTCAGTACGCCCAACAGCCGCCAACACGTTCACGACAGCACTGACCATCAACACTCCAAGCTCCATGTCCGATCGTCAGACGACAGCCAACATTTGACTACCCAGTCGCACATCACCGCCGTGACCATCCCTTCTCCCACTGGCTCTGAATCCGCAGCCGTCTCCGTCTCCGCCTCGTCCTCGGGAGTAGCCTCAGAGTCAGTCTCAGGCACGCCCTCTGGCTCGGCGTCTCTGACTACCATCACGGTCGTCCCAACCACAACTGATGCAATTATCGTGCCACCCACGACCAGTGCCCCTCCCCCTCCTCCCACAACAACAGTTGTTCTTGGAACAACAGTGACCGCTGCAACAACGACGAGGACTACGGTGGGCGCACCAGTCGATTCAACCGCTCCTTGAGCCGTCCTTACTGCACGTCGACTGGACCTGCTGAGACGACCGCTTCTCCAACTATTACCACGGTTACCAACTCTGCCATCCCCTGAGATCGGCACAACCACGACCATGGCGAACGTATCTGAGACTTTCACAATGGCCTCTGTCATCGTCAGCTTCACCGTGTCCGGTAATACAAGCGCCACCACTGCCACTGCCAGTTTCTTCTCTCCATAATCAATCATCTCTTTGTAACGCTGTAAATACCTGTGAATAAAAAACGTTTAATATGTGCCAAAAATAACGAAAGAAAACATCTGGATACCTTTCTGCAAAAGGAAAAAACAAGATACGCCCTCCATTCTCTGCGAAGATATCCAGCCCTCATCTACTTGCTAACCGCGTATCGTTTAGTGTCCGTGACCATCATCCTGCTGCTGCTGTTCGGGTGCAACGGTGATCATATCGTCAATACGCAAGATCGACAATGCCGTTTCTGTGGCCGAGCGAAGAGCACGGATCTTGGACAAGGCAGGCTCAAGAACACCAGCGCGGACGTTATCGCGGACCTCGCCCTTCATCAAATCCAAACCAGTCCACTTCAACTCCTTGTCGGCCTCGTTCGTCTGCGAGGCATAGTGGCGCGTACGGAGAGTCGCCACGAGATCTGTGGAGTCCTTGGCGGCGTTGACGGCCAAGGTCTTAGGAATCACAAGGAGGGCGTTGGCAAACTCGCTAATCGCCAATTGCTCGCGCGAACCCTATTGTAATCATTTCGAAAAACATAGCATAAATGTTAGAAATGTTACTCGCTACATAAAGGAAGACCAGGGAAGACCAAGGAATACAATGGAATACAATGGAACACAACGGAAGATTGTAGTGACGCTTACCAAGGAGGTGGCATAGCTCTCGAGGTAGATGTTAAGAGCAGTCTCGACAGCTCCGCCTCCAGGGACAACGCTTCCACTCTCGAGGGTCCTCTTGACAACACAGAGGGCATCGTGAAGGGAGCGCTCCATCTCGTCCAGCATGAAATCGTTGGCTCCGCGAAGAATGATCGAAGCCGAAGACTGCGACTTGGTGCCCTTGACCAAGATGCACTCATCATCCGAAATCCTCTCCTGGACAACCTCCTCGGCGTAACCCAAGTACGAAGCATCGTATGTCTCCTCGCCCTCCAAGTTGGCCAAAGTCGAAATCAAGGTAGCGCCGGTGGCCTTGGCAATGCGGCGGAGATCCTCCTTCTTGCAACGGCGGACAGCCATCGCGCCAGCCTCAACAAACAACTTCAAGCACATGTCGTCAATTCCCTTGGTGGTCAAGATAACGTTGGCGCCGGTAGCGAGAATCTTTTGAATGCGCTCAGTGGTAATATCACTCTCACTAGTCATCCCATATCAATCAAGCGTCATCAGGTTAGTTACGATCCGTACTCAGCATGGTACGTATCAACTTCTTCATCAGCACCCGATCCACCATCAAAGAGCAGTGGACGTACCGCTTGCGGATATCCTCGAGCTTGTCGGGATCGTCGACCATGATGTGAACGCCGAGGTTCATGCGGACCTTCTGGAGGTTGATATCCAAGCAAGCAATCTTGGCATCCTTGATGTTGGTCTTCATGGCCTGACTGGCGACTGTGCAGTTGAGGGCGTATCCCTTGATAAGCGTGGACTCTGTTGCACTCTTACCGTGAGCCTTCAAGATGTTGACAGCCTTGACGGGGTACTTGCTCTCGCCACGGCTGTTGGTCGACTTGACAGCCAACATAGCATCCACAGCCATGTTCGAGAAGAAGTTGTCGTGGCTAGGTGGAAATGAGTAGGAGAAACGACACGATGGAATTAGTGTCACTGGCGTTATTATTGACCCTGCCTTTTGTCTCCAGTGATCCGTGCTCTGCAACAATAAAAAATGCGCATGTTGTATCCTGAAGAAAAATGTAGCTCCAAAGCGTCACTTACGACCCAATAATCTTGCTGGACATGCTGGTTTTGGCAGCATTGATGAGGCAGTCGCGTCCAAGAGAGTCGACTTTGATGGACATCTGGTCGGCAATGAATTTGCAAGCCTCCTTGGAAGCCAATCTGTATCCTGTGATGATGGTGGTGGGGTGGATCTTGTTCTTGACCAACTCGTTGGCCCTCTTCAAGAGCTCGGCGGCAATGATGACGACCGAGGTGGTGCCGTCACCGACCTCCTTGTCCTGCTGCTGGGCCAACTCGACCAGGATTCTTCCTGCAGGGTGCTCGACCTCCAACATGTTGAGAATGGTGGCGCCGTCGTTGGTGATGGTGACATCCTATAGGGTAAAAGAGCAAAGAAGGGGGAGGGGTAGAGGCATGCGAATCGGATTATTAGTAAAAATCGAAAACGTACCGTTCCTCTACAATATTACGCAACCTGATCTCTCAACATCTCATTTGTCTTTCGACCCTCTTGAACTGAACTGATTGCTTACTCCAATCTCGTTGACAATCATCTTGTCGAGACCAACAGGTCCGAGCGAGGACTTGACGATGTTGGCGATCGAGGCGGCGGCGAGAACTAAAGGTGATGCCAACGATATGCGAAAAGATGTTACGTTTTATTTTATTTTTATGTTCCTGGATCGTGGTGTGACGATGGGCGAAAGTCATGATGCTGGCTGTGTTGTGCAAGACGAAGGCGATCAGGGTATCCGTGTGTAGTGTTCGATTTCGTGTCATCGTGTCGTTTGAATGCAAGGGTCGAAGAGGTGGGTGTGTATGTCTGCGTGGTCATTCCTCCTTTGAGTGTGCGCGACCGAGTCCTGTCAAGAACAACAACAATAATAACAGTGATGAGGTGGCTACCATTCTGATCGCGGATGTTCTGTCCTGAGGTGCGCTCTCCTCCTAGGAACAAGCTGGTGCTCTGCTGTGTGGCGTACATAATGTCGCGTGTAGGATGGGAAGGGGTGATGGAATTAAGTGGGGAGAGGAGTAAAGAGGTAAAGAGGTGCAAATCAATAGCAGAAAAGAGGAAGGTCTCGTTGAACCAAAAAGAAGGACAAGGAAGCTTTGCTCGCTCTGATTTGATTTATTAAGGGGATCACTCCGTGGTGGAAAGCCTTGGACTTGTCAAATGCTTATTGCCTTTCAGCTGCAGGACGATTAGAGCTGACTTGTTCTTTAACTCGTAGAAGAGGGTCGCAAAGTTTTGAAGGCACAAAAAAAAAGAACAAAGAAACAAAGAAGAAAAAAAATACGTGTGTGAGAAAGGGTTGGCTACCTCTCGATAATAGAAAAAAGAATCACACAATTCATGGTCGAGGATGGCATCGATCTGGTCTAGAAATGCCGCTAGGAATCTCACAACCAACAACGGGTACAGAGTACCCGAAAGCTGCAAAACTTGTTTCAGCTCTACTTATTCATAAAACAAGGTGATTATTTGGTTCCATGGGATTAACTCATTATTTTGTGGTATTCCAGATTTAAGGAGGACTGCTTTGCTAGTACACGTTCAGGACGTCATTCATTCGTTCCAGCGGTCGTTGGTGTTGTGGAGTGACAAGGCAGAAAGGCAGCTTTCAATGGGTAAGTAAAGTGTTTCAGATATCCCCATCAGCTCAACCGCTGATCCCTCCCTCAGGGATGGGCCCTCGCTTTAATCAGTCTCACTTTGTGATGATCATTTAGATGATTCTCTCACGTGGAAGTACAAGAGGAGGGCACAGTACCCATGCCGGCTGGGCATGCAAACTGACAAAACTTTAATAGACCCCCATCTCCCTTTGGCACCAGACCTGGCAATAATAGTGGCGCCCAAATGCACTTGTGCATTTTGGCTGCACCCCTACGTATGCAATCCACTAATACTAATCAAATACACCACTTACCATTCATGTTGAGAGCACCCGAAATGACATTCATTTTTTTTTTCTTTCGCGCCAAATGAAATAATTGTAGAGTAGTTTGGTCCTCTCTGTCTTTTGTGCTCTATTAAAACATATTATTAGAGTCCTTGTCTCTATCTGTGCCTCTGCTGCTCATTGCTTCTTCGGTCGCTGCTCGCTCTCTGTCTGCCTCCCTTCCTTCCTTCCTTCTTTCCGCCAGGCTGAATGATGCTTCCTTCTGTCTTTATTCTTCTTCCTCTTCGCTCTTTTTTTTTTCACTTCTTCTTTTCCTTCCTTCCTGACTTCCGTCGATACCAATTGCTATCCGCTGTCATCGCCATCACATCAATCACATTCGCCACTTTCTCTCTCTCTCTTTCTCTCTTTCTCTCACACTACACTCACTCGCTCACCACTTGCGCCTCCAACTCACTCACACTCCCTTTTCTTCTCTTTCTCTGCTCCTATCACTTCCACTCGGCACCTTCCTTCACTCTCTTCTTCCTTCCCGCCCAACTTCATTGCCCCCCGTTCACTTACCAAGGCTCCACCTCAAAACTTATTTCGACTCATTCTATCTCCCACCATCTCATTCACACATCCCCACCATCACCAACACCTAACTAACACCTCACCCCTCGGTCTTACACACACAAGGAAGCAGGAACACACCCTTTCCGAGGACGCGACTTTTTGGTAGGTGTCTCCGTCTGCCCACTCTTCCTTCCTTCTGTGTGTGTGTGTGTATGATTATGCACCCGACAGAAACAAACCAACACACACAAAAAATCGAACCTCCTCCCCTTCCTTCACATCTCCCTTTTCCCTCCTCTTGCCTTGTGCTGTGTCTCTCCTCATCCCCCCCTCCAATTTTCATCCCCACCATCCAAATTAATTTGTTTTGTTGCACAAGCTTGTTATTGGTTTTTTTTTTGCTGAGCGCCTTTGCGTGTGTTATTATTAAATTGCATCGTTTGGGGGTTACGGTGCCGGAGATGATGGGATTGCATGTACTCGTCGTATTGTACACCCAATCGACCCATGTAATTATCTCTCTTGACCTTTTTACACAAGCAAGTTCGTCATACTACCCAAGCGAAGGATAGGGAGGGGCTATTCTCGGACCCTGTCTCTCATGTTCATTACTCATTTCTACCCAAAACAGATATATACTATAACAATTGCACCCAGTAGGCTTTTTCATCTTTTTGTTCCTCTCAGGCCTGCATCTGCATGCCTTTTCGTGCGCCCCAATGCAGGTGAACAGGAACAATAAGGCGCGCGCACGAGTAAATGTATGAGTGCGTGCCCTTTTTATTTCCTTCTCTCCGAGAAACAGCAGCTTTTTGAGATGGTCTGACACGATGAAACAAAAGAGTAATCGTATACCATCTGGAGTAAAAAAAACAAGGTGCGGCGGACAGAGAGCAAAAAAAATCAACAACAATACATCACCTTGTTCCTTCTTCTTCTGTAACTTTTTGGACATCCTTCTTTCCCCCTCTTCCTTCGCTCCATTTCTCCTTCTGCCTCACCCCCCATCCATTCACTCCTTCGCCCATTCACCTATCCACTCACCCGAAGGAAAGCCCTTTGCTTGTTTTGAGTTGTACAGCACAAATTTTGCACATTCACGCCATTGTGAAGGACCTTCCTCATTTACTCCTTTCAGGCCATATTCAAAACTCGAAGCTCCCCCCTCCATAAACAACTCCTTTCCCTTTCCCTTCCCTTTTTTTCCCTTTCCTTTCTTTTCTCTATCTATCCTAATTGCTCCTCCGCGCAACAGCAAAGAGAAAGACAAAGAAAAAAGATCAAACGACCGCTACTTCGTTTCTGGGGCTCACTTGCGTCTTCATTAATTAATATGCTGCAGTTTTTTTACAAGAGGAGCAATGACTGCCCTCGCCTGGCCCTTGCTTTTCTTTATTTCTGGAAACGGCCCTCTATTATGTTTTTCTCAAACCGCTCAAGGGCATAAGGAGTCGATCAAACATGCCCATTGTCATTGTTATTATTGTTGCTGTCATAGTCCATATGATCTCTCCTCCCCTTGAACATGACTCCTTTGCGTGTTTGACTTGATTGTTTTTGTTTGTTTGTTTGTTGTCACTCTGTCACACACACACCACCCCTTTCTCCGTCGCCACATTTATATAAAGTGGGCTTTCCCCTCTTCTCTTCCCTTTTCCTTTTCCTTTTCCTTCGACACAATTAATCCGTTGCACATTTCAATTTATTACGTATCTCATCTGCTTTAATTATCTGTCTTTGTTTCTCTTTCATTTGTCTCTGACCTCTTTCTCTCTCTTGTCTTTTTCTTTTTATTTTTTCTTGTCTGTCTTGCTTATCCACTTCTATCCGCACTATCTTCTTCACTCGTCCACTCTCTCTATATATACACTCTCCTTCCTTCATCCTTATCTTTTTTCTCTTTTTTCACTCTTTTTCTAACTCTTCCGCCCTTCCAAATATACTTACCTACCGTAGCAAGTCAGCTTCCCTCGACTCTTTGTTCTTACCCAACAACCAACAACAACACACCACGACAAACAGTTGAGAATCTATATCCAACAACATGCCTAGCCACAGTCTACGATTCTCTCCCAGTGAGCCTTGTCTCTCCTCTTCCTCCACCTCTTCCTCATCGTCCTTGCTTCAGACCCCAAAACAACCCTTCTCACTACACCGACCATTGGCAACCCAGGACTTAAGAAAAATTCGAAACGCGAAACAGCTGTCCCTGAAGGTGTCGTCTTCCCCTGACAGCATCAATAACGACTGCAGCCATTCCGACTACGACCGCATCCACGACCTCAGCTACAATAGCCACACCAGCTCCACTAGCAGCAAAAACAACAACAACAACACTGTGACAAAAACTCCTAGCCTCCCTCTCTTTCCACGGATCGCTTTATCCTCACCATCATTATCGCACATGTCCTTGGCCTCTCCTTCTACAACCTCGCTCTCGTCTCGGCGATCCTTCATCCCCGCCCCATTGACTTCCAAGCCCTCCCTAACCGTCAGCACACCCTCCACTTCATCAGCTGCTACTACCAACACTACAACATCGTCCAACACCAACACCAAGCGACATAGCCAAGTCTTACTGGAGGACGCTCTTCCAACACAAAGGCTCCCCATTGTCTCTACCCCACAACATCGATCCATCTCTGCCTACTTTTCCGACTACAGTCTAGAATGTGGTGCAGCCTCCCCCTACATCTCTGAACCTGTCTGCGTACTACCCAACCTCTACCTCGGAGCAGAACACAACGCAACCAACGTCAAGGTATTAAAGCGACTCGGCATCACCTTTGTCTTGAACGTCGCGATCGAGATTGCACAGCAGGAAGGATCGACAGCAACAACGACAATACAACTTGATACTAGTGCTGCAGAGGAAGCCACTCGGGGTAGCATCGAGTTCAAGAGCCTTGCATGGACACACCACCAAAAGGATCTGTTGCGCGAATTCCCGACGGCGTTTGCGATGATTGACAAGGCCTTGGCGGCTAGTAATGGACAGGGCAAGGCATTGGTGCACTGCCAACTGGGTGTCTCTCGGTCTGCCAGTTTGGTGATTGCCTATGTGATGCGGGCGCGCGGGATGGGACTCACCGAGGCATACGATTATGTCAAGCAACGGTCGGGTGTTATTTCGCCCAACATGAGCCTGATGTACCAGTTGGCCGAGTTTGAGAAGGGTCTCAAGAAGCAAGGTGATGGATTTTTTACGACCAGTGAGTTCGCGACAGCCCCAGGTCAGAACCGTGACTCTTGGTGTTCCCAGATGGGCGATGATGATGAGCCCCCATACCCCTTCTCTGCTGCCTTCTCTGCCGCCGATGCTACTCCTACGATTCCGAGTCCTTTTTCATCGGATATGAACATGACGCCCGAGATCATGATCATGGATGAGCCAGCCACGCCGAGCAGATCCGAGTTCTACAAGCGACCCTTAACACCCGAGAGCAGGATGGAGGACCACCCCAGCACCAAGCCATTCCAGGGCTCGAACCGCCCTTCCCACACGCGCCTTGCCCTCCCAGCCTCCCGACGATTGAGTCTCACCTCTTCGCCCCAGCACTCAAAGTTCACACCTCGGTCGCCTCACTTGCGCGGCGCTCCCATAGGGCTGTCCATTTCCTCGAATACTGAAGGCGCCACCCCTCGCTCGTTCTCTCTGTCGCCCAAGACTCCAATCCGGGACCGGTTTCCTACGATGACGCTGCCAATGTCGGGCGATATCGAGATGATGGTACCACCAACACCCTTGTTCCAGTCCTCTTTCTCAATTCCTTCCTTGACGTCTTCTTCGTCTTCGTCCTCATCAGCATCGTCGGTGTCGTCTTTTGAGGCATGCTCACGGCCATCGATCTCATCGACGGTCTCGTCGTCGTCGTACTTTACAGCCTGCGACGACGACGAGAGTGCACTCGACATTGAGTTTGGGTACGACACCATCTCGCCTCGTAACTCCGGGTCCTGGTCATATTACCCATCTGCCGTCTCCAGTGGGTTGTTGACTTGGCCCATGGCACTGTCTTCAGCTTCATCATCTTCGTCACCGGCCCAACATCCATTGACGATCTCGTACCCACCAGAGTCGACACCATCCTTGCCACCATTGCAAGAACCGATCAAGAAGAAGAACAAGAAGGCGATGTGGTCGGGCCTTAAGGTTCTCCAAGTCGTGACTGAGACCTCACCCTCCTCCTCCTCCTCTGCAGCTGCCTCTCCTACTTCGTCTACTTCCTCTTCATCGACAAGTCTCTACTCATCTGATCTAGACGATCCCTCTACCGCCCTTGCCACAACACCCACAGCAACAACACCAACAACGGCCATGGTACCTTGTCCTTCTCCCGCTATCAGCACCGCCGGCGCTACCGTTGCAACGATGACAGCCACATCTGCTATCATGTCGAAGCAAACATCCCTACCAGACTTTATTTTCTCGCCAAGACCTTATACACCCACACATCATCGCCGCCACCACGAGTCCCGGACGTTTGGTGACTTTTACCAGGCCCTCTGCATGGAGGGATAATGTAAAAGGCAAAAGGCGAACAGGACAAATAAGGGGGGGGGGATGGATCTTGCTCCCCAAACCACACAGATATCTATCCAACAAACACAACAACAACCTAATATGTATATAACTACTACTCTGCTACTATTATTATTACTACTGCCAACACCACCACTATCAACAACACCACCACCACCACCACCACCACCACACCAGCACATCTAACAACAAAACAACCATAAGCAAACACAGCAAAAAAAAACCCCCCCAACAACCAGCCAACAACAACAACAATCAACAACAGCAACATCTAATGACAGAAACGTAACGACCTATTATCCCTCTCTAAGAACCACCTGAAAATAAAAAGAATTCAAAACAAAGATACCGATCGGTTGGTCAATTGCAATGGTAGCTTGGTAGCATGATAGAAATGGTAGAAATGGCAGCAAAAGCGAGAGTTTGTCTCTTCACCTTTTGTGAACAGAAAAAGAAGGGAACAATCAAGCCATAAAGCAAGAAATATAAGGGGTGAGAGAGAGAGAGAGAGAGAGAGAGAGAGAGAGAGAGAGAACGGGAAACGGGATTGAAGAGGGAAGCGGCAAGCAGGAAAAAAAAAAAGTCGAGGGAACAGGCATTAAGACGGGCAGTCAGGGCAGGCATTTTGTTGGACATATCGTTGCTTGGGTAATGCAAACACTGTAGACAGCACAATTTGAGCGGGAGGGGTTGGAGGGTTTTTTTTGCACGTTTTTTTTGTTGTTTTATTTGTTGACAAAAAAAGGGAGAGGGTGTGTGTTTGTAGTGTTTGATAGAGTGGGGATATTGGATATTTACAAAATACTCAAGAGTAAGAGAAGAAGAACGAAAGCAAAGTGTGGTATATTGGAAAAGTGAGGCGCAAAGAAAAAAGCAATGAGAACGGACTAATGTACAAAAAGAAGAGAAGGGAAGGGGAAATAAACAAAAAAGATAGAAAGAAGCTTAGAGCTGCTGGTGGTGAGGGTGCTGGCGCTGTTGAAGAACAGGGTAGGCGGGATGGGCATAAGAGTCGCTCATGTCCTCGTCCTCGTCCTCATCCTCCTCGTTGCTGCTGCCCATCATGGGGTTGCTGCTATGGCTGGTCATCATCATCATGCCGTTGTTGTTGTTAACATTGGCGTTAAGGTTGGGAGCGAAAGGAATAAGGGCAGGGAAAGCAGGGACCTGGAGGCCATTTTGGGAGGCCATGGCCTCGAGGACTTGGAGACGTCTCCAGACCTCCTGGTTTTCGCGCTGGATCGCATCCATGAGGTCGCGAGTCTGGTCCATCTCCTGGACCTTCTGCTCCAGCTCCTTGATGTAGGCCTTACGGCGGTTGCGGAACGTCCTCTGAGCGGCGCGGTTCTGGGCGGCGCGACGAGGGTGGGTGATGTTTCCTGAGCCGGGGGCGGGGGATGAGGAATGAGGACCAGCAGAAGAGTCGGCAGAGATGGGTGAGGTCTCCCGGGATTCGGACTGGGCCTTCTTTGTGGCGGAGGAGGTTGACTTTTTGGTGGAGGATCGTGCGGCCTTGCTATCCTGAGCAGGGGAAGTCGAGAAAAACATGTCTGTGTTGGAGAAGAGGGCAGCGGTGGAGGTGGAGGCGATAGAGGAGGAAGAGGGAGTAGGAGAAGAAGAGGCGAATTTGGTGACTTTGGTGGATCGGGTCGCCTTGACTTTATCCAAGCGAGAACTGGTCGAGGGCCTGCTCGAGGGGGAAGAGATCTTCTTGGGAAGAGTCACAAGGGAAGGAGATGTGGGCCGTGAGGGCTCATCGATGTTGGAAGAGGAGGTGTTGGAAGGGGTGGTCATAACAGTAGTGGTGTTGTCGAGAAGTTGAGGGGAGGTCTGACGGGGAAGGCTCTGTCCTGATTCCTCGCGCTTGCGCTTGGGTGCTGCCGGGTGGGCTGCAGGCATGTAGGCGATGTTGGAGGGGTGGAAGAAGGGGGTGGTCGTGGGCACTGCTGCATTTGCAGACATGGTTGACATCATGGCGTTGGTCGTGGGAATGGACATGGTCGATGCCGTTGAATGGTTGGAGGCGGTGGCATCAAACATCATCTGCTGCTGCTGCTGTTGCTCAAGAGCACGCTGGTGCTGAAGGCGCAATTGCTGGGCATGCTGTTGCTGTTGCTGCTGGTGGTGGTGTCTTTGCTGGATAAGCGAGGCATCGTAGGGCATCATCCTCTGCTGCTGCATCTGAGGGGAGGTCGAGCTTGTTGAAGAGGCAGTGGAGGAAGGGAGATCAAAGTTGGGGAACATCAGATAGTCCATCCTTTGCTGTGCCTGAATCTCCTCGGACTTGATGATGGGATATGAGGGCGATGAAGGGGCGGAGTGAGAGCCAGCTGCTGCAACGGCGGCGGCAGCGGCGACCATGGTTGGCATGACAGGGACGATGGGGAACTGGACCTGGTGCTGACGCTGGTTGGGATGCTGTTGCTGGGGGTGTTGGTAGGTTGGTGGTGCGATGAGGTAGTCCTGGATGGGCGAGGAAGAGGTGGATGTTGAGGATGTGGTCATGTAGTTCTCCATGTGGTGCTGGTTGTTGTGGTGGTCGGTGGGGTGCATGAGCTGCTTGGTGACATTGTCGTCGAGGATCGATGCCATGTGGAGGAAATCATTGTCATTTGGATAGACCATCAGGCTCTGCATTGCTTTGTTGTTGTGGTGTCTGTGTTCCAGGATGAAGGTATAAGAGAAAAGGAGTGTTTCTATTAGAGTTATCAAAGGACGATAGGAGTATTAGTGAATGTGGGCTGAGACGGTGTAAGAGAGGGATGGTGTCGAAGGTACGTAAGGAAGAAGAAAAAAGGTCCTGAAAAGGAAAGAGACTGAACCGCCACACACTCTCTTCTATATCATCCAGGCACACCAAAGAGTGGCTGAAGGATAAAAAAAAAAGAGGGGGCTATGAGCATTGACCAGTAAGTAGTACCTTTTTGACTATTTGTTTGTTGTTGCGTGCTTCGATGATGGGGAGAAGAAAAATCGGCTGGCGATGGGTGAAGTGAAAGATAGATAGGAAAGAAGAACGAGTAGACGAGAGGATTGACGATGGATTTTTTGCTTTTCTTGATGAAGAAGACAACTAGAAGAAGAAGAGAGAAGAGAGAGGATTGAGAAAGAAACGAGTTGAGGATGATGAAGCAATGAAGAGAAGAAAAAAAAAAAGAGGAAAAGAAGGGAAAACGCCGTTGATTTATATTTTCGCCCTTTGTGCGTTGGAGAAGGGGCCATATGATTGAATTGGATTAGAGGTGGAGAGAAGGAGACAGAGGAGAGAGAAAAGATGAGTGGCTAAAAATAATAATATATGCTCCATTCAATTCACTCATGGTATTATAAACTGTGGTATGACATAGTCTCTTTTGTCATTTCTGATTGAAGTAAACAATGAATTGAACCTTAACAGTGTTCAATTGAATTGAGCACTGTTCATTTTTTTCTCTCTGCATCGTCATCGTCAAATAGAGAGGGATAACGACGGACAATAAGAAAAAATTTTCTTGCTCGCTGTTGTTTGTTTTCCTTTGTCTGTTTGCTTGGAATGCACATGCCTCGTCGCACATCTTAAAAAAAAAGTGCTCTGGCTATTCTGTCATACTCGTTATATTGTCCATTCACTGAATACTTCCCCACCTCAATTCAATCACGCTTTCATTCAACCCTCTTTTTTTCCGTTTGGCTTGGAGGGGAGGGGTAAATCACTCTCTTGCTGTATGAATACGCATATACTTCCTCCTCCTACCTCTTCCTCTTGCTCCCTCTTAGTAATTGGATCTTCGCTCCCCATAGCACTGCTCAGCCATCCTGAAAATGCCACCCATACACACCTTCACAGACAGATGGACGGACAAACTAAAAAAAAACCAACTCAGCTCTCCCTCAAAAGAGTCATCGTCGCTAGCATGCTACTTTAACTTTCGATCATGTTCCTTCTCGACATGTAACTTTGGTTTACCAGTTTTTTTTGCTTGACGGTTTACAAATCCCCCACCTCATCCCTCCATACCCTGTTGCTTGGCCCAAAACCCTGATCATGTTACAGTAGATCGTCCCCTCACCCTTCCATTCGTCCGTTTCTATTTTTTTTGTGCATGGGCAGTGGCAGGGGACGAGAAGACGAATGTTTGTTACTTCCTTCATCCACACTACACCGGCCGATCAACTTGAACAATGAATAGAAGCTGGATCCAGTCGGGTCCAAAATACCACAACAGGGACATGGTAAAAAATGACAGTAAACATCCATCTTCTATCAATGCCGTTAAAAATAAAGTCGGCTAACAGAAAAACCGTTGAGAAGGATCGAGAAAATGCCAAGACATGAACCCCAGAACCATACGCTCGTCTAAACACCCTACATACTCTTACTGCCACTATCTCCGTGGACGCGACAAAGGAAGGGTCATATTGCAATAACTTATCTCCCGCCATTATTGCCACACTCATGCATTGGCAGAAAACGTCCATCGACGGGAGGATAGGAAAAATGAGGGGTCAGCAAACGCACACACACGCCGACACACAATAGATTTAGACCCCTCGTTCCCTCCATCCCCCCCATCCTGCAACCCTCTTTTTTTTATTACCATCGTGTCCATCGTTGTCAGTTAACAAAGCAAGAAGCGGGAAGAACGAAAACACGAACGCACCAATGAGAGTCCAGCACTCAGCATTGGGATAATTCGAAGGAGGTGAAAAGAGGAAGGAGGTGCAGAGGAATAATCAGGTTGTTTTCTTTTGTTGTTCGTTCATGCTCATGCAACAGATGCTGGATCCAACGTACGGTACAGCCCCACTTTACCCCAACCTTGTCTTTCTCTCCTTGCCACCTTCTCTCCTCTTTTGTCCGTCCATTCAGGCCCATCTAGGAAATGAAAAGGTCAGGGCAGAGGAAGGGAGATGAATGAAAAGAAAAAAGAGATGGTGCAGATCATGAGAGAAGAGAGGATGAAAAATGATAGGGAGAGAGAGAGAGAGAGAAGGGGAGAGGAGGAGGAGGAAGAGGAAGGGACACAATGTCAACTGAAAACAGCGTGGTCGTCAGGGGAAAGGAGGAGGGAGAAAAATGAACTGAAAAAAAACGTTAAAGGAGGGAGAGAGATGAAGTGAAAGAGAGCAACCCATCCAACTTGCCGAACGGCGGACAAAAAAAGAAAAAAGTCAGGGCAGGGCAGTAGTAGTCTAAAGGTCTTTCCAGCTCAAGGGGGGCCAGGGCAGGTCAGGGCGAGGGCAAGGACAAAGGACAAGGCAACGAGCTAGAAAAAGAAAACCCAAGAGTACTTTGGTAGATGGATGGATGGATCGAAGGCCAATGACTGACTGACCGACCCCCTTATGCAAAAAAAACCCAGCTCAAGAAAACAGTGCATGGCTTCCTCCTCTCATTTTCGTCCCCTTCCCCTTCATTTCTTTTCTTGTTGTCTTTTGTTCATTTCTCTCTGTGAATGAGGAAAATGTAAAGGGCAAGGGCCGAGGTGGGGTCGTTGATCTAGTTCGCTCCAGGGCAAAAGGCGTGCAAGAGCTGGACAGGACTAAAAATGAAGAAAAATAGAGTAAACTTAGGACGAAGATGGAAAGTAGAGAGAGAGGAGGATGGGTAACAGTAGTAGATGGTTGACTCCACTACTAATCATGTTTCCTGCAGGCCATCCCAGTGAGTGAGTGCTCAAGGGGATGAAGAAAGGGAGAGAGAAAGGAAGGGAGCCCGAGCCACGTTTTTTTTCTTCCTTTGTTCGTGTGTGTATGTTGTAGGATGAGAGTGTGAGCAACATGTTCCCTTTACCATCATTGTATTTGGTCCCATAGATTTTGTCAATAGTTATGACGCGAACGAGTCATATCATCGCCAACGGTCCCATTACTGACCGGCCAGCCAGTCAGATAGCTGGATAATAAACGGACGATGACGGCTCTTTTGGACCTGGAGGAGGATATATTAACTAACTAGGGGCTTATTACTCAAAATGCGAATGGTTAGGTTTCAATAGTACGAGCCTACTGTGATGGCACGCAATCAAGGGGTCCAGAATGACATATGCTCTCTCGCTTTACTCAAGACATCAAGCCCCCAACTAACAACAGGGATTGGTGTATGACAGCAGATCGAGAGAGGAGACCAGATCATGTCGTTAGCTCATTTTCAGTTCCACGGATCTCTACTAGGATTGGTCAAAAATGAGGACAATGTGAATGAACAGTCAGATAGGTAGCAGTTTGTGTTTGATCATGTAACTGACAAAAGGGCGAATTCCTGCAAACACAATTCTACGAGGACCCTGCCTCTAAGTCAAAACCATGGGGCTATGGGTGAGGCGAAAAGGTGATCGAAGGATACGCGACAGAAGAAGCAAATAGGGTTGACGTTGAAATTGCATGAACATGAAGAAGACGTTTCATGCAAAGAGAAGGAACAACAGCGAACAAAACACATAAGCATGAACGAAGAAGGATAAAGAGCAAACCACAACAATAAGAGGCGATAGAAAGGCATTGAAGAGAAGAAATCAGGGTCACCAGCAAAAGGACGGATGCCCTTGGGTCAAGACGATCAGGGGAATCAACATTGTCGGAGGAATAAGTAGGTTTGTATCAAGATCGAGAAGGTGTTGCAACTTGCAAGGTAGGGGGAGTATGCACAGCACACGACGGCAGAAAGAAAGAGCAAGGGACACAGGTGCAATTTAGTGGAAACGGCATTACCGTGTGTGCTAGTGCATGGTTGATATTGATAAGATTTTGCAGGATCAAGGGAGGATGCATGTAACATGCAAGGAAAGAAAGAAAGAAGCAAAAAAAAACAGAAAAAAAAACAAACACAAAGAGAACTGAAGGTTCCGCGGAGAAAAGGGCAGAACGCCCAATCCTTTTATGCAAGGTGCTGACAAGAACAAGACTATGGTAGGGTTTTAGAAGGGAAATGGCCATAGAAGCAACTTCTGGGTCAATCTCGGTGTTTGGAATTTTCAAAAAGAAAATTGGGTTCTCGCTGTGGTCGGATTAGATGCTTTGTCCCCCTATTCCCTTGTAAATTTCAGGCCCAGCAATGAGGCTGAAAGAAGGTGGTTGCAGTCCATGCCATGCACTGCAGCACTTTTTGTTTGTTTATTTGCTGACATGCTCTCAATTGTGCGCTTTTTCCAGAATGCCCTTCTTCCGCTTCTCTTTTGTTGTTGCTGCTGCTGGTTGTACAGAGCATTTCATACCCGCCCATCGCTCAATAAATTCCTAACACCGCAAGGGACATGAACACCCATGCTCAACCCATCCTCCCATCTTTCTTTCCCCCTTCTCCTTGCCAATCAAAGTGACTAACCTTCCTGTGGTTGGCCTAATTGTTCTCTTCGAAAAGAAGGCTTTCTATTCGTCCCTTCCTTTGTTTGTTTGTTTGTTTGTTTGTTTGTTTGTTTGTTTGTTTGTTTGTTGTTTTCTGTCCATGGGTGTGTCCGATCCCTTTCCTCTCTTCCCACTCTCGATTGTCTGTTTCGTATCAAGATTTTTACCGCGTAGAGTTAGTTCTCTGCGGCTCTGTCGTTGCATTGGTTCCCTCTCACTCCTCCCCCAGCTTCCCAGCTTCCCAGTTCTCCAGTCCGCCATCCTTCTTCACACTGCCTCCGATTTGTTTGCTTACCTTTCTTTGATGGACCAGT